TATTAGATAGAATATTTTTAAGCTCATTATTATTATCGCTTAGTTAGAAAACAATATTTGATAAATATGCATTTAAAAAAAATAAAATAAATAAACACCAAAAACGAGGTGAAAAAAAGTAAACCCACAAAAAATTACACCATAATCAAACAAAAAAATTTAAGAAAAAAATACCTTAATTAACGAGCATTTTACAGTATATAATATGCATTTTAGTAAATATGTTTTTTTATTGTATTGTTTAATTAATTAACTTAATTTTACGATTATTATTTTGCTTAGAAACTGTTATAACTTCACCTTAATAGATTGATTATTAGAATTAAGTGGTAAAAATGGAATAATAAAACAAGATGATATTTAATAATTTAAAATTTAACCTTAAATACGAAATAAAAAATCTAAATAAATATTTAAATCGGTAATCAAATAATTGTTTTGAATAAAATATTTATTTTTTTTTGAAAAAAGTTTTTATTTATCTATTTTTTTGATGATTTTAAATATTGATTTTACAAGTTTGTTGTAATTATTTAATATCTTATTTAAATTTATTTTATTTTTTGATATTGTTTAAAAATAGTTTTTAAAACTTAAGTAAGTTTTAAAATTCAAACAAACAAAATAATATTATTTAACAAAAAAATTTAAGTAACCACATATTTGATATTTGACTGAAAATATACATTTATTAATATAAAATACTATGTTACATCAGTATTAATGAACTAAATTACACAAATTAATTTTTTTGTTATTTTTTATTTACTTTTTATCAATTATATTTTATAAAATAAAACCACCTCTAAATATGTATGTATAATTGTTTGCTTGGATATTTTTTTAAGATATTTTATGATTTGCTTTAATTAACTCTTTCTATCTGCTTTCATATGTTTGAAGAAAAAAAAATATATTAAAGCAAAATAATATTTATTTTATTTTGCCTTTCCTTCTTATTTACATTGTTTAGCTGCTTTTTTATATTTATATTCTCTTATACAGCTACTCTTTTGCTCTAATTGACTCAGTTTAAGTACTAAGAATTAATAGTGAGTAAAGTTAAAAAATGTTAAATTTTTTCTGGATCTTTTTTGAATTTAAAATATTATCCACTCTTATACTTATTCATTTATTTTAAGATAACTTGTATTCTGCATTTACCGTAATTCCTCTATACGATTGTATCAATCGCGTACAAGGAATAAATATTTTTAGGCAAAATTTAGAAAAAATGCTTAATTTTGATAAAAAGGTAGAATTTAAAAAATATTTTGAAGGATTTAATTTAATTTCTTTCTTGTCTTTTTGTTGCAAAATAAATTTCATGAAGTTATTTATTTGATACTCAATCAATATTACTTGAGTTTTAATTATTTTATATTTAATTTAAAAAATATTGTGTAATTAATTAATATTTTATTATTCCTTATCTTTTAAATTTTCTATTTATAATTTTATAATATTAAGAAATTGAAAGATATTTATATATGTTTTGAATAGCATTAGATATTTGATATTATATAATAAATATCTTCTTTAATTTTTTAACCTTAATAAATTTAAAAATATAAATCTAATGAATATCAAATCAATATGATATGAAATTGATATATTTTTATGAATTAGATTAAAAAATAGAATTAGAAGTCAATTAGTTAATATTTAAAGCAGTAATAATTCAAAAAATAAGGAATTCTTTTATTTGCATTATTAGGAATTATAAATATGTTAAAATATCTTAAATTTTATTTTAATTTACTATTATGAATAATTTATTATTCATAAGTGAAGGAAATATTTATTTAATTTTTGGCTTAATTTCTTTTTCTCAATAAATTTACAGATGATATTCAATTCTTACTCAAAACCCAATTGTTTTTTTAATCATTATTAATAATGTAATTTAATATTAATCTGTATAAAAGAATTTCTAAAAGATTAAGATATTTTTTAAAACTAGAAAGATTGCATACCAGTTTACAATAGTTTACTTCTAAATATTAGCTTTTTTAAATTTTCTTATCTATAACAAAAAACCATTTCATGCTTACTTTGATTTCAAATAAAGCAAAATTTATCCAACTATTTATAAAAAAATTTGAGCTAATTATAAAACATGTTTTTTTATTTAAAAGTATAGCCTAGTATAAAGTACATAATAAATAATAATATTAATTTAGTCTGAGGTTTATTAAACAATTTATAAATAAATAAAAAAAATAATTTATTCAATTTAAGTTATTTTACTTTTAAACAAAGTAAAAAAATCTTTGAATATAAATTTAAAATAATTGTTTTAAAGAATAAATAATAATCAATGGCTTATCATTCATTGCATTTAGTAAAATATAAATATTATACTTTATTTATATTTAGTAGTAAGCAATATGATTAAAATTTTCTTTTATAATAAAAGATTCTTTAATGTTAATGAGAATGATTCTGATAAATAAATTTTTAAAAATGTAAAAGTTGATCAATCAATTGCGAACTTAATTGGCAATAATTTGGAATAGATTATTTGATTCTAACTTTTGAAAAAAAGCTATTAATGAAAAAAAAATTGACATTAAAAAAATTATTTAAACAACAATTTTGAAATTTGGTTGATTGATAAATCAAAGAAACAAGTTAATATTTGTTAGATACTTTTATTATATCGATTAAGTCCTGTACATAATTTTTTTCTATCTAACAATAAGCAACTAAATAATAGTAAATTTTTAATGGATTTTGGCGACAACTAATAATAAGTTGATTTCAAAGAATTGTTTATATTATTTCTTGGTAATATTTAATGTTCATGATAATAAAAGAAAATTTATTAATTGTCTGTAAGGTTTTTAGAAGTATTTAATAAAATTTTATAACATTGATTATGATTGATTTCAAATAGAAAATTATAATTAATAAATACTTTCATTTAATATTTTATTTATTTTTTGGCTTGAAAATAGAGTTTAAACTGCTAAGACATAAAATATTTTCATAAGAATTTTATATTAATATTTTAATTTCTTTATACCATAATAAATATCTTTAATTAATATGAATAAATTATTCAATATAGCATTTTGAAGAGATTTTATTTACCTTACTCTTAATCTCTTAGTTACAATAAAAATAGTCTTAAATAAATGAATCTAAAATTTTATCAAAGATAAGAAAGGTATTTTTTTAGGTTATTTCTAAAAAAAGAAAGATAGAACAATAATTTTTTAGATTAATTTTGATGATTTTCAATGCATAATTTTGTGATGAAATTGAACAAAAATTTAAATTAATTCCAAAAAAAGATGACTATTTTAAGAAAATTATAAATTATATTTGAATAAAGACATAATTATTTAATTCATATGATGTCTAAATTGCTTTTTAACAAATAAAGTTTTATTTATTTCATTTATAGTTAAATTGTGATTATGAGTGATTTATTAAAATTTTGTAACTTTAAAACTATTCATTTTAATTTAGATTATTTACTAGGTGTGATAAATTATTTTAAATTATCTTGCTATTTTATTGTTTTTAAGAAAATATTAATTGACAATACAATTTTTTAATTAGACACATGATTAAAAATTGAGATTGTTTATTAAATAAACTGTGTGCATATATATGTGATTTAAAGAGTAAACTCTCTTTTCAAAGCATTTTTAATAAAAGAAATATTAATAAAGTAAAGTAAATACTGTCAATTGAATGCTTTGAATTTAATGTACTTAATGGTTGTTTTGATAAAATATTATTCTCATTTTAATACTTATTTCATTAATAGAAAGTATGAATTTCAATTTATTGCTTAACTAAAACTTTTTCATAATAATTGAAAAAAAATACTTCATTTAAAATTTCAAGCTTTAAAAAATTTTTGTTTAAAAAATTCTATCACTAGATTATTTTATAACTCGTAATATTATCCAGAAATTGAGCTATAAATTTATTTTGAATATTTGAGATATCAAAAAAAATTAGGTATGTGAATAGAAGGAATTTATTTTATTAAATAAAATTTAAAGCAAGTGAAAAAATATGGAAAATTTTTTAGTATTATTTATCGATCAAATTTCCAAATAAATATCTTTATTGTCTTTAATTTAATGTAAACATAAATTATCAGATATAGTGTTTTGATGGATATCAAATTTTTAATTTACAAGATAATTATACTCACAAATCAAATCAATAATTAATTCAATCGAACATAAAAATTTTTTGATTTTATGGTGAAAATTGTTTCCTTCTAACTATTTATAAATTTCGAAGAAAAGAATCATCTTTCATAATAATTTAAGTTGCTATCGTTGTATTCTTGCTTTTAAATAATATTAATTCATTCTTAAAAATTATATGATATATTTTTAACATTTTAAAAGCTAAAAACAGCGAAAAATTTAGTTTTTGGTATCTATTTGTTTTGATTTCTTCACCATTCATAGATTTAAATTTGCATCTTACTCTGCTAATTATTTGGTTATACTTAATAAAAATTAATAAATCATTCAAATTATTAATAGTGCTTCATCTGACTTACAAATTCATATTTTATAACATCAATTAAAAGTGTATAAAAGAATATTTATCAATTTATATTTCAATAATATCGACATTTATTGATTCAAGGTATTTTCAAAAACTATCAAAGGTTTTAAATAAATCTTGAGTTGACCAACTTAAACAACTTGTTTTTATTTTAAAAGCATAATTATGTTATAAAAAGATAATTTCATTCAAAAATACTAAGTTTTCCCACTCTATTCTTCTCCTCTCGATAAATAGATAAATAGAAGAAAAAAATTGGATTTTTATTTTGTTATAGAATGATTTAATTTAGATTACTAAAATTTTATGAAATCGCTCAGTTTTTCAACCAGCTTAAAACATAATAAAAAGGAAAAATCAGGTGGATCAACAAAAGCTTATTAATCTAATTATTATTAATATTCAGTTTATAATTAATTTTTACACAATATCTAAAATTCAAAATAACAAAATTAATGAAAACAAATATTCTATTGATTGCTTATACTATTTAGTTATTAATTGTAAGAGCTATTGATGTTTTACCAATTCAAATATCAAATGATGTCCTCTTTATAAAAGTAAATATAATATTAAGAATGCAATTATTTCTGCTGGCGCTTAAAATAAACTTTTTTAATTTAAAAGGAAACAAACTCTGTAATTTACCAAGCCTCAAGTGATTCTACTTACAGATATAGTATCCTTGATACCTAAGGAATTATTACAGCTACTTATTTATTAAATGGATTATAGAAAATTGACTTGAATACCAAATATTTCATCATAAATGTACTATTCTTTTAATTACAATCAATTATAAATACATTTTTATGCTTTAAAAAGAATTAGGTTTACTTGAATTATTTCTAGAGTTAATAATATCATACTATTGATTTAAATCTAATGACATCTGGTTAAACAGGGTATTTATAAACTCTTAAATATCCGAAGGCTGCTCAAGCATGTTCAACACCTGATATTTAAATCTAAGAAATAGTATAATAATATCTCTTTATAAATTTTTTCTACTAAAAATAATAAAGCTATGAGCAACATACATAAATTATATTTTATTAAATTCTTAAAAGGCAGGAGTTTACTATTACCTGTGTTTTGATTCATTTAATATATTTTTACTCTAAAGCTCAACTTTTTAAGGCTTATTTAGTACTCAAAAAGCTTATACCTCTTAAATAGGGATGAGGAATGAAAACACTCATATAATTCTAGATACCTAACTATTTACAAATGGAAATATCTATCAAATAAATATTTCATTTACTTAATCTACAAACATAGTATTAGTCAATGTAATTTCAAATAAATTCATTTCAATTAAAAAATTTTAATTTTAATAAAAACCATAAAACGCCAAGCAGATTTCTACCAAAAAAATTTATGTTAAATTTTTATATAAAATGATTAAATATTTTTATTGATTATAAACTAAATTTAATTGCAATTTTAATTATTAATTAATTCCTATTAATTTTAAGAAATTAAACAAATAAATCTTTAATAAAATATGAATAATTTTTTAGATGGAATATAACCTATATCTGATAGAAGATTACCTAACTTTAGTATAAACTACTAATTTAATATTTAAAGACGTTAATTCAGTAAAACTAAATGCTAGTGACATTAATAAACTTCTTATTTCTGATGTAATAAATTTTCCAAATGTAAAAAATTAACATTAATTAAACTTTTTCATAAATATAATATTTATTTTCAAATTTAAAAAAAATCCAATAGATCTCCATAATTGCAGCTTATGATTTCAAAAAAAAAATTTTCAGATATTTTAATGTGTAAAATTTATCAGAATTATAATCAACAGGAGTAACTTTGCCTTTTATTAATTACTAAACCTTTTTGTAATATGAGGTATTTATTTATCAACTTTATAAGATAAATATAATTTAGACATTTCATTTAAATAAAAACTAGAACACTATTTTCATTAGCACTTCATAATACACTTTAACATATATCTCTTCATCAAACTAAGTTAACATTGCTCAAAGTCCAAATACATCCTCAATCTCATACACACTACCTTACTATCATATTATTTACTATTCTTTTTCTTATGTAAGAATTTCTTTTAAACCTAAAAATAGCAAAGTTTATTTATTTAATATTAGTCCCTAACTTATTAGGTTAAATAAGGATCTACTGAATACTTAATAAATATTAACTAAGCCCTTAATTTTTGTGTTCCGGGTTGTTTAACATGTTAATCAATATCTGCCTGCGCTACTTGCTCATCTCCTCTATACTTAGATAATCAGTTTTAATGTGTTTCTACGTGCCCAAATTAATTTGTTCCAGATAATTCAAACATTTAATGCGTTTGTAGACCTAACAGTACATTATAAAAGTAAATTTTTATTAAGATTAAAAGATCTTCTAAATTCTGATTTAACTTATTCAAAATAAAATTAATTCCTTTTAAATATTTTTAGCTAAAGTTGCCCATGCAATGTAGCATATGTTGATATTAATGGAAATTGTATATCTTGCCCATAAAACTGTAACACATGTACCTCTTAAACAATTTGCTCTGTTTGCCAAACAGGGTATTTACTTGCAGCAGATGGTACTTGTGTTTCGAATTGCCCAGCTAGTTTTATCTAAGATTAAACTAATACAAAATGTGTTTGCCGTTTAAATAGCACTTTATCAAAGTAATTTTTACAAATAATTATAGCTTCTTTATTTTATTAAAGAATTTTTTTTATCAATCTTTAGCTTGCAATGCCCATGCAATAAAGGTTACTTAGATGTAAATGATAATTGTTAATAATGCCCATCAAACTGTGATATATGTACAAGCTTAACAACTTGTTCTCAGTGTACTTAAAATTATTATTTGACAGTATAAGGATTGTGTACTTCTGCTTGTCCTTCGACATTTATACCTGATTCTACTTCAACAAAATGTGTTTGTGACACAAACAGGACACTACAAAAGTAAATATTTTACTATCTATTATTTTTATGATAAAATAATATTTAATTTTAAAATAAATAATTATATTTTTATTATTTATTTATTAAATAAAGTAATTTATGTCCATGCAATTCTTCATACGTAGATATTAATGGTGTCTGTTAACCTTGTTCTTCTAATTGTATATAATGCACTTCATAAACATCATGCACAGCTTGCTAATAGAATTACTACTTAGCAACTGATATGACTTGTGTAGGAACATGTCCATTAACATTTGTAGTAAATGCAAACAAAACATAATGTGTATGTGATACAAATAGGACATTAACAAAGTAATAAATAATATAATTAAATTTATAATTTACTAAAATAATATCTTTAATACAAATTAAAAAGCAATAAATGTCCTTGTAGTAATGGTTTTATAGAAATTAGTGGTATTTGCTAATAATGTCCATAAAATTGTAATACTTGTTCATCTCAAACAAGTTGCACAGTTTGTTAGGCAGGATATTATTTAACTGTAGATGGTATATGTTAGCCATGCCCATAAAATTGTTAAAAATGCTCATCATAAACTACATGCTAAGTTTGCCAAGATGGATTTTATTAAACCATAAATTAAACTTGTGTTTCCTAATGTCCTAATAGTTTTATTGTTGATGTTTAAAAGAATAAATGTATCTGTGCTATTAATTAATCGCTATATAAGTAATTATCAATTCATATCTTAATTTACAAAAGGGGACTTAAATTTCTAAAAAATTTTTTTAACATAATTTTTTTTTTTTAACATCTAATTTAAAAAATTTTAAAGTTCCATGTTCTTTCACATCCATCCCTCTTCAACTTATATACATTTCTATAATTAAATATGTGAAAATAATTTTATATTTTATGAAAATAGCAACTAATGTATTACATGCTAGGATGGATGCATTAAATGTACTAGCCCATCTGATTGTTAGTAATACTCTAATTGTGGTTAATAGTTTAAATATGATTTCTCATCATAAAAATGCGTATAATGTTTATGGGATGTTTAAGCAAGAAGATGTGTAGATACTTGTACAAATAAATAACTTTATGATTCATAAAAATAGCTTTGCTAATAATGCTATTATTACAATGGAATATGCTAAAGTTCATGCCCTATTGGTTTTTATTCTGACAATAGTTTTTAATGTTAATAATGTAACTCATAATGTAAATCATGTAATGGGCCTAATAGTAATTAATGTACTAGCTGTAACTTTCCATTTTATTTATAGGATGACAGTACTTGTTCTATCTGCTAGTTAGGAGAGTTCTTAGATTAATAATAAACTATTTGTAAAAAATGTAATATCAGTTGCTTAACCTGTAATGGACCTAATTCAAACAACTGTTTATCCTGTGTACAAGATTAAATTCTATCAAAAGACAGTAATGAATGCTTGACTTAATCTTAAATTTAAAGCTAAGTCAAAAATAATTTAAAGATAAAATATTCTAATTGTAAGTTTTTAATTTTACTATCTTAAAAAATTAATAGATTAATTTTAATTTATAGGTGACCAAACAAACTTTGATTGCTCTTCTCTTTTTGCTGTATAAGAGCTTATTTAATAAATTTCTTCAGGCATTTTTATTGCTACAATAATCTCCCTCTTTTTATTTTTAATTTTTTCTAGCTCAAATGGACTATTAGGCTGGTACTGCATTTAGATATTTTAGCTGATAGGAAATTTAGCTTTCAATAAAAATATGAACATATTTTGGTTAAATATTGGATTTTTAAAGAATTTTCTTGCATATAATTTCTTGAATTTGGTTTCTAAAAATCCATTTTAAAATGATAATGATATCGAAATAGACTTTAACTTATATTAAATAGGCATATAAATTTAAGATTTCTACAAAAATTTTATACAAAATTGTTTTTATCATTTGATAGGATTAGTATTAATCCTTTTTTTAATGTTGAAAACTTATTTTTTGAAAAACCATTCTGGAATATTTAAGAGAGTAAATGAATATATAATATTTAATGGGCTTATTAGATATTTTATGATCATCTCTAATTTTATAATCCTTTGTATCTTCAATTCAATATAATAAGAAAATTATTTAGAAAAGGGAAACATTTATGTAATAGGTATTTTTGGCTTAATCTATTTATCACTTTACACCTTTATCGTAGTTTCTATTCTGATAGGTAGCTAAAATCTTAGCTAATCAATCAATGTTTCTTAATTAAATATACATTAAAATAAAAGAATTCGTTAATTCTTTTGGTGCTTTTTTGAAGTTAGAAAAATAGCTTGTATAGTAATAATTGTATTCTTTAATGAGTTTTAATTTAATGGAATAATTATTTCATTAATAAGCTCGCTATTTTTAATTTATTTAATAATTTCAAAACCAGCAGAGATAAAACAGTAATTAATATTTATCATTTTATCAGAGATTATATTGGTAGCGCTATTTATGATGTTTGAATTTATCTCTAATAGAAAATAGCTCAGTATAAATCCATAGATAGCCACATATTTAGCATTATGTAAATACAATTTTTTTAGATTTAATATTTATATTCTTATTTGAAATATTTAGGTTTTGTTATATCAGCCATAATTCTTAGCATAATGTTTATTATAGTATTCTGTTTAAACCTTTATTAATAATTGGAGAATTATTTTAAAAATAAAAAAATTTAAAAGATAAAAAAATTAAATTAACAACCAATTATACAATAATTCTAAATTTTTAATTCCTTTACTGATATTCAAACTGTTTTGTCCTCTTCTTTATAAAACAGTAAGATAAAATGGTCAAAATATCCTACTAAAAATAGATGAAAGCTAATAAAATAAAATATTTTATTGAAACTAAAAATTATAATAAAAATATAATTTATTTAATTAACAAAAAATAAAATTTAACAAATAATTAAAATATGAATGAATATAATTTGTAATAAATTAATAAAAATATTATATAAATTACATATTTATTATGAATAAATTATAATAAAAAGAATGTTACTTTCTTATAAAAAAAATTTTTATTTATTTTTTCTGAAAATGTATTCATTTTAATTATAGGGGGGGAAATTTTAAAATATATAATACTTAAATTCATTTTATTGGTTGATATTTAAAAAAAAAATCTAAATAAGTTTAACTATAAAATGATTTTATGTTTCCTATTAAAATAAATATTTATCTTAAAGGAGTTATTCACATCGTTTAAAAAATATTTTTTTTTAATTTAAGTAAGTTTTAAAATTCAAACAAACAAAATAATATAATTTACCATAAAAAGTAAAGTAATCACATATTTGATATCTGACTAAAAATATCCATTTATTTATATAAAATATGATATTACATTGGAATAGATGAACTAAATTACACAAATTAATTAATTAATTAAATATTTTTTTTGTTACTAATTATTTACTTTTATCGTGTATACTTAATAAAATAAAACAATATCTAAATATGCATGATTGCATGATTGCTTGCTAGGTAGGATATTGTTTTTATTAATCAAAAAATTATTTTAAATGTTAATTTTAATGGTAATTTCATTAATTTGATAAAGAGTAATGAAGCTTTAGATTTCAAAAAATAAGCTATAAAAAATTTTGATTGTAATTTATTTATCTTACAGTTTACTATTCTTTATGGAAATTTGAGTATTTAATAAAGAGAATATTATTATTAATTTGTTTCCAGTATATGAAAGAAAGTCATAACAATTACTTAGAATTATTAATAATCACCAATTTTCTTAATTAATTTAATCATCTTAAGATTGGGATAAACATATCTTACTCAGGTAATATTTTTCATATTTCATTATACCTATTATTTATATTTATAATATTGCTTTTTTGTAAAATAAACAAACAAATAGATAATTTTGTTTACTGATTTTTATGAATAATTTATATTTACAAAATATCTTTCATATTTACTTCTAATAAAAGTCAATAATACCTTCTTTTTTTTTAAATAATTGATTACCACAAAAATAAAATCATCATTCTTTGAAAGTATATAATTAATTAATTAAACTTGATTTTTTCATGTTTTTGATTCACGTTAATTACAATTTTCTTCTTATTTTTGTATCAAGTTATTTTTTTCAAAAATCATAATAAGTAAAAAATTAAAAACAACAACATACTTTTAAAAAAATCTGATTTTAAGAAAGAAAGAAGAAATATTTTTAGTAACAATAATCAAAACATTAAAAAACAATATTTTATTAGAATGTATAAATCCTTCTTATTAATAAACATTTTTTGCTTCTTCTCTTTCTGCTAAGATAAACTACCAATTCAAGCATTGAGTAATGTTTACTTCATTCAAGTAAAACGTATTTGTTGCTGTCTATTACTTATTTAAATGTACTTAAATAATCATAAGGAAACCAACGCAATCGTTTACAAAGCTTACCCTGATAAAAGGTGGAGATATAGTACCATGGATCAAAACGGAAATATAAGTTAAACCTATTAAATAATTGGCATGGAGGATTTATCTCAATCTTATTATATACTCGAAAATGTAAATACACTATTTTATTATTGATCATTTATCTTATTTAATTTTAAAATTAGCAATTGCTCTATTTTTTTACAGATTAAGCTTCTGAGTATTAACTTATTGATTTGAATCTCTTAACAAGTAATAAATAAGGTTATTATTCAAGTTAAATATTTTAACATTCTAAGCGCTATTGTTATTATCCAATGATAAGAAAATATGTAACTTTATTTAACATTCAAATATTTTCTCTTTTAAAAAACTTATTTCTTTTTTAATAAGGGGCCTCTATACTATTTTTTATGTCTTGACTATTATGGATTTTTTTGTCTCTAAGATTCTTCAATTTAATAATTGAAAACTTCATAAAACTATATTAAATTGTAACCAGTTTATTATTAATAAACTTATTTTTTGCTTGATGGTTATATAGTCTATAAAAATATTTTCTACACTACTCCTGAATCAGCAGATTATATTTTAATTGATGTAAATTTTGCTTAATTTTTTTTTGTTAGTCTAATAGTTTTATATTAAATTAATATATACTTAAGCTACTTTTTCTACTATTTTTAAATGTAATTTTTCATTTAATATCTTAATTTATATTTTTTATTATTATAATTAGTAAACCTTTGATATATTTCTATAAGATAAAAAGCTTTGTAAAGCAAGGATGAATGGTTAAACATTTAATTGCTCTAAAACCTATTACTTTGGAGTAATTTATTATTATTCCTCAATTATATTATCTAAAGTCTTTGATGCAAATGGGGTAAGTTTATATTTTATTTAAAACTTCAATTTAAGATTATTATTAAAAACTATTTAGATAAATTTAATATTTGTATTTGATTACAACTATGATAAATATGTATTTTTTGATGCATCATCTTTAGAAGTTATTAAAACAAATAGCGACTCATTAAAATAAACTAATAATCCTAAAGATATTATTTAGTATTTAGTAATTTCTTATTATAAATCAATTAATTTATTTTAAATAAAAAATAATTACAAAATAGAATTATGTTTTTATTTAAGGATATATCTACTAAGTTACTTATAATCCTTCACTTTCATAAGTTGATATTAAATAAATATCTTCTCCTTCTGATTACAATAACTACTAGACTGTGAATTATCCTTTTAAAAATTTTTAACTAGTAAATAATTTTATTTTATTTTAATTTAAAAATAAATTGATTTCTACTTTCAAAAGGGAGAAACTATATTATTGATGAAAAACAATGAATTTTGGATTTTAAACATTAAGTCTCTTTTCCCTAGTAATACTTCGAAATGCCCCTAGAATTGTTATTCTTGCTAACCTTCAACCACAAACTTATGCTTATATTGTAATGAAGGATATGATTTAATTGACAATGGCTAATGCCAGTAAAGAACTTGTATTTAAAACTGTAACTAATGTAAGGATTCATAGACTTGTTAGCTCTGTAAAGTAGGTTATCTACTTTAATTTAATAATACTTGCAGTGAAAAGTGCCCTATATCAGCCTAAATTGATAAAAATAATTCAAAATGTATATGCGACCAAAATGCCAATCTTATTAGTGGATAGTGCTAATGCTACACATAGTACTATATGAATATAAATTAATGCAAATAATGTATTCCTAATTGTGATAAATGTATCGATTAAACAAAATGTACCTCTTGCTCATTAGGTTTTTATTTATACGAAGACGGATCCTGTAATTTTTGTAATACTTAAGGAGGATATTTTATTAGGTAAAAATATTTTTCTTTTCAATACTCTTTTACTTTTTAAGCATTTTGTTTCTAATTTAATTAAAAAATAGATCAATCAATATTGTTTAAGTTTTATAAAATTATCGAAAAAAATAATTTATTTATTAATTTAAAATATATAAATAAATAAAGTGATAATATGTGTCTACCCTGCTAGAAAAATTGCTTGATTTGTTCTGATAAAAACACTTGCACTCAGTTTATCTAATGTGGAGCTTAGTTTACTTATGATACTATTTAACAAAAATGTGTTTAATGTTTATGGGATACTCAAAAAAATTAATGCGTTGATAAATGTAAAAATAACCAATTTAATGACAAAATAAAGATGACTTGTAGTTAATGTTATTTTTAAAATGATGTTTGTATTCAATAATGCCCTTAAGGATATTATGCAGATCTTAATTTTCAATGCTAGATGTGCCATAAATCATGCATGGCTTGCAATGGACCAAATTAAAATTAATGTTTAAGATGTTAAAAGTAATACTTTTTATTAGATGATCAGACTTGCTAAATTTGCTAATATTAACATTTCTTAGATTCAGTATCTAATGAATGCCATAAATGCCATAACAGCTGCAAAAGTTGTACTGGCCCTTTACCTAATAACTGCTTGTCATGTAACATTAATTTTATCTTCTACTAGAACACTAGTGAGTGTTTAACAGAAACATAAATTTAAAACTTGGAGATATAGAAACAAAAATTAATCTATGCGAATTGTAATATTCTCATTTTATTTATTTTTATAGTAATAACTAAATAAATTATTAATAAATAAATAGGTGATTTAATTTAAAGCGATTGCTCCAGTCTTTCTAATCTATCTGACTTTATTTAAAAATTATTTTTAGGGTTATTTATATTGACTTAAATTTTAATATTTACATACTTTTGTTTATCATCATCGAATTTATTAGGATGGTATTATATACAAATTGTTTAGCTGATTGGTAACTTGGCTTTTAATAAAAATATGAATTTATTATGGTTAAATATAGGATTTCTCAAAAATGTACAGTCATATAATCTATTTAATCTAATTACCTATAATCCATTCTAGAACTAATTAGATATTTTGATAAATTTTAATAAATTTAGTTTAGGCATTGCAATTTCTGATTTCTACAAAAACTTTATTTAAAATAGTTTTTACCAGTTGGCTGGATTAGTTATGATATTTCTTTTTATTCTATTGAGCTACATACTAAAAAACTAGATAAAATTAATAAATAGAATGCATAATTATTTAGTAATTAATTCAATTATAAGATACTTTATGATAACATCAAATATACTCTTGCTTTCTTCTTTCAGTATCATAAATCAAAAAAGTTTTACAGAGACATTCAATCTTTGTCTTTTAGCTTTATTCGGATCTATTTACTTTTTAATTCAAATGTATTGCTTAATTTAGATAATAACCAAACCTACTCTTGAAGAAAACATTTTTGTACTGCAAATAGATTTACAAAAATTTTAAAAATGTTAATCACTATTTTGGATTGTATTTGAACTAAGAAAAATAATTTGCACTCTAACAATTATTTTTTTGAGTGAATTCTAATTTAGCGGAGTGGTGATGGCTTCTGCAAGTTTATTTTACTTACTCTTTATAATTTTTTTTAAGCCAGTTCAAAATAAAAGCTATGAATTTGCTATCATATTTACTGAAATTTTTTGCATTGCGCTATTCAGTATATTTAATATTATCTCTAATAGAAGCTAATTCAACATAAGTCCTTCTATCGCTACTTACTGTACAATATGTAATATTTTATTTATAAAATTTTTAATATAAAATAATTTTTTAAATTTTAAAAATAGGCTTTGTTGTTTTAGTTTTAGTTTTAAAGATCTTATTTATATTGCTATTTTGCAAAGAAATATATATCTCTATAAAAAATTATTTTACAAATCGAAATCTCAAGAGCATAGAATCATTATAGAACAGTTAATTATAAATTTAATAATTTTAGATTTTTAATTCTATTACAGATATTGAAAAAATTCTATCTGCATAATTAAATAATTCTAAAATAAATTGGTAAAAGTAAGTAAGAAATAAAAAATGATAATTCTTTAGATTACCATTCTCATTTAATTAAAATAAGATAAGAAAGCTCAATTAGAGACAATACAATAAATATCTTTTTAATCAAATAAATATCATCCATGAGTTATCTTTACTTAAATACTAAAAATAACCAATAAATTAAATAAAATAAAAAAGTTTATTAGTTTATTGATTTATTTAATTTGTCAATATACTTAAATTAAAAACATTTTAAATTTATCAATAAAAATTTTATATAAAAATTGTATTTCTTTGACAACTGATTAGCTTTTAATTAAAATGAAAAAATAATAATAAATCAAAAATATAAAATAATAAATATCACTCTAGAATGAGTGATTAATAAGAAAGATTAATTAGACCAACAAGTTAGCATTTATTCTATATCTAAATTAAATAGTATCTTTTTTATTTTAAAGACTTTGAACCTTAAATATAAAGCTTTATAAATTATTTTACACCTCTATATTTGAATTATAAGAATAAAATTATTTAACTATTAGATAATTTATGTAATTTATTTTTCTTAAGCTTATTTTCATCTTAAAGAGTTTTTAATAATTTTTAATTTCTATTGAGCTTATGGAAGATATTAAAGAAAAAATAATTGTATATTAACTAGTTTAGCTTTTTAAATAATTGCTATAAAAAATATAGGAAATTGGTCTAGTTATACTTAATAAACTGAAGATTTAATTAAAGAAATAAATTAACTTGATAATACATTTTAAAAGAATAATTATTTAAAAAAGTTATATTTTTAATATTTTAATATTAAAATAATTCAAAAAAAAAGTTAATATTTAAACAATATAAATTTTATCGAATAATATCTTAAATATTTTATTAATTTATTTAAAAATAAATAATACTCTGAAGGGTGTGTATGAACAGAATTTTAAATAAAATCTGTAAGCGTTTTTCACAAAAAAATACTATTTCAATAAATTTTAGTAAAAGACAAAAATTAGCCACAATTAATTACAAAGTATGATCGAAAAATTTCAAACAATTTTTATTCTCAAAATATAAAGTAGTTTTAAAGATTGAATTGTATAAATAATTTAAATGCCAAAATGAAGTTTTAAACTATTTGATGCATTTTGATAATAAATTTTAAAATGAAATTAAAAAATAGAGCACAATTCGAAAACTATTACAATGCTAATAGACATATTTTATTACAAAATATTTATTTGATTGTATTTAATTTTTTTTATTTCAATTTCTTTACTATCTCATTTAATATCAATTTTCCTCCAAAATCTATCACCCGCATTTAAAGTGTATTCTAATTAATAATATCAAATATGTAATTCCCAAATAATTTACAACTTAATGAATGAATGAATGATATTTTAGAAATAGAACCATCCTTGATTCGTAATAAATTGTAAATAAATTTTCTTTAATTATCTTCATTATAATTGTGACTAATTATAATTAATTAATCGTAATAAATCTAATATGCCCATTTATTTTTTATGTCAACAAATTGCATCATAGATTATACGTAAAATATCAAATAATTAAAAAAATTTATTACTAATTTAATTAGCTTACACTAATTTGTTATAATCTTTAATCATCGATGATGAATATAATTAATTACAAATTTTCTTTGATTATTTTTATTCAACTATCAATTACCTCTATTTTAATAAATTTAAATGTAATAGTTGTAAATAACACTTATTTTAAATAGCTTTTTTATTTTACTGTAAATTTTATTCCAATTTTCAATAAATCACCATTTTATATTTTGTTTTTTGATTTAGACTGATAGAATTTTTTATTTTCCTTTCTAAAATTTAAAAGAAAGAAAAAGGATTGTGGCTAAAACTTATTAAATTCTTAGTGTAAAAGAATTAAATTTAGAAATAATTCCAAAGAGCCTTAATAAACGATTAGAATAACTTTTAACTATTTTTACTTGTTTGATATGGCAATACTTAATAGAAAAGCTTTAATGCACCGTTTTTTTTGAGATTAATACTTTAAAAATCAACTTGATTGATAAAAGGCCAAAAAAAACATTTATTTAATGAAATCAATAAAAAATAACTTTGGTCTATGCTTTTTTATTAATTTTTTAATTTTTAGAGTATTCTTTATGTCTTCGTGTTTATATAAAGTATTATAAATATTAGTTATGTATGGTCAGCGATCATTTCGTTTAATAAAATTATAGTTTTTAATTGAGGCTCTTTCTACATTATTTTGAAAAATCAACTAATCAACTTAATCTTTTGTTAATTACTTAAAATAATCTTTGAATTATTTTTAATTAATAAAAGGTAAAAAAATACATTCAAACAAACAAACAAATTAAGCAAAATAATAAAAATAGTGATGAATATTATTTTTATGTTTTTTATAATTTTATTTTTTATTACGCTCTTCCAATATATCAAATGCTTAGACTAACTTCCTTTTCAGGTTTCTAGCAATGTTTACCACATAAAAGTAATATTAATTCATGAAATTTAAGCTCAAATTTTTAATTTTAATAGGAAAATAACGCAATAGTTTACTAAGCATATAGTGATTAGACTTGGAGATATAGCTCATTTGATCAAAATGGAAATATAACAAATACTTATTTATTAGATGGATTCATTGATTTGAATGACTTTTCATTTTATTTCATTTAAAATGTAAAATAAATTTTTAAAATATAATCCTTTAAAATTCGTAATAGAATAACTAGATATATTTTTCAGGTGTAGGTCTTACAAATTATATGATAATTGATGTGAATTTACTAACAAATAATAAACCTAACTATTTGATCAAAAAAACATTTTAAAATTCAAATTTTATTTGTTATAAAGATGATCTGATTAGAAACTATGTAAATAATGACTAACATTTTCTTTAATTTTTATTCAATTTATTTTTTTATCTATTATTAATTTATTAGTATTAAAAAATTAGGGATAATACTACTTTTATATTTGTATGGATGGTTACTATCTATAGGAATCCTCTTTTAATGACCTTTTAACTACAAATAAAAAATACAACTTTTTAACTACTGTTAGGCCTAGATAAGCATATTTACTATTTGAAAACCAACTCTTAGTCTACAAAAATGTAATTTATACAAATGTATAAACAACATATTCTTCAGATTATCTTTTAGTAGATGTAATTAAATGATATATTCTTTTTTCAATATTTTATTTTATTATTTTATAATTATTTTTGTCATCAAATAATAAATATTTATTTTAAAGGAATAAAATGATTTATTTTTGCAGGATAATCAATTATGCAAAGCATAAATGAACTAGTAAACATCTAGTTTTTCCTGCTTAAAAATATATAATTTAGGAGTGTCTACTAGCAGTAATGATTACTCTACAATAGTATTATCAAAAGTGTTCTAATCTAATGGAGTAAATTATATAAATTTAACTAATAAATCTTAATAAAAAACTAAAATAATTAGATGAGTATTATTTTTGCATACAACTACTCAAAAAATAATTATGTTTTTTTTGATGCATCTACACTAAATACTATTCCCGCTACAGGTAGTTAAATAATAAGTCCTCTGACGAATTAAGATATTTTCTAAATGAATGTAAAAATAATTAAATCAAACATTTTTTAATTTATTAATCTAATTAAAAAGAATCAAATATTTATACAGTCGAATATGTATACTGCTACATATGATACTACTACATCAACGATTAGCATCAATCTGATTACTTCTAGTTTAGGCTCCAATTATTACAATACTCCAAATTTTCCCTTTTATAACTACAATTTTTATTATGTAAATGTTACTTTAATGTGATAAAAAACATTAAAAAATTTTTTAATTATTTATTTAGGGGAATACTTTATATTTATAAAAAGGAAGCAGTTATTATCTTATTAATATAAACTCAATTTATAATTTTTGTCCATAATTTTGCTAGAACTGTTTAAATTAATCTTAATGCTAAGTTTGTAATGATGGTTATCTCTTAAATAGCAATTCTTAATGCCAATAATGTCCAACTTCTGATTTTTAACTAGATAATAACAATAATTGTGTGTGCAAACCTAATATGAGCTTATAAAAGTAATTTAATTTAAATTATCTACTAAAATTATGTTATTTTTTTGTATTAAAGTAATAATAATAATTGTGCTTGTAATCAAGGATATTCAAGAGACTCTAATAACATCTGTTAAAGTTGCCCATAAAACTGTATATAATGTGATATTTAACAAAAGTGCTCATAATGTAGCTCTGGATATCTACTTAACAGTACTAATTTGTGTCAGTTATGTCCAAGTTCTGACTTTTAATTGGATTCCAATGATAATTGTGTATGTAAGATCAATATGACTTAATAAGAGTAAAAAATATTTATTATAGATTTTTTATATTAATTAAATTTGAAAATAGCAATTAATGTCAATGTAGTTAAGGCTATTCAAGAGATGCAAAAAGCGTTTGTTAAGAATGTCCTGCAAATTGTTTAGAATGTGATATTTCATAAAAATGCTCCACTTGTTAGTCTGATTATGTTTTGGATATCTAGGGTAATTGTGTGTGCAAACAAAATATGGTTTAATCCAAGTAAAACATTTTTAGAGTTTAATTAAAAATAAATAAATAATTTATTTTTTTATCTAATAGTGGGTCATGCATTTGTGCTGTAGGTTATTCGAAAAACTCTAATAATATTTGTGTATAGTGTCCAACTAATTGTGCTTAATGTGATACTTAATAAAAGTGTTTAGTTTGTATCACTAATTATTTCCTCTAGTTAGATAATTCATGCAATACGTAATGCCCATCTTCATCTCAAATCAATCCCTCTAATAATAATTAATGTATCTGTGATCCTAATGCAACTATTATATAATAAATAAATTGTTAATGTAAATTAAATTTCTATCAAAATGGAAATAAATGCCTTCCATGCATTGATAATTGCTTAACCTGCTAGAATTAAAATAGTTGTTAAATATGTTAGACAGGTTATATATTACTACAAACTGGATAATGCTAATTTTGTGACATAAAAAATGGCTTTTTTATTAAGTATTTTAAAATTCAAAAAAATTTAATTAAAAAACTATTAATTTTTAAAATAGGGATAATTAATGTTTATCATGCTAAATAACTAACTGTTTAGAGTGCTCAAATTAAAATTAATGCACAAAATATGCTAATTGTGGGGCATAATTTATTTACAACTATAGCACTAAATAGTGCGAATAGTGTTTATGGGATATTTAAAAGTTATAGTGTGTGGATAATTGTGATTTAACATATTAATATCATAATTAAGAAAAAAAAACTTGTAGTTAATGTTATTATTTAAATTAATAATGTGAGTAATCTTGTCCATAAAATTATTATTACGATAACAAATATAATTGTTATCAATGTGATTCGTCTTGTAAATCTTGTGAAGGTCCAAAATAAAACTAGTGCACAAGCTGTAATTAATATCATTTTTTATAAAGCGACTAAACTTGCTCTTAATGTGGTGATGGGTATTTTTTTGACTAAGCTTCTGGATAGTGTAAAACATGCAATGTAAATTGTTAAACCTGTAATGGTACATAATCGAATAACTGTTTGTCTTGTACAGAAGGATTAAAACTTTCAGAATTGACAAATGAATGCCTATCTTAATCTAAAATCGATAGCTAAACACAATAAATTTAAAAATTGACATATTCGAATTGTAAGATTTTTTTATTTATAAAAATAATTTTAACATTTTATTAAAACTTATTAAAAGGTGATTTAACTTCTTATGATTGTTCATCACTTTTTAGTTTATCTGACTTAATTTAGAAAATATCTTTAGGTCTATTCATAATATTTTTAATTACTTTTACTCTATAAAGCTTTTTTTCTTGTGCTGCTAATGTTTTAGGATGGTATAGTATATAGATTTTCTAGCTTATAGGAAATTTAGCCTTTAATGCAAAAATGAATATTTTTTGGATGAACATAGGATTTCTAAAGGGATTCCTTTCATACAATATATTTAATTTAATTTCAGATAATTATTTTTAAAAGACAGAAGATTTGTTGATAGACTTCAATTAGTATTCAATAGGCATCCAAATTTAAAATCTCTATAAAAATTTTATCGAAAATAGTTTTTATTAGTTGATCTGTTTATTGGTTGTGTTTTCTATTATACTTTTAAGTTACTTGCTAAAAGCTTAATTGGGTTCTTTAAATAGACTATATGAGTACATGAATATTAGTGGGATAATAAGATACTTTATGATAACTTCTAATTTTATTTTATTGTACTCATTCTATTCTATAAAGCTATCAAATTACAATATTTAGGGAAATGTGTATTTTATTGCTATATTTGGTTTTATTTACTTTATCATTTAAGTTTTTTGCTTTTATGGGCTATCTTTTAACAGCTTTGCTAATTATAATAACAAATATCAAGTATTATAAGAAGGCATAATCTAGCACCTAACATTTTCAAAGCTTTTTTGGACCATCTTTGAAATAAGAAAAATAGTATGTACAGCTAGTATTGTATTTTTAATTGAGTTCGAATATTGTGGAATAATTATGGCTGGGAGTAGTTTATTGTTTTTGATTTATATTTTTATTGCAAAACCAGTTATTAAGAAAAGTGATCAGTTGGCTATATTTTTTTCAGAAGCTGTTTGTATAGGCCTTTTTACTATATTTAGCTTGATAAGCAACAGGAATAATTGGAAAATAAGCAATTAGATAGCAACAAATCTAGCAATAAGTAAATATTAATTTTTATTATTTTTAAATCAAATTATTTTGTAAAATATTAGCTTTTATAGTGCTATCTCTAAGCTTAATCGTCATCTTTATATTACTATTTTTTATAAATATCTATTAATCTATTAAGGCTTATCTGGCAAACAGAAATCGTTAAAGTGTGATTTAGAAAGATAAATTACCAGTTTTATAGTAATTTTAAATATTTAATTCCGTTAAAGACATAGAATATGCTTTATCGTCTACTTTAAATAATTCGAAATTCTCTGCTTATCAATTTACTAAAAAGGAATTTTGAAATTTAAGTTGTCTTAGAATATAATATTAGAAAACATTTTATATTAAAGTAGAATAAAAAACAAAATTTTTAATTTATTTAATATTATCGAATAAATATTTGTGTTAAAAAACTGTTTAAGTTTGTAGATTTTATATTATTTATTTTATATAAACTTAAATTAAATGCAATTTAATATTCTTTAAATTTTGATTCAAGTTTTAGATTTTTATTTTTAATAAATAAGCATTTTGTAACTAGAATAATTTAGTTTATGAATAAAAATAATAATAAAAATATTTTTATTGAGAGAAAATTGTTCTTAATTTTTGAAAAATACGATTGAATAAAATGAAGCAGAAATTTATTAATTAATAATAAAATAGGACAAAAATGCAGAGAACGATAATAAAAATTATAAATAATACTTAGGAAGAATTGTTTTTCCTCCCTATATTAATTAGAAATTCAATAATTGATTTTATGGAAACTAAATAAATTATTTTGTTATTATTAGTGTATGTTGCCTTGAAAAAGGCAGTACCTTAGAATGTACATATATAAAATAATGATTTTTATAATTATTTAGTATCTTATTTAAATATATTTTTGGTTTTTATTTTAAAAACAAATCTTAATTATTTTAACTATAAAACAAATTTATGCTGCCTATAAAAAATAAATATTACTCTAAAAGGAGTTAGTTATTGACATTCTTTAAAAAATAGTTTTTAAAATTTAAGTAACTTTTAAAATTAAAATAAAATAATATAATTTACCAAAAAAACAAAAGCATTCGCATATTTGATATATGACTGTAAGTATGCATTTGTTTATTAAAAATACAATTTTACATCAGAATAGATGAATTAATTACACAAATTAATTAATTTAATCATTCTTTTGTTACTACTTATTTACTTTAATCAATTTGAATATTTTATAAAATAAAACCATCTCTAAATATGTATGTATGCATGATTTTTAGCTTGAAAATTATTTTTATTAATCAAAAAATTATTTTAAATGCTAATTTTAAAACTAATTTCATTAATTTTATAAAGAATAATGCAGCCTATGATAAAAATTGAATTACTAAATTTTTAATATATTTATTTATCTTACAGTTTACTTTTCTTTTAGCAAATTAATTTGAGTATTTAATAAAGAGATTATTATTAATTTTTTACCAGTCAATAAAAAAGGTCATAAAAATTTCTTAAAATTTGTAATAATCACTAATTTTCTTTAGTAATTTAATCACCTTAAGATTGGATAAACAAATATTAAAAAGGTAAATATATTTAATTTTTCATCAAATTTGTGATTCGTATTAAATCTAATTATACTTTCTTTAACTATTCTCATAATAATTAGAAAAATATTATTACTAATTTAATTAGCTTACACTAATTTGTTAGTCTAAAATAAATAAATTTGAATGTAAATAGTTGTAAGTCATTTAAAAAAATTTTTTTATTTTATTTCAAATTTGATTCCAATTTTCAATAAATTACCATTTTATATTTAGTTTTTCATTCAGATTGATTGAATTTTTTATTTTCCTTTCTAAAGTTTAAAAGAAAGATTTTTAAAAAGCCAAAAAAAAAAACATTATTTAATCAAATAAATAAATAAAAAATAAATTTGTTCAATGCTTTTTTATTTATTTTTAATTTTTTAAGGATTCTTTATGTCGCTTTGCTGATATAAAGTAGATGAATACTTGAATAGATATTGAGAGACGATTTCGTTCAATATAATTATAATTTTTAATTGATGGGTTTTAACTATAATATTTTGAAAAATCAACTAATCAACTTAATGCTTTGTTCATAACTTAAAATAATCTTTGAATTATTTTTAATTAAAAAGAAATAAAAACAATACTTTCAAACAAATAATATTAAATAATAAAAAAAGTGATGAATATTATTTTTAAATTTATAATAATTTTTTTTATTATTAGTCTCATCCAAAATATCAAATGTTTAGACTAACTTCCTTTTCAGGTTTCTAGCAATGTTTACCACATAAAAGTAACATTAATTCATGAAATTCAAGCTCATATTTCAAATTTTAATAGGAAAATAATGCAATAGTTTACAAAGCATATACTGATAAGACTTGGAGATATAGTTCATTTGATCAAAATGGAAATATAACAAATACTTATTTATTAGATGGATTCATTGATTTGAATGAATTTTCATTTTATTTCATTCAAAATGTAAAATATATTTTTAAAATGTTATTACAATCCTTTAATATTCTAAATAGAACAACTAGATATATTTTTCAGGTTTTGGCCTTACAAATTATATGATAATTGATGTGAATTTATTAAAGAATAATTAATCTAATTTTTTGGTTAAAAAAATTTCAAAAATCCTCATTTAAGTTGTGGTGATGAAGATTTGATTAGAAACTATGTAAATTATGATTAGGATTTTTTTTTTTATTCAATTTTTTTTCTTCTATTATTAATTTATTAATATTAAAAAATTAGGGATAATACTACTTTTATATTTGTTTAGATTCTAGAGGTTACTATCTTTTAGAATACTCTTTTAATGATCTTTTAACTACAACAAAAAAGAAATAATATAATAGTTTTGTTATGGCTAGATAGGCATATTTACTATTTGATAACAAACTTTTAGTCTACAAAAATGTAATTTATACAAATATAGAAAAAACATATACTTCAGATTATCTTTTAGTAGATGTAATTAAATGATATATTCTTTTTTCAATATTTTACTTTGTTATTTTAAAATTATTTTTGTGCATCAAATAATAAATATTTATTATAAAGGAATAAAATGATTTATTTTTGTTGGATAATCAATTCTGCAAAGCATAAATGAACTAATAAACATCTAGTTTTTCCTGCTTAAAAAAATATAATTTAGGAGTGTCTACTAGCAGTAATGATAAATCTAAAATAGTATTATCAAAAGTGTTCTAATCTAACGGAGTAAATTATATAAATTTAACTAATAAATCTTAATAAAAAACAAAAATAATTAGATGAGCATTATTTTTGCTTACAACTAATCTAAAGGAATTTATATTTTTTTTGATGCCTCTACGCTAAATACTATTACTGCTACAGGTAGTTTAATAATAAGTCCTCTGACGAATTAAGATATTTTCTAAATAAATGTAAAAATAATTCAATGAAACATTTTTTAATTTATTAATCTTATTAAAAAGAATCAAATTTTTATACAGTCGAATATGTATACTGCTACATATGATACTACTACATCAACAATTAGCATCAATCTGATTACTTCTACTTTAGACTCCGATTATTACATTACTCCAAATTCTCCCTTTTATAACTACAATTTTTATTATGTAAACATTACTTTAATGTGATAAAAAAATACTAAAAATTTTTTTAATTATATATTTAGGGGAACACTTTATATTTATAAAAAGGAAGAAGTTATTTTCTTATTAATATAAATTCTATTTACAATTTTTGTCCATAATTTTGCTAGAAGTGTTAAAATTAATCTTAATGCTAAGTTTGTAATGATGGTTATCTCTTAAATAGCAAATCTTAATGCCAATAATGCCCAAATTCTGATTTTTAACTAGATACTAACAATAATTGTGTGTGCAAACCTAATATGAGCCTATAAAAGTAAATTAGGTTAAGTTATTTACTAAAATTAAATTATTTTTTTTGTACTAAAGTAATAATAATACTTGTGTTTGTAATCAAGGATATTCAAGAGACTCTAATAATACCTGTTAAAGTTGCCCATAAAACTGTATTTTATGCGATATTTAACAAAAGTGTTCATAATGTAGCTCTGGGTATCTACTTAACAGTACAAAGTAATGTCAGTTATGTCTAAGTTCTGACTTTTAATTAGATTCCAATGATATTTGTGTATGTAAGACCAATATGATTTAGTAAGGGTAAAAAATATTTTTTATTGATTTTTTATATCAATTAAATTTGAAAATAGCAATTAGTGTGAATGTAAGTAAGGTTATTCAAAAGATGCAATTAGTGTTTGTTAAGAATGTCCTGCAAATTGTTTAAAATGCGATATATCATAAAAATGCATCACTTGCTAGTCTGATTATGTTTTGGATATCTAGGGTAATTGTGTGTGCAAACAAAATATGATTTTATCAAAGTAAAACATTTTTAGAGTTTAATTAAAAATTAAAAAATAAATAATTTATTTTTTTATCTAATAGTGGGTCTTGCATTTGTGCTGTAGGTTATTCGAAAAACTCTAATAATATTTGTGTATAGTGTCCTACTAATTGTGCTTAATGTGATACTTAATAAAAGTGTTTAGTTTGTATCACTAATTACTTCCTCTAGTTAGATAATTCATGCAATACTTAATGCCCATCTTCATCTCAAATCAATCCCTCTAATAATAATTAATGTATCTGTGATCCTAATGCAACCATTATTTAATAAATAAATTGTTAATGTAAATAAAATTTCTATCAAAATGGAAATAAATGCCTTCCATGCATTGATAATTGCTTAACCTGCTAGAATTAAAATAGTTGTTAAATATGTTAGACAGGTTATATATTACTACAAAGTGGATTATGCTAATTTTGTGACATAAAAAATGGCTTTTTTATTAAGTATTTTAAAATTGAAAACAAATTTATAAATTTGATTAAATTATTTTAATTTAACAATAATTTTATTTTTAAAAGTAATAAAAATTAGTGCGTTTCTTGCTAATAAAATAATTGTTTAGAATGCTCAAATTAAAATTAATGCACAAAATATGCTGATTGTGGAGCATAATTTATTTACAACTATAGCACTAAATAGTGCGAAATGTGTTTATGGGATATTTAAAAGTTTAAGTGTGTGGATAATTGTGATTTAACATATTAATATCATAATTAAGAAAAAAAAACTTGCAGTTAATGTTATTATTTAAATTAATAATGTGAGTAATCTTGCCCAAAAAGTTATTATTATGATAAAAAATATAATTGTTATCAATGTCATTCATCTTGTAAATCTTGTAAAGGTCCAAAATAAAACTAGTGCAAAAGCTGTAATTAATAGCATTTTTTACAAAATGATTTAACATGCTCTTAATGTGGTGATGGGTATTTTTTTGACTAAGTATCTGAATAGTGTAAAAAATGCAATGTAAATTGTTAAACCTGTAATGGTACATAATCCAATAACTGCTTGTCTTGTACAGAAGGATTAAAACTTTCAGAATTGACAAATGAATGCCTATCTTAATCTAAAATCGATAGCTAAACATAATAAATTTAAAAATTGACATATTCGAATTGTAAGATTTTTTTATTTTAAAATATAATTTTAACATTTATTAAAATTTATTAAAAGGTGATTTAACTTCTTATGATTGTTCATCACTTTTTAGTTTATCTGACTTGATTTAAAAAATATCTTTAGGTCTATTCATAATATTTATAATTACTTTTACTCTATAAAGTTTTTTTTCTTGTACTGCTAATGTTTTAGGATGGTATAGTATATAGATTTTCTAGCTTATAGGAAATTTAGCCTTTAATTCAAAAATGAATATTTTTTGGATGAACATAGGATTTCTAAAGGGATTCCTTTCATACAATATATTTAATTTAATTTCTCAGAATTCTTTTTAAAAGACAGAAGATTTGTTGATAGACTTTAATTAGTATTCAATCGGCATCCAAATTTAAAATCTTTATTAAAATTTTATCGAAAACAGTTTTTATTAGTTGGCCTGTTTATTGGTTGTGTTTTCAATTTTACTTTTAAGTTACTTGCTAAAATCTTAATCGGGATCTTTAATTAGACTATATGAGTACATGAATATAAATGGAATAATAAGATATTTTATGATAACTTCTAATTTTATTTTGTTGTACTCATTCTATTCTATAAAGCTATCAAACTACACTATTTAGGGAAATGTGTATTTTATTGCTTTTTTTGGTTTTATATACTTTACCATTTAAATCTATTGCTTTTATGGATTATCTTTTAGCAATTTTGCCAACTATACAAACAAATATCAAGTATTATAAGAAGGTATAATCTAGCACTAAACTTTTTCTAAGCTTTTTTGGACCATCTTTGAAATAAGAAAAATAGTATGTACAGCTTGTATTGTATTTTCGAATGAATTTGAATATTGTGGAGTAATTATGGCTGGGTCTAGTATATTATTTTTGATTTATAATTTTATTGCAAAACCAATTACAAAGAAATGTGATCAGATTGTTATATTTTTTTCAGAAGCTGTTTGCATAGGTCTTTTTATTATATTTAGTTTGATAAGCAATAGGAATAACTGGAAAATAAGCAATTAGATAGCAACAAATCTAGCAATAAGTAAATATTAATTTTTATTATTTTTAATCAAATTTTTTACTAAAATATAGCTTTTATAATGCTATCTCTCAGTTTAAGCGTCATCTTTATATTACTATTTTTTATAAATACCTATTAATCTTTTTAGGCTTATCGTACAAACAGAAATCGTTAAAGTATAATTTAGAGAGATAAATTACCTGTTATATAATAATTTAAAAAATTTAATTCATTTAAAGAAATAGAGTTGGCTTTAACTCTTAATTTAAATAATTCGAAATTCTCTGCTTATAAATTTACTAAAAAGCAATTTTGAAATTTAGTTGTCTTAGAATATATTACATTAAAAATATTTTATATGAATAAAAACCTAATTTTTAATTTATTTCATATAAATACAAGGATTAAAGTATTTTTATGAAAAATATGTTTAAGTTTGTAGATTTTATATAATTAATTTAGTTAAACTTAATTAAAAATTTTTATTTTTATTCTTGAAATAATTAACAGAAATTTAAAAAAATAAATATTATAAAATTCATATTATCTATTTTTTATTCAAATAATTTATTTGTTTCAAAAAATTTAGAATTTCAAATATATTGTTTTAAAAAATTGAAGAAATAAGCAAAATTAATTAAAATTTATAAGAATTATTATATATATTAATGTGTTAATTGTTTAATAATAGAAATCAATTAATAATAATAAAAGGATAAGGATAAGAAGTGTAAACAAACAAAAACTCATGATTATAATTGATTAATAATTATATTTATTAGAAATTTTATGTTCATAAATTAAAATATGTTTAAAATTTTTATTTTAATTATTGATTTATAGATTTGTCTTTAAATTTTATAATACCAATAATTAATAATTTTATTATGGTTTTAAATCAGATAAAAACATTTTTATCAAATAATTAAAATTTTAATGACTGACTGATTTTTAAAATGTTGAAATATTTAAAAAATTTAAACAATTATTTAATTAATTTACATTTTTAAAACGAAATTATAATATTTTATTTTTAATTGATTTATCAATCTCTTTTTTATTATAAAAGAAATTATATAATTAAAAATGGCAATTATAGCTAAGTAAATAAAGTACTTGAGAAAAATCAAAATAAATTCCAAATATAATTCAAGAGTTATTGAAATGCTTTTTAAATAATTCCAATATATCCAAAAATTAAAATTTCAATTTTTATGCCTAAATTATTATTAAAAATCATGGAAACATAAAATTAAGAAGTAAATTAATATTATGATAATCTGAAAGATTTCAATTTAACAAATATTTCAATATAGATTCTTTTAATTTTATTTGAATACCATCAAAAAGTTATAAGTGAATTATATTCTTTTCTTGCTATCGATATTTCCAATTTTAGGTATATTTTTTTAGATTAATCAGCAACTAACTAATTATCATTTATTATTAATTAATTAGTGCGTTTATTATTTAATTACAAATATTTGTTTTCTAATAAATATTTCCACACAATTTATATTAAAGACAAACAATTAAGTGAAAGAAACATAGAAAGCTTAAAAACTTTATTGATGCAAAAAGCTGATTTATCAACATCATTCATGAAAATTTTAATCATTTTAATATTATTTTTAAATATAATTTTATGCTTGGATACACTCCCCATTCAAGTTAAGAGCCTTGTGTATAATATACCTGTAAAATAAATAAATTTTTCACTCAAAAACTAATAATATTTTTTAAATGATGTAGGAGAAGAGCGCAATAGTGTATTAAGCGAGTGCGGACTCACTTTGGAGATACAGCCAATATGATAAATATGGAAATATAACCTCAACCTATATAATTCAAGGATTTTCTGATTTGTCAACTCTTGGTAGATCATATTATTTTATATAAGATGTAAATTACAAAGTTCATATTTTTTAAGATTTTTTCAACCTATAACAATAATATGAATAGGATAATTCACTTTACTTTTTTACTAGTAGTACCAGTTCAGAATATTAGATTATTGATATTAAATTACTTACTACAAATTAAAATGGTTATTTGACTAAAAAATAGTTCTCGAATAGTAATTTTAGTTGCTCAGGCAATAGGATGGTTGTTAAAAATGTAAATTTCAAGTATTATTAATTAATTTCGCTGTATTTATTTTTATTTATTATTTGCAAAAGGGTTAATTCTTTTATTATATTTGTATAGGCGGCTTCTATTCTTAAGGAGCATCGTTATAAGAATTATAAAGTACTTCAAATACCATAAATTTATAAGGAGATACAAGAATTAGATAGGGTTACTTTATGATTGGAAATTAAATATTAGTTTACAAAAATTTTACTTTTACGCAGCTTCCGATTGTCTAATCAGTGGGTTATATTTTATTAGATGTAATTTTTTAATTATGTTTATTTTGGCTTAAGTAGATTAATATAACGACTTTCAAAGATGTTTACAAATTAACTTTTGAATAACTTTAGATTAAATGAGTAAAAGGAAATGTAAAACTTGAATAAATTAGAAATCTATTTCTAAAAATTAATTTTATATTTTACATTCAAGCTTACATCAAAAAATTTATTTATTTATTTAATTAATTAATAAATTAAAATATTTTTTAATATAAATTTAAATAAAATAAATAACTTTATAAATACAGTAATAATTTGATTTATTTTTGCAAGACTGTAAACTATGCAAAGCCTCAATGAATGTACCAAAATTTGAATGCTCAAAAACTTATGATTTTGGATATTCTAGTGATACTTAAGTTGTTATTTCTAAAGTATTTTAGTCTAATGGTGTAAAATTTTAATATTTTTAGTGAATGAATACAATATTTAATTATTAAAAATAAGGCAAATATTATTTTTGGGTATGATTCAAATAAATCTAAGTATATTTTTTTTGATGCTAATAATTTAAATTAAATTGCTTATCAAGGAGATACTTTACAAAGTCCTCAAAGCTAATTTGATGTTATACAAAACGAAGTAAAATTAAAAAATAAATTTTGATTTAATTAATAATTATAATAACAAAATAGAATTATGTTTACATTAGGCAATATCTGTACACTGTAACATATGATAGCACTTCATAAAAAATAAATATTGCATAAATTTCTTCTAAGTTACCTGTATATTCATTAGTTAGTGGACCATTTTATAATTCAAATTTTTATGCAGTAATTTATTTTTTCTTGCTTTTTAATATTAATCTTAGCTTAATATTTAGGGAAGCGCTGTGTTTTTGCAAGATTCTAATTCGAAAAAATAGATTATTAATATCAACAGTATATACTAAGTTTGTTAGAAAAATTGTTTCTACTGTTAATTTTAAACACCAGATTTATGTCAATTGTGTAATAGTGGATTTAATTATAATAATAATAAATGCTCAAAATCTTGTCCTAACACTGACTTTTAAGTTGACATCAACGAAAATTGCATTTGTAAACCAAATATGGACTAAGTTGAGTAAATTTATAAAATCATTAATAGATTATTAAATATTATTAATCATACAATAGTGCTAATACTTGTGTTTGCAAGTAAGGATATATTAGAGACATAAATAATGTTTGCTAAAAATGCCCAAATAACTGTAGTACCTGTGATTAGTAATTAAAATGTACTTAATGTGCAGTATCATTTTACATATAATTAGATAATTCTTGTGACAGTACATGCCCTTCTTCTGCTATAAAAGATTCATAAAAAATGACATGTAAATGTGACCCAAACTCTATTATAGCTAATAACCAATGCTAATGCAACAGTAAATATTATTAGTAAGGTAATTAATGCTTGAAATGCATTTAAAACTGTGATTCATGTTAAAATTCATAAACGTGTAGCAAATGTTCATCAGGATATTTTGATTTGGGAGATGGATAATGTAATATTTGCCAAACAAACAAAGGATATTATATAAGGTATTTCAAAATTTATTTTAGATCTTCAAAATGAAATTATTTTTAAACAAAAAGAAATTGATTTCTATTTTTTTATTTTTAGATAAAATTAATAATTATATTTTTGATTTTTTGAATTAATAAAGTTAAGACAAATGCAATAAATGCCCTAATAATTGTGATTAATGCTCAGATTCTACTTCTTGCAATCAATGCTCTACTGGATTTTACAAATTTAAAGATGGATCTTGCAATATTTGTGATACATCTAAAGGGTTTTATATCAAGTAATTTTTATATTTTAAATTTATCTTTCTACAAAAGAATTCTTGTAAGGATATTTGAATTAAGTTTGCATATATATTTTCAAGATATTTTCATATTTGAATAAATTTTTTAACAAAAGAGCTTAAATTTAAAAAAATTTTATTCAACTATTAATCATTTAAATTCTCTCAAAATTATAATTTTTTTATTAAATATTAAATTAACAAATAATAGCCAAAGTATGTGTATTTAATGTATTGAGAAATGTGATTAATGCTCAGATTCTCTAAAATGCAGTTAATGCTCTCCAGGATTTTAATAATTTCAGGATGGGACATGCAATATTTGTGATACAAAAAAGGGATATTTTATTTAGTAAAATTGAATATTAATTATGTAAAAATAATAAATTAACTAAACAAATAATAGACAAAATATTTGCAGTAAATGTATAGATAAATGTGATTAATGCTCTGATTCTCTAACATGCAATTAATGCTAATCTGGATTTTATAAATTCGAAGATGGGACATGCAATATTTGTGATACAAAAAATGGATATTTTATTAAGTAAAATTTAATATTTTGTAATAATTCTAAATTTCTAAAACGTATTATTTAAAAGTAAAGATAAATGTCTTCCTTGCATGGAAAACTGTCTATAGTGTACTAATTAAAGTAGCTGCGATTTATTTTCTAACTGCGGATAAAGGTTTAAATTTGATAAAGTTTTAAAAAAATGTGTACAGTGCTTATGGGATTTATAAGAATTATAGTGTGTCAATGAATGTAAAAATAATTAATTTTATGATTAAAAGCTGTAAATATGTAGCTAGTGCTACTATAATGAAGGAAATTGTTTATAAAAATGCCCTTCTGGTTACTATAATAATTAAAATAATCAATGTCTCCCTTGCTAACCTGAATGTAAATAGTGTACAGGACCTAAGAAAAATTAATGTAAATAATGCAATCAACCATATATGTTATAAGAAAATAATACTTGCTAATTGTGTTAAATTGGGACTTTTTTTGATAAAACTTCTAACTAATGCATTTAATGTTATCATAAATGTTTAAGTTGCTTTGGAGATTAACAAGACAATTGTTCCGAGTGTTTAAGTGGTTATGTTCTGTCAAAAAATACAAATGAGTGCTTAACAGAGTCTTAACTGTAAAACTAAAATAATGAAATATAAAAGTTAGAATATTCGTCTTGTAATATTATCTTTAATTGATTTTTAATTAATTTTTGAAACATTCTTTAAATAATAAATAGGTAGCTAGATTGGAATTGATTGCTCTTCGCTTTTTTAATTTTGCGAACTTATTTCCAAGATTTTTTTAGCAATGTTTATAACAACAATTATTTTAATAGCTTTTACATTTATTTCGAACTAAGAAACTTTCTTAAGTTGGTACTTTGTGTAAATTTTTCAGCTAATAGGCAATATTTCTTTAGATAAAAACATGAATATTTTTTGGATGGATATTGGGTTTCTGAAGAACTATAGCGTATATAATATTTTTAACCTGATAGCATAGAACTATTTTTAAGATGAATAATTAATTTTAAAAGATTTCAACTAATTCAGCATAGGATTAAAAGTTTAGAGTTTGTACAAGAATATGATTTAGAATTCCTTTTATCAGGTAGTTGCTTTGTTATTAATTTTATTTTTAATGATATTTTGCTGGTTTATGAAAGCCTAGTCAGGTATTTTATTCAGATTAAATTAATATTTGACTCTGAATGGATTAGTTAGATATTTCATGGTATCATCAAATTTAATGTTTATGTACAGTATTTAGATTATAAAGTAGAAGAACTTTTTGGAATCTGGCAACATTTACATTATTAGTATTTATTGTTTAATATATATCATCCTTTAAGTGTTCTGCTTCTATATTATCACATTCTAAATGTCAAGTAGCATGTCTGATAAAATTAATGTACTTTAGCTCAATATTAATTAAAACAACTGTTCTTCTAGGATTTTTTGGAGCATATTTGAAATTAGAAAAATAATTTTTTTAGTTTTCCTGATTGGATTTAATGATTTTCAGTATATTGGATTTACTATGTCTTCCTTTTGTTTCTTATTTCTTATTTATATCATTGCTTCAAAACCTTTAACAAGTAAAAAGCATTGGTTTGCAATTATTTTCACAGAATTAAGTTTTATTATTCTTTTAATCATTTAAAACTTAATATCAAGCAGAGATGTACTTAGTATTAACTAAAAATTTGTATTATATCTTTCCCTAAGTAAATTGATTTTAATTTAAAATTTTTAATTAGAATATTACAATAAAAATTTTATATTAATAAATAAATAGGCTTTATGATTTTAACCTTTGGAATAAATATATATTTCATTCTACTTTTTTTATGGAATATATATATTTTTTTTAAAGTCTGCTTAGTCAAAAAAAATAACTAGAGCATCTAAACACAAAATAAGCTGTTAGTACTTTAATAATTCACTTTACCTAATTCCTAGAAAGATATAGAAATGGTTCTGGCTGATATTTCTCTTAAATCTTCTTATTCACAATAAAAATATGCTAAAAAAGGAATTTTAAAATTAAGAAATTTTAAAATAATTTGAAAATAATTAAGATATTTAAAGGTTATTTATTAATTGTGTGTTTATTATTTATATATAATAAACTAATTATTTTAAATACTCAGAATCCTCTTTAATTAAGGCTCGATTAAATTAACAATCTATTTTTTTATCAGTAAATTAAGGGAATCAAATTTTTTTGATGATGAAAATAACAAAATTAATAAAATAAAAAAGTTTTTACGATATATATAAATAAAACTTCAAATTGTTTAAATTATTCCAAAATCTAGAAAAAATAATTTTAGCAAATTTAAAATATTTGCAAATTGAAACATTTTATCTATTCTTTAAAATTAACTGCACATATACATTAATTAATTCAGTATTTTTACTCATTATAGATGTTATTTTAACTTCTTTAATGACTCAAATGATTTATCAAAAATTATTCTTTTATGATAGAATATTTTCAAATGAATATTATTTCTAATACTTAAGTATAATATTTATTTAATAATTTAATACTTGAAAAAAATATGAAGTTACACATAATTTATTAATAAATGCATCTATTTTAAGCAATCTAAAAAGAAGCAAATAATTACCTCACGATTTGTATAAATTTATGCAAGTAAGATTTATTTAAAAATCTAAAAATAAAAGTAAAATTCAATATATTAAAACTTAATGTTTTTATTATGAAAATAAATAATTCATTTTTGGTAATAAAAAGAAATTAAACTCACCAACAATAAATAAAACATATTTCTTAGTTAATTTTATAGAAATATATAAAATTATTTTAAAATGAGTTGCTTGCTAATAAAAAAATTTAAGCTTTTAAAAAAATTCCTTGACTGACTATCTATTTTATTAGCATAAACTAAAAATTAAAGCAATTAATAAAATCATAAAAATTTATTTTTTATTATTTTTTTATTCATAATCGTTCCATTTTATTTTAACAAAATTTACCTTATTAATTGGATTTAAAATACTTATTTAAAATGATAAAATATTTATTAAAAATATCAACACAAATGAATAGATATTTTACTTTTATAGAAATATTATCAGCGTTTGGATTAAATCATTACATATATCATCAGAAAATAAAAGAAATAAGTTACTTTTAATTATTTTTAAAGTATGACTTTCTTAATTAATAACTCAAGAATCAAAGTAAATTTTTGGCCTGAAGTAAAAAAGCTAAATTACACTAAAATTGCTCCTCATAGTCAATTAAATTATAATTTTATTAAAAAAATCGTATCCTTTTTTATTGCTTAAATTTTTAAGAAAAGATAATCTCATACTTTTAATTATACAAATAATTAATCAAATTTACTAAATCAATCACTTTTGACAACTTTAAGAAATGAGGAAGCTAGCAAAATATTTTTTAATAATAAACTTTGTATTCTAAATACTGTGTTAAAGCTAAATTGAGATATCATAAAATATTCTCTTCATATAAGTAAATTAATTACTGGTTAAATTTAGTAAAGTTTATTTTTAAATACAGGAAAAAAACATCATAATTTACAAATCTGTTCAGGATAATAATTGGAAATTAAGCTAAATATTAAAAAATGGTAGGATATCCTTCACTAAAATTTTGAGCTCATTCATTGATATAACTTTTCCTCTAACATATTTTATTGAAAATGTATTAAATTAGCAAAAAATATCAAACATTTATTTTTACCTTAAAATTAGGATAAAGATTTGTATATATTTAGCGATTACTTAGGATATCAATTAATTAACATCTCAGATTTTAGCCAACCCTAAATTAAAGTTCAAACTGGAGTGATATTAACAAATGATCGTTGCTTGAGGTACGCAATTGTGAAATCTGTAAATAATTGTTGATTATTTATGCTTAATATATAATATAAGACTTTAACCTTATTTAAAGAAACTTTATTTTCATCTTTAATGTTTTTTTTTAATCAATTTTAGATAAGCATGTACGTGTATATATGCTACGAAGTGGAAAATACGTTTTATTATTTAGGGAATAACTTAAGTTAAATATAATCACAAATAAAAAATTTGATTGCATTTAATTATAGCTTTAATAGTTAATTTGCAAATATAGATGAAAGCTCTTTTTTTTTCAAAGGAAAGGAAACACTTTTCTATTTTGATGGTTTTATCGAAGAAGTTTATTTGATTGATGTAAATATTTTTGTTAATTTTATTTTATAAAATACCTATTTTAAAAGTATAATAGCGATTTATTTCTTATTGATAAAAAAATATGTTTATTGATTTTTACAAGACAAGATTCAATTTGTAAAGATTTAGGATACCCAAAATTATCAAAAAATGGCTAAGTGGCTTTGTCAAAAGTCTTTGAATCTAATGGGGTAAAAAATTAATCATTTACTAGCTTAATAATTAATTATTATTTTTTTTAATTTTAATTGATTTTCTTTAAAATTTCTAGAAAAGTATAAATTTATTTGATTGATGTTATTTTTATTTATTTTTTAATCAAATTGAATAGAAAAAGATAATATTTGCCTACAATTAACAAGAAAAATAGTACTAATTTTTTGACGTATCTACTCTTGATCTTTTAAATGCTGAAGGATAATTAAATTATATCAGCGAATTAGATATTATTTAATGCGAAGTAAATATCTATTAATTTCAATTTACCTTCTTAAAAAATATTTAATATTTATTAGACTTATGTATTTATTGGTAATTACCAATATGAAATTAAATACGACCCAACACAAAATAAAGTTATAATCCAACTAATATCCAGTAATTTGGAAAACAAATACAAGTTAAGATACAATAATCTCTATTTAAAAAACTTCAATTAAGTAAAAATTATTTATTATTTAGTTTTTAATTTTAAAGTAACAAACGCATCTTTTGTTATAGGGAGATTTGTATGAATTGCAGTATGAAAATAAATACTATTTAATTAGCTTGTAAAGCTGTTCACTACCTTAAAAATCCTGCCCTTTGAATTGCTAAGAATGTGATTCTAATTAAGTTTGCTTAAAATGCATGAAGGATTTTTATTTAAATCCAAATTATTAATGCGTTCAAATATGTCCTTAAGATTTTGTAATTGACTCTTAAAATTAACGTTGTATATGTGACAAGTACATGATCTAAAAAAAGTAATAAATAAATATATTGTTAATATTATTTTTAATTAAGCAATTTTTTATTTTAGAGAATAGTGTGAATGTCTTCCAAGCTTTACTAGGGAATCTTAAAATAAATGTGGATGTTCAAAAAACTATCATTTAGATGAAGTGTAAAAACTATTTAACATTTTTGAATATTAATTAAGATTTTGATGAATTAAAGTAATAAGATTTGTAAATGTGACCTTGGTTTTTAACTAGATGAAAAAAGTCAATGTTAATGTAGACTAGGTAAAGAAATAGTAGTTAAAGAGGCTAACAACTATTGTGTTTCAAAAAACTGCTAGAATTTTGATAATTTAACTTTTAAATGCTCTAATTGTAAATCTGGATATGCTATTTCAAATGATGGTCTGTGCGTTTTATTGAACTGTTTAAATTATGATCATGAACAAGGGTTGTGTTCTTAATGTTAACTAGGGTACTCTTTGCAAAATAACTTTTGTAATCCTTCTAATTGCAATAAATATGATATAGAAAAATAAATTTGTTCCTAATGTTAAGATAAATATGCTTTAAAAAATAATTAGTGTTTTCCTTAATATTGTGAAACTTATAATTTTGAATTAAAGGAATGTACTAAATGTGAAACTAATTATTATCTATAACATGATAAAACTTGTAGTGACAAATGTCCACCAACTATGTAAATAAACCTTGATAAATCTTCTTGCGTCTGTGATATAAGTGCTAATTTTATAGAGTATACCATAATTTTTTTATTTAGTTTGATAAATTTATTATTAATATTTCCAAATTTTTCAATTATTATTAATTTCTTTAATATTATCAAAAATAATTTTAGTGGATCTTGTCAATGTTAATCAGGGTATTTTCTTGATGAAAATAAAAAATGTTCATAATGTTTAGAAAATTGTGATTAGTGTTTAAATAAAAGTTCTTGCATTCTTTGTAAATAAAATTTTTTTAAAGATTACAATGGATTGTGCGTTGCTTCTTGCCCTTCAACATTTATTTAAAATGAAAGTCTTAAATTATGCCAGTGTGATTCAAATGCGGATTTCATTCAAATTGATTCATAACAGTAATTTTTTAATACCAATTTATTATCTATTAAAAACTCTTTTTAGTTTATGTTAGTGTAAATCTAGATTCATAATGAATTAAGGAAAATGTGAGAAGTGTTCTGATTTTTGTGATAAATGCTCAAGTTCTACAAATTGTTAAAATTGCTAGCAAGGCTATTTTTTATCTCAAGATGGAACTTGTAATTTGTGTGATACTGAAAAAGGACACTTTATAAAGTAAATTTCTTTTTTTTTAAAAACTTAACTAATTAAAATTAATAAAGAGAGGATAAATGCTTGAAATGTAAGGCTGGATGCAATTTATGTGTTGACGAAAACACATGCGCTGATGACATAAAATGTGATGAAAGATAAAGATAAATATTTGATAAAACTTTAAAAAAATGTGTTTAGTGCTTATGGGATAAATAGAAGAATAAATGCATTGAGAAATGTACAGAAAATCAGCTATATTTAAAAGATTAAATGACATGTAGTTAGTGCTTTTACTATAAAAATGAATGTCTTTTGAAATGTCCATCTAAACATTTCGCTAATTAATAAAACTAATGTGTTCCTTGTCATTCAACTTGTGCTGAATGTAAAGGGCCTAATTCTAATCAATGCTCTTAATGCTAAAGCCCTAATTTGTTATAAGATGATAAAACTTGTTCTAGGTGTGAATCAAGAAGCTATTTTGATACATAAAAAAATACATGTGTGAAATGTCATTACAAATGTTAAAGTTGTAATGGCCCAAATATATAGGATTGCTTGACTTGCTCAGAATCGCTTATCTACTCAGAAAAAACAAACTAATGCGAAAACTTAGAAGAAACCCAAAAATTATTAGAAGAAAAATAAAAGTTTTAACATTCTGAATGTAAGTTTTAAATATTTTAAATTTGAATAAATAGTTTTTATTTAAATTTATTTTAGGTGAAGATTCTGGGCTTGATTGTGATAGTATTTTTGAGTCTATTTAAAAGGTTTTATATGTCTAACATGGAATGGAAATATCAAGTTTGATTTTGATGGTTTTAATCTTATTGATTTCTAGCAATAAAACATTAGTTTGTTTTTACTTTATTTAAGTACAATAATTGTTAGGAAATCTATCTTACATTGAATCTCATAATTTACTATTGATGGATATAGGCTTTCTCAAAAACATGTAGATTTATAATGTTTTAAACTTAATATCATCTAACCCTTTTTAGAATGACTAAGATATAATTAAAGACTATAATAAGCATCAAATGGGGATAAATGTTTCTAATTTATTTAAATATTTTATATAAAATAGTTTTTATCATTTTCTAAGCTTATCAATAATTTTCTTAGTAATATTAGTTAGTTTAATATTAAAAAGTAAATCAGAATATGCAAATAAGCTTTTTAATTACATGAATATTAATGGAATAATAAGATTTTTTATGGTTACATCAAATGCATTAATACTTTATTCTTTGGTACACATAAAATCTGATAATTTAAAATTAAGCTATAGTATCTTTTAAATCCTATTCTTTTTACTTATATACTTAACCACATACCTTAGCTTTATTTATATCTCTATAATTAAAAGAGATGAAATTCTATTAAAAAGAGTTGATGTCTTGTTAAGTTGTTTGAAACAAAACAATAATTTGGAGATATTATTTTGGGTCTTATTTGAAATAAGAAAGATTATAATTATTGCTTCTTTAGTTTGGCTATAAGAAAGTATTTATGGAGGAATAGTACTAATAGGAGTTTGTGTCTTATTTATACTTTATTTATTTTTCTGTCAGCCCCTAACTGAGAAATCAGATTAGTAATTTGTTAATTTGACAGAAATATTTCTGATAAGTGTTTTAACTCTGTCTTTTCTGATTACAAATAGAAAAAGATTAGGCTTTAATAGCCAAATTTCTTCATATTTGTCTATAAGTAATTTAGTTTAATTTATTTATTAAAAACTACATTAATTATTTTATAAAAAGTAATGGTATTGATAATGATCATTTAAATAGCTGTAACCAATATAATATTAATCACTCGCATAATTACTGAAGTTTTGAAATACCTAAAGAATAGAAAAAATTAAAATATAGAAAACTAATAAATTCAATCTGCTTTTTTAGATATTTAGTAATTTAAGTCAATTTCAGACATAGAAACAATACTCAGCAAAACAATAAATGACCCAAAAATAAAATGGAAGAAAATCAGTCTTAATAACTGAATAAATAAATAAATTGAATAACAATTAAAAACAAAATAGTATTTATATATTTGTATAGTTTAAATAAATCATTGGGAAAGAAGCTTCTCCAAACAAAAAAATAGTTAACTTTAATTTATCATTTCAAATATTTAAATTTTACTTAAATATTATATATATAAACATATAAATATAAAAACTTGTGAAATTAATTAATTTACTCAAGTTGCTGTTAAAAAATGTAAGAAATAAATGATGTATAAATCTTAAAAAATAAATTTTAAATGAGTAGAAAAGCTGGAATTATATATATATTTTAAATCATTAAATATATTTTATGATTTTTAGATATTAACAACATTAAAGGGTAAAAATAATTTTGAAATAAATATTTAGCTTTTAAATATCAAGCACTTAAATAAGGCTTACAAAAATTTGATATCTTGGTAAATAGATAATTAGAAATAGATAGATAGTGATAAATTTTAATAATTATTGAGAAATTAAAATTTAATGAAAGTTAATGTATCTATCTTTATTATGCAATTGTAAAAGACATAGTTAAGAAAGAAGATTAATTGTTATAAAAGAGTTATTTGGTTTACGAAATTTACGAATTGACTTTTGATATATTAAAACCGCAAATTTTAATTTTTGGTACTTCATTTATTAAAAAATATATAAGAATTAATTCATTTACTTTAATTACTACATGAATCGTATTTGATTATGTATTGAATTCAGTAATCTAATCAAAAACTTAATTTACTTTGGATAAGCTAAACACCTTAAATTTTGCTTAAATTATTTGCATTATAATAATCTTAGCTTATTAATCTTACACATTTCTTCTTAAATAGAATTTGATAGGGCATTACTCACTTTAAATTATTTCTTTAACAATCAATTAAACATAAATGTCATATCGATTCTATTTTTCTGTTTACTACATTTATTTTATTTTATTTACTATTAAAAGCTTAGGTCAATATTTTTAGGTGAAAGGAAAGTTTTTTTTTAGATTACATCTTCAATTATTAAATTATTAGATAATTTGCTTCTCTAATATTTTTACTGTCTTTTAATACTTACTTGCAAATAATCAAAAGATAAAGAAATTATTATAAAAAAAAGAAGCTCATTTGCTTTGATTACTATTTAAAACAAACAACTTTTAGCTGCGTAATACTTGTTATAGATATTTTATCAATATGACTAGAACCATCTAATAGATGAATTAATTTAAAGAAAGAAATACTTTCTAAATCATACTAAAGAAAATCAATTAAATTATTGAATCAAGGAGTGTGGGTAATAAGAGTTGTGTAGAAATATACTAAGCTGATTGATGTATTTTAAAATCAAACTTCGTCTAATTATTTTACTATTGTTTATCAATTCTCAACCAAGCATTTAAATAATTTATCAATGTAAGCTAAATCTACTTAATATTTTTGAATGATAATCAATTAGTAATTAAAATTCTTATATTTATGCAAAGCATCTCACTTTCAAAAACTCGTATCATACATTTTAAGCTCAGTTAGTATCCATAGTAAATATTAGTCTTTTAGCTTTTTAAATTTTTTTGAAATATGATTTTTACTGCTTTTAAGACTTCTAAATTTGACATTGAATTTACCTAAAAATAACTTCTCCAAATAAAAGAAATAATCTAATTCCAAATTTATAAAATCATAGATGAACGTCGATTTTTGTTTTAATTTTTTTTCTTTTCTCATCGAAGAAGAAAATAATAATAATTAATGATGACTAGATTGATATTCAAATTCTTTTATTCATTCAACATTAAAAAAATAAAATTCTAATTAATTAAATTAAAATTTGGAAAATGAAGATGAAACAATAAAATACAGACTCATATTTTAAGTTATTTTTCATACTTATTAATTTTTTGAACGTTACGCTAGCTATCCTTGATGTCCTGCCTGTATAAATCTAAAATGATGTCTTTGAAATACCTGTATTTATCTTATTTTAATTGGATTTGAAATTATCTTTGTTTTTATTTTGAAAATAAGGAAAAATCAGGAGCTATCTACAAAAAAATAAATGATGTATACAGATTTTCGTTTTTTAATGAACAAGGAGATATTACTGCTACATATTTACTTCCTTCTACATTTTAAACCCTTAATAAATTTAGTTAATATTTTATTGAGGTAAATTAATAAATTATTAGCTAACCAACTCAATTTTAACAAGTTCGCTTTTAAATAAAAATTAGAACAACGTTTTATACATTTTCACATAAGGATAGAGTGTTTATCAAACTTTAGACTTCACAATACTAGAAAGTGGAAATTAAAATTACTATCAATAAATTTCATATCCTAAAAATATGAAATACTCCTGTTAAATATCAAATATGTAAGTATACAAATAAGTAAAATAAATATTTAGAAATAAACTCTTCTATATTGTATTACTATTGCTTTTAAATTTAAAAAAAGGATTAATTTTATTATACATGCGAAAGTGGATTCGGCTTTGTAGTTTATAATTCATCCTTCTAAAACTTGTTTAAAGCAGGTTAGTATTACAGTATTTCGAGTTTACTTACTGAGAAAAATTTTTTTGCATTTGATAATAATTTATGCTATAATAACTAATAATCTAAAATAGATTTCGGTACAAAGTAAATGGTCAACGTTGATGTAAATAAAATAAATAAATAATTTTTATAATTTTGAGACTATAAAAACATTTATAATAATTAATAATAAGCTCTAAAATAGCATATTCATCGTCAATTATAAGTTAGTTAATTTCTAATCTTCTGGTGGTAAAACTTCTATAAAATATTCTGTTGATTTGGGATACAATTCAGAAGAAGCATTTATGTCAAATGTTATTACTTTTGGAAATGTAAATAAAAATTTTAATTAAAATTATTTTAGTTATTTATTTAATTATTAAAAAATAAGATCAAAGTAATATTTAGCTATGATTACAATTAATCAAAGGTGAGATATTTTAATGCATAAAATTTTTCTGAGTTTAAGGTAGTGAAAGGGGATTAGATTAAAATCTAAGATTATCTAAGTATAATTCAATACTAAGTAATTTATTAAATTGATTATTAATCTTATTTCTTAGCTTTTAAATACAATTTTATTACTCACCATTTATTTTATTTTGAAATAAATAATTATTTTTAAAAAGAAATAAAAAAAATATACAAAAATTGTATATAAATTAACTCTTATTAATTTTAAACTAAAATATATTAATTAATTATAATTGAAAAAAATAAAATAAATAAATATGAATTACTTTGTTTAAATAAAATAATTATAATAATTTTTAAAATAGAAAAAATATTTTTTATTTTTTAAATAAATTTATAATAAATTTTAAAATATTTAGAATATAGTCTTTATAGGATAAAATTAGTACATTATAACTTTAATAAATTAGACTTAAATAAATGTTAAAAAAGTTAATTTTTAATATCCTAAATCTTATCAACTAAACTATGCTAATTTCGAGAGATTCAACTTTAAAAAAGTATTTATTATTTAATCATTTTTTTAGAATTTATTCATCAGTAAATTTGTTAAAATTAAAACATTTGAAATAACTATCAAAAGTATCAAACATTCGAGGTCAAATAAGGAAGCAACTAGTATATTACAAAACTTAATTATATGTATTAGTTTTGTTTAGAGGGTTGCTAGACTTGTCTTAACTCTAGCTAATGCAGTGTTTGTATGGAACCTTACTATTTAGACTATTCTTTAAAATGCGTTTTAACTTGCCCAGATACATATGCCCCTGATAAAACTTCTGGAAAGTGTATCTGTATTGGAGGTTAAATTGAAACTGCTTAGTATTTATTTTTTTAATTTTTATTTCTTTTTAAATCTTATCATTTTTACAGGAATAAATGTCAATGCTAAGATGGATACTCGTTTTTAAACAGTATCTGCGTAAAGTGTCCTGATAACTGTTAAGTTTGCTCATCCTCTACAGTTTGTACAGTATGCGCAAATCCTTATCTTTTAGTTTTTAACAAATAGTGTGCTGATTCTTGTCCCGATACATATGAAAAAGATTAAAATAATTCCACTTGTGTTTGCGGTTCTAATAAAACTGAAACAAAGTAATTATTTCATTAATTTAACATAAACTTAAATACTTAATTAATTATGAAAATTAAAATTTAGCAATACTTGCATATGTAATCAGGGCTACATCTTAGAAGGAAATGTTTGCAATCCATGTCCTTAAAATTGTTAAATTTGTTCTTCAACTACTTAATGCACTACTTGTGTTAAAGATTACTATCTAGATTACAAATTCCAATGTGGTAGTGAATGTCCACCTACTTATCAAAAGAATAGTAATATGATTTGCTCTTGCTTAGGAGGTTCAAAAGAAAACTCACAGTAAAAATTAACATTTTTAAAAATTCTTCATATTTTTATATTTTTAAGTAAAAATTTTAAACTTAAATTATTATTTTCATAAGAAACTAATGCATTTGTGATAGTGGTTAAGTATTAGAAAATGGTACATGTGTGAGCTGTTCTTCAAATTGTCTTATGTGCTCTAGCTCCACTACTTGCACATAATGCTCAAATAATACTTACTTGAGTTTTGATAATACTTGTATAAATAATTGTTAAGATACTTTTCTTGCTGATGATACTAATAGGAAGTGCTATTGCCCAGAGAATGAATCTGTTAATAATGAGTAATCTTATAAATTAATTTAAAAATATAAATTTATGTTGTTAAATTATTATAAATAAAGTGGTAAATGTGATTGTAGTTTAGGATTTTACAGAGTTAATGATAAATGCTCTCCATGCCCTTAAAATTGTGGTTCTTGTGATTCTAACGGATGTTAAAAATGTAAGCAAGGATTTTATTTTGATTATAATAAAGATTGTGTTTCAAATTGTCCTGAAACATATCACGTTGATTAAGATCAATAAAATTGTGTTTGTGGCACAGACTAACAAGAAATAGAGTATACCATTTTTCAATATATTTTATTATTTAATTTTATTTTTTTATTTAGCCATAAATGCAGTTGTCCAGATAAGTAAGTCTTTGAAAATGGAAAATGTGTGAACTGCAATTCAAACTGTTAATAATGCTCATCTTCAACAACATGTTAAAAATGTGATCCAAGTTATGTGTTAGCTTATAATTAGATTTGTTTAACCGAATGTCCTCAAACTTACGAAAAAAATAGTGATTCCACTTGTATTTGTGGCTAGAATAAATAAGAAATAAAGTAATAATTTGCTTATCTATTTATTAACTATCAAAATTTTATTAAAAAAATCAATTTTAAATTAAAAGTTAAAAGTGCAGTTGTATAAAAGGTTTTTTTGAAAGAGATAATAACTGCTTAGCTTGTATTAGTTCTTGTGATGTTTGTTCAAATGAAAATGATTGTTAAAAATGCTCAATTAATTCATATTTGAATTATATGAACAAGTGTGAAAGTGATTGTCCTGCAACATTTATTAAAGATGATTTAAATTTAATATGTGTTTGTCCAACTAATTTTCGTTTACAAGAGTAATTTCATAGTTTTTTACTTTTATATTTATGGTTTTTTTTGATATAAATAGTGATAAATGTGTTTGTGATACAGGTTATTCTTATGTTAGTGGAAATTGCATTAAATGCCCTTAGAATTGTGATTCTTGTTCCTCTGAGAATACTTGTATTAAATGCACACCTAATTACTTTTTAGACTTTAATAATACCTGTAATACAGATTGTCCAACAACTTATATTAAAAATTCAAATACATTTTAATGTTAATGTGGTTAAGGCTAAACAGAAAACACTGATAAGTAAGCAGATTTTCATAAAAATACTTTTTATAATAAAAATAAAAATATTAAGACACATATGTGAATGCAACAAAGGATTCTTTCCCAACGAATAAGGATAATGCTAGTAGTGTATTTAAAACTGTTAAGTATGTTAAAATGGAACTGAATGCTTAAAATGTGAGGATAAATTTTTTTTGGATACAAAAAATAATTGTGTTTCAAAGTGTCCTCAAACATTTTAAGAAGATTTGTAGAATATGATTTGCGTTTGTCCAAATAATTCAACTTTGAACAGGTATTTTTGTAAAATTTACTATTTAAATACAAAAAATTATTTACTTTTTAGTGATATTTGCACATGTGAATAAGATTTTGAGATGCAATTAGACAATACTTGCAAGCTAAAATGTTCGTCTTTTTGTGAAAGCTGTTCTGTTGCTGGAGAATGTGATGTGTGTTAAGGAGGATACTATATGAATTTTGATTTTACTTGCATTAATAAATGCCCTGAAACATATATTGAAAATTAATAAACAAGAACTTGCGATTGTGATCAGTTAGCAGAATTGATAAATGTCTCCGAATAGTAATTATTATTAAATATTCTTTTAATTTTAAAAAAATAATTTATAGCGAAAAGAAATGTGTCTGCCCAGCAAATCAGCTTTATCAGGAAGGAAACAAGTGTTTAAGTTGTATTTCTAACTGCTAAAAATGCTCAAACGGAAATACTTGTGATAAATGTATAGAAGGTTTTTACTTGCATAATGATGGAAAGTGTGGAAATTGTGACACTAAAAATGGATATTTTATAAAGTAAAAGCTATATTTTAATTACTAGATGAATAAATAAATATTTATTACTAAATTTAAAAAGAGATGAATAAAAATGTGGAAAATGCAAATATTAATGTCCTGAGTGCTCTGATGAAGTAACTTGTAATGTAGACCTTATTTGTAACTTCGATGAGAAGTACGATCCAATTAAAAAAGAGTGTATTAAATGTATTTATGACTTAGATAACAAAAAATGTGTGGATAAATGTACAGATCAGCAGTTTTATTAACCTGATTAAATGAGATGCAGTTAGTGCTTTTACCTTAATGATTAATGTGTCATAAGCTGCCCAGTTAGATATTTTGTTGGTGATAAGAACATTTGTATAAAATGTCATGATTCTTGCTTGAAATGCAAAGGAAAGCAAGAAAATGAGTGTACTGAATGTGAGAATCCTCTTTAATTGTAAAAGAATAATTAATGTTTAAGATGCCCTGAAAAAGAATTCTTAAATCTATAAAATAATAAATGTGAAAAGTGTGATTAGAGTTGTAAATTTTGTACAGGTAAAACAATAAATGATTGTTCATTATGCGAGGATAATCTGAAACCATCCCTTTTGTATAAAGGGAGATGCATAGATGATATTTAAATTGAAGATGAAATAGACTACAAAAAAAAAACAATTTATTCTGAATGTAATTATTTATTTGATTAAATTTCATTCATAATTACTTTAAATCCTCGCATATTAGCTAGCAATAAACACCAAAAAATATTTTATTGAAATAGAACTTAAAAATTTTATTTCTAAATTTTCGAGGGATAATAAATAGGTGCTAATTATGATATTTTATAATAAATATAAAATTAGTTTTACTTGAAAATATAATTTATAGTTTAAATAATATAAATTGATTATTTTATAAACCTGAATTTTTAAACTAAAAACTAAAATTTTTGCAAATTAATAAATTAAATCTAAAAATTTTGAGAAAAAAATGAAATACTTAGAAACAATATTAAAATTAGATTTTCTTTATTATAAAATGAAATAATTAATAAAATATAAAAACAACTTAAATTAAAAAAAGGTTAAGGAAATGAAGATGAATGTAAATAGTAATATGAGACATCAAAAATGTTATCAACTATTGCTTTTTTTTTAAATTTAGGAAGCTTGTTACTCTTGGGAGCTTGCTTGATATTTTGTCCTGTTATCAACTCTATTTGTTGGTATTATATTTAGATTTAATAGATTCTAGGGAATCATGTGTATTTTGAAAAGGCAAATATTTACTACATGAATGTAGGATTCTTAAGAAACCATCAAATTTATAACGTTTTTAACCTAATTAGCTTTAACTCTTTGCAAAAAGATTAGGATTTGCTGCTAGAAATAAATAAATTTAGCTTTTTATTTAAACTATAGAATTTATATAATCATTTTCTTTAGAATTTCTTCTACTAGCTGGTTAGCTTCTCTTTACTTCTCTGCCTAATATTGATATTTTTTTTGTTAAGAAATAAATATACTTTAGCTTACAAAGTTAATAACTACATAAATTTGAATATGCTCATTAGATATTTTATGATTGCTGTTAACTGTTTTGTTGTTTACACGCTTTTTGTTATTAAGAACGGTGTTGCTTTGGAATAGGGAAATATAGCTATAATATCTATTGTATTTCTTATTTACATATTATTATAAATATTCTCTATTTTTATCCTTAAATCCAGAAGTATTTTCCCAATAGCTAGCACTGTAAGAGTATTGTAATATGGGATAGATTAGAATAAAACTAATTAATTTTTATTTTGGTAAATCTTTGAGGTTAGAAAAATTGTTTGCATTTTAATCTAAATACTTTACATAAACGGAAAAGGAAACGGTTTCATAATTCTTTCTATTTTTGCAGTGTTTACTATCTACCTTGTTGTTAGCACCCCTTTTAAATACAGAATTTGTCAAGTTTCAGCTATTTTTACTGAATTTACAGTTATGCTTCTATTAATTTTATTTGAGTTGATGACCAACCGATAATAGTACAGCATAGACACTTCGACAGCATAATCCATTGCTATTAGTAAATATTAATTTCCTTTAAATATTTTAATAGTTTTTAAAATAAATAATAGGTTATATAGCGCTATCGTTGATACTTAGCTTTTACTATATAGGACTTGCTATTCATTATATTATCAAATATTTGAAAGAATTAAGATAAAAATCAAAATAAAATTTAGGAACTAATTTACAAGATTAAAGTTAATCATAAGCTCAAATTAGTAGCATAGAAATGAATAACATATAAAAATCACTTATTAAAGTAAGTTGGAAATAAATGGAACATTAAACATAGTAAAAAAATTTATGAATAAAAAATCTAATTATAATTTTTATTTTCCAATTAATAAAATAATTATGAAAAGTAAAATTTTTATACTTTTTATTGATAATTTAAGATAAATTTATTTTTTAAACTAAAAATTAAAAAAATAAGTATTCTTACATAGATAAATAGGTATATGTATGTATGAAAACACATAAACACTTCCATGAATTGAAATTTCACAATTTGATTTATTTTAAAAAGATAAAATTTTAATTTATCTTTATTAAATAAAGCATTTATTGTTTCTTGTTGCTATTATATTTATAATTAAATAAATATTAAAAGTAATAATTTTTAAATAAAATTTAATACTACAGAATTAAATTAATTTATTTTTTTAATATTTGCAGCTTAGATATCAAAAAATTGAAGAATTTTCCTTTAATTTACCCATAAACTTTAATATGAGTCACTTAATTAAAAATGAGAATTTTAAAATAAAAATTGATAAATAAAGTACGAATTTTAATTTTACTGAAAAATTAGGAAAAAGTAAAGAGAAATAAGGATGAGTTAATAAATTTGTCCATTTAAGAAATTGTGTGGCGGAAACACTATTTAATTAATAAATACTTTGATAATTCAAAAAATTAATATATATTTATTTAAACAAAAAAAATTATCATATTTGAAGTTAAAAGTAAAATAAAGATTATTTTAAAAAATAAAATGTTGTAATAGAAATATATTAAGTTCACAAACTTACAAGATGTAATTAATTTTTATGATAAATTATTATTTAGGACAAATTTAACTAAAAAAAAGTTTATTAGCTCTTAATTATAGGACTATGAAAATGTTGTAATTGATTTGAGGTATGAATAGTATTTAAAAATTTTAGTTTACAAAAAATAAACATAAAAAAATAATTATTTATTTATTTATCTTTACTAAAGTGAAAGTAAAGGAAAATTAGATAATAAGATTATGTCTGAGTTCACCTCTAGTTTAGCTAGCTGTAAAAACCTAAAAAAATTAGTCATGTATCTCTAGTAAAATATTTTAAACTTATTTAACTTTTATTTAATTTAATGGATGTTTTATTTATTTACTTAAATGGTAAAACCTTCATAGTTTGCAATATTTAAAAAAATAATAAATTTAGTTGATGTCTATTTTAATTTGTGTAAAAAATAAAATTTTAATTTATTTTATAAGCCAAAAAAAACTCAGTGATGACGGAATATCAAATTTAGGGTTTAGTATATAGAAGTGCGAGAATCTTTCAACTTTACAATTACATTTGATGTAAAAATTTTGATTATTTTAGAAATTAATTTAAGCAAAATTTGTGCAAAAAAAAATAATCTTTTATTATTTTTGTTTGTAACGACTCACATATGAAGGAATAAATGTGAAAACTTACTTTAGGCAAATATTAATTTTAATATAGAAAACTCGTTGATATTATAAATTTATTCATTTTATAATTATTAAAAAGGTCGAATTGTATTGGAGAAAATGGAGCTTTAAGCTTTGGTAAATATATGTCATAATGCAATAGCTTAACTACCTTAGATGTTTCCTTTTCGTATAAATATAGTTTAATTATTATTTTTCCTTTAAACTAGTTTCTAAAATAAAAGCAAAATATATTTTTTTTGTATTTAATTAGATAGAAATTTATTTGCTTTTAATTTCATTTTTTATTTTTTAGGAACAAAAAAGAAAAAAATATAATTATATCTTATCAATTTTTTAAAAGATCGAATAAAATTGGTGATGAAGGAGTTGAAATGTTCATGTCAAGTATATTTGATTGCTTAAATCTGTAAAATTTATCAGTTTATTTTGGGTAAAATTAAATTTCTATGATCTTTATTAGTTTTTAAATTCCTTATTTAATTTAATAAATAATTAGCAATAATTAATATTTTTTTATCTTGATTAAATAAAACAATGAAATTTATTCTGTAAATCTTCATATATCAAAGTCCCACCCCATTATTAATTAACTTCATAGGCTTTAAATAAAAAATCTTAATTTATGAGGGTGGGTCTACACTATTTAATTTTATTTTCAAAATTTTATTTATTTATGGATGAATTATTAATAAATTAATTAATAGATGTAACAAGCTTGGACCAAAAAGTGGAAAATACATCGGTTAAGCTTTGTCTAAAAAAAATAACCTTTCTTCTTTTGAAATCTCATTATAGTAATCATTTATTATCTATCTTTTTTATTTTTCATAATCAACAAACAGCCTTTGGATTGAATGAAAATAAATTAAACTATTTTTTTATTGATTTTAAATATATCATTTTTAGTAAAACCTATTAATAAATTAATTTAATCTTACTAATAAAAAAGTTAGAATTTAATAAAAACTTAAGGTGCAATAGACTTACTTTAGGGTTTGGCAAACTAAACAAACCTCTATAAGCTGAAGCTTGATTTGTTGTAAAGATTTATTCTGAATAAAAATTTTTTTATTTGTTGTGTTTTGTGTCATCAATTAAATAAAACTCATTTTTGCTCTCAATAGAAATATTATTTCTAATAAATTTATATATTAATAACACCAAATTATTCATATGTTTTAATTGAAGTTAATAATTAATTTATAATTAAATATACTATATTTAATAGTGGAAATCGCATTGGTATCTAGGGTGTAACTTAACTATGTTCAACTATGGCACAGCTAAAAAATATTTAAATATTATGTTTATATTTAGGGTAAAATTTTTATTATACTTTAAAATTTTGATATCGAACTAACCATTTATTTTAAACTAAATTAAAAAAAGTGAGAATAATATCTGTAATGAAGCTATATAAATGATATCTACTTCAATAATAAACTCAAAAAATATCTATGCATTAGATTTGGATTTTTAGTAAAATTCTGTTTGTTTAATTGATTAAAACAATTTAAAATAACTTAACACACTTGAGACTGTTTTTTAAATTTGTTTAATTAAAAGTGATAATAAAGTTAGTAAAGAAGTTTTATAATAATTCTGCTTGTCCATAAGTAAAATCAGTAATCTCTACATCTTAAGAGTATCTCCAATGTAATTATTTTTAATATTTATAATGAAATGAATTTTTTTATTGAAAAAATAAAGTTTATTCTTTTTTCATTCTTTGCCATATTAAATTTATATTAATGTAATACTATAAATAGCTTACATATACCATCGATATATTATTATCTTTATTAATAATTTTAAAATTAATAGTGATACTTTAGATGTCCGTGATCAGAAAAAGCTTAAAAAAATATCAAAATTAGTTCTATGATTATGATTTAATATTCTTACCACTTAAATTAAAATAATTTATAAAATTAAATTAATTCTTTTTTTAGTATGATTGTAAATACATACTCAAAATAATTTATAAAAAAAGATATGAATGTTAGCTTCAATTGTTTTGGTATTAATATTTTAATGTGAATCATTATTTAAAATAAAAAATAATAGAAAAATTAGTTAGTAAGTAAGTAAGTAAGTAAGTAAGTAAGTAAGTTATGTGTTTGTTTGTTTTTATTAAACGAAAAAATATAATAAATATCTCAAAGTATATACTTATAATATATATTATTAATGATAAATGGTGAATAAATATTTACATAATGCTTGTTTATTAATTAATTAATTAGTTAATTTATTTATTTATTGATTTATTAATTATAATATTTTTTAATTAGAATAATTGATTGATTGATTGATTTATTTATTTAACTTTCATCATATATCTTCATCCCATTCGTTACTTTCATCAGGATTAAAATCTTATTCTATATTATACTAGAACCCTTTATCTCCAGGTTTAAGATTATTTTTCTTAAACAAAACTTCCATTCTGTCTTTATGTTTTTAAAGTTCTTCGTTAGATAATTTATTTAAGTTATAGTTGTTATAGTCAATTTTATAGTCATCTTCGTCTTCGTCTTCTTCTTGGTCTTCTTAGTCCTCTTCATCTTCATCGTCTTTATAGTAATCATATTCATCTTATTATTAGGACATTTTACTAGTTTAAATGCTTCCTGCTCCTTTTTTACTCCAAGCATATTTAAATACTTCCTCTTCGTTTTCATAATCATCTTCATCATCGTCGTCATCATTTCCTCCTCTTAAGTAGCTAGGCTTACTTCCATATATACTAGAAGAAGCTGCTGCAGTTTTCGAATTAGAGGCACTTTACGATCTGATTTGACTTGAGCCCGTTAATAAAGAAGATGCAGTTGTTGATGATGTGCTTGCCCCTCTTATCCCAGAGCTGGCTCCTTTGAAGTCATTTCCTGTTAATGGTGCTAAACTATTTGATTTTTTTGGTGGTTCTTTAGGTTTTTCTACTTTTGCTTGAGATGGCTTTGCTGTTTTTGCGCTAGACTTGTTTCCACTACTCATTCTCTTCTGTAAACGTTAAACTAAAGCTGTTAATTATGTTAGTTAGTTCGTTAGTTAGTTAGTAAATCATTTATTTAAAAGTTAAAATAATAATTGAAAATAAATTATTTCTATCTATTTATAAATGAATGAAATTTTTACATTTTAATTGATCATCAGTAATTGAATCATCATTTAAATAAGTTTCATGCTTTATTCTTAAATATTCAATTGCATCTTTCACATCTGTATCTTATTATAGCTTTTTTAATTTCATTTTATGATGATATAAGTTTCCAGAATTAGGGTCTAAGTATTCAAGAGCTAATTTGGATTTAAATTATTATATGTCATTTTATTGGTTAGCTATGATTAATAAATAATTTTACTTATTGTTGGAGGATCGTACAAAAGACCAAATCTCTTTGGAATTATTTCCTTTCCAAATTTAGTTTTTGCTCCTTTTTTTGATGCTTATGTTTTTGGCTATTTTGTAGTTGTAGTAGTATTAGCCGCTGCTGCTGCTGTTTATTTTGAAGTAGTAGATTTAGATGATGCTGCCTATGTGCTTTTTGAAGCTTCTTAAATAGATTTTGTTTCACCAAATCCACCACCAAATCCAGAAGTGTATGAGGAGCTTGCTTTTTTTGTTTAGGAGGTAGTCAATACTGACGAAAGTCCTCCAGTTAAACCTCCATTTTTTGAAAGGGACCCAGTCAGACCAAATCCTTTTTTTGGTTCAGACGAGCTACTTCCTCCTATTGAAAAGTTATATGGATCATTTTTGTTACCTCCTATTGAAAAGTTATACATCTTTGTTTAAATTTATGAACTTCTTAAGATAATATTGCTATATTTTTCTACTTAAATATTCTTTGTTTAACCAAAAATTTTTTTGAAAATTTAGTTATTTAATTATTATTTTTAAAAGAAAGCACTTAATTATTAAAAAAAAATCTAATAGGATAATGATATGATGAAAGGTATAGTTGTTAATGAAATCATCAGTCAGCCTTAAGCATAACATGTATATAAACTATTACTTATTTATATGCGAAAGTAAAAAAGAAAACAAAAAAAAAATCAATATATTTGGAAAAATAAAACTTCAATAATCAGTTTTGAAGGTGTGGCTACAAAATTAATTTTCTTATTTTTAATAAATGCTTCTACTTTAAGGTAAATATTTTGTTTTTTTTCTATGAGCTTGAGATCTAATTTATAAATTAACCCTATTTAAAACAAATTTAATAACCAATTAATCAATTTATAAATTAGTCAAACAATCAAACAAAATAGTAATACAATTTTTTAATTATTTTAAATGAAGGTAAAAAATTTTTTGATTTTTTAATTGATGTTAACATCAAATGTTTTGAATATTATATTAAATAATAACGTAGAAATGTGAAAATTGTTAACTATGTTTTCAATCAGTTCAAAAAAAGAAATGTTATTAAATTTATTGTTTTTAATGAAAGAAAGTTTGTATTAAATTTTTAAGAAAATAAAAATAAATAATTTTCTTTTAATGTCTAATTGTTGAAATTATGAATGAATAAACAAATAAATTTACAAAGACAAATAAATTAATAAAAAGGGAAAACTGATTTGAAAAAAAACTAAAAATTAATCAAAGAATAATAAATAATTTTAGTTATTTTTCAACAAAATTTTTTGAAATTTAACAAGCTTGTTTATATTTTTCATACATTTATAAATTAAGAATGAAATGGTTTAATAACGCTTTATTTTCCTCTACCCATAGCTTAAATAACACTTTTTTTTCCAATATTTTTCCTATTTTATTTCTGTTTTGGGATATTTTCTAACTCCTTTTTCTTTTAAAACATTTTGAATTAAGCTATTTTAAATTTAGGGTTGCCATTAGGAAAATAGAACTCGTAGTCCTTAGGCTTATCAAGATACCACAATATCATTTCTTATTAATTCAAATTTACTTAAACGGCATCGAACTGTATAGTGTGATTTGTTAAATGTTATTAAAATTTTATTCTCTCATCTATCGAAATTGAAAAATCTTTGTTAATAACTTTACTTAATCGCTAGGACTTTTCTTTTTTATTTTTCTTTTTTTAATCTAACTGAGTCATGCTACCTTAAGATTTTTTATTGGATTCATCTTGTATTAATTACTCTATTTAAACTTTTCCAATACTTCCTCTATATTTACTATTTTCTCGTTTCGTTACACTTGAAGATTAAGATCTTATTTTTGATTAGATTTAATCTTGCTAATTTTGCTGCTATCTGGTTTTTTTTTCAGACTTTTAATTTTCATACTACATTTGAGCTTCTTTACCTGATTGAGACATATGCGTGTTCATTTTATTTTTATAATACTCTTTAATAGGAGATTCATTATTATTGTTGAAGACATTTAGTTATTCAATTTCATCAAATTTTATTTTCATCGAATTACTATCAAACCCTGAAAGCTTTCTCTAACCTTTTTTATCATCTTCATCGTATATTTCGTTATTGGTTAACAAATTTTTATTATCTTAACCCTAAGTTTAAATCATGCATGATTGCTAATTAATGCTGGGCTCACTTTCCAAAAATAATAAATGCTAGGAACTTTCATCAGTAAAAGACTCGTCCTCGTTTTCATTAAGAAAAATTTCATTTTCTTCTATCATTTTTTCAAGGTATTGCACTCCCCTTTCGAAGACTCTTGAGATTATTTTTAGAGACTTCGACTTCTTTTTTGAAGATCTTTTTTCAGGCTTTCTTTCTTGCTTAAAGCTTTATGTTATTTTAATAACATCCTTTGTTGCTTCTTTATTGAAATGGACGAGAGTGCAACTTCCTTACAGGTGCTTAAAGCTGCCACAAGCTGTGCATTTGATATTCATAGATTAATAATTTTCATATAGCAAGATTTTATCTTTCATTGAAAAGAAAGTTTGAAAATCCTTTTGATGTTCTTTTATAACTTCTAAGAAGCTTTAATTGCTTATTTTAGCAATTTTGGTAAAACCCTTTGATCGAGCAGAAGCGCTACGAGTCATACCAGTAAAGAAGTTAATTTGCCCTAAAATATTTCCAGTTTTCAAGAAACAAATAGTTTTGTGAGTGCTTTTATCTTGTTAGTTTTATGTGTAAATTTCTACTTATCCTTCAATTATCATGAGAAGGGCTGAGTCAGAAAAGTCATTTTCTTAAAATATTACTTGATTAGGGAAGTAGAAAATCTCCTCACATTGTGTGGCAAGATTTTCTAGTGTTTGCTAGCTAAAATTATTCTTAAGAAAATCAATTTTTGCTAGAATCTACTAAAAATATTCTTTTCTCATGAGAGTGGTGAGCTCGCTAGAAATCTTTGATAAAACACCTTGTGTTTCTTCGTTTAGCTTCTAGTAGTTCTTCTCGTAATAGTATTCTAAGTAAATATTAACTCTTCTCTGTAAACTCATAGAAATATTTTTTTCCCTCATATAATCATTAATGATATTTAGATCACTCTTTTTATTTTCTTCACTTGCATTTATATCTTCTAATATGTTCCCTGTTGCGTTAAGCATGTATCCAATGATAATAACTACAAATGGCATAATACAGCATGTAAACATAGTCTATAATACTGTAATTGCAGTGTTAGAACCTGTTGTCATTAATGTTAGAGCCCAATAAATAGAAAGGAGATACACCTTCCACCAAGTATTATCTGAACCAAAAGTATCAGCAAACCAACTAGAACTCTCCCCAATAAACTTAGAATCTATCTGTGCTACTATGTACCAAAGACAAGCAATAAAGTGGGCGATAATAAATAATTTGAATATCAAATTAACTAGTTTCATGATATAATACCTTTTCATCATCATGCATAGGCATTTTTCAAGCTCATCAAAATCAACTTAGAGACTTTTCAACTTAATAAAGCAAGCAAACTTTAGAATATAGTTAATTGAAGTAGCAGAGTAATGCGATTCGTTACTGTCTTATTGCTGCAAAAGTAAAGTGAATAGACAAAACATTGGTAGAACATCAAAGAAAGCTATTTTTTTAATGTAAAATAGTAGTATTTCTTTCCTTGAAGTAACTATGACAGATTCTTAATGAATTGTTGTATTCAACTTTCTAAAGATTTCTAAGCTCCAAAAGATCAAAGTAGTCTTAAAAATATAAAACTGCTGACCCGTCAACACATCTTCAAAAACTAACATGATAGAGAAAAGTAGATAAAAGAATGTGTTGAAAAATATGAAAAGTAAAAGAAAGACCAGTCCTAATTTACTTTGTTGATTCATCACTGGTACCTTGGCAAAAAAATTTGAAAATATTTTATTGCATTCATGAGCTAGTTAAATTGCAAGTCTTTTAAAAATATTTCTAGATTTTTACTCTAAGTAGCCATCGCTTTTATCATTTAATGTTCTGTGAACGCTTTCTAATTTTAAAAATTATCTCCTGCCACTAAGAGTGAAGTTGTTGTAAAAGCCAATCAGCCTTTTCTTAATCATTAAGACTATTGCAACATTCAGATCTGATAGTTATTTAGCTTATTTTTTTTAAACTTAGGGAATCAAGAAGCTTAATTTCTAATTTTAAGTATTGTTATTGTCATTTTTGTTATTGGTTACTACAGTTTAAGTTTGATCATATAATTCTTCATCATAGAAGTCTGCTTCTTAACCTTTAGTGTTGCTATATTTTAAGCTTTTATTCATTCTTAACTTACCTTAAGCATTATCTGATAAATCAATATTCTTTTTTATGTATCTCATCTGAAAAGAAGCGCGATTACTGATAACCTGATGATTACCAATGCTAGATCTACTTATAACGCTTCTTCTTTCTTAATCTGTGATTTATTTACTGTCATTTATCATGCTGTCCTTTGTATATTTGTTATCTTCTTCGGTATTATTTTTAATGTTTAAGTTATTATTGGTATAATTTATAAATGAAGGGTCGTTATCTATAGAAAATAAAGTGTCGTCTCGTAGATTCATTGTTCTAAAGTTTTTCCCTTCATCTGTATCATATATTTCTAAAAACTGCTTTTATTTAGTATGACATGCTTTTGTATCTACAAATTAATTTGCAAAGCTCATTCACTCTGTCTATCTATTGTTTGAAAACTAAGCAATTTGTATATTTAATTCTACTTATTTGCTTCCGTTTAAATTTGTTAAAAAAATATATATGTGTATATATGTATAAATAAATGTATGTTTTACTCTACTTCTTAAGAACTTTATTAAATCTTAAAAATTAATTAAATAATATAAAAAATTTCAAGTCTTTTGAATAAAATATATAAATTTTTACTTGTATGCTTGTTTGTTAATCAGTTCTTATTTAACTAAAAAAAAATTTATCAGAAAATTTACAAAAAAACTAAATAAAAGTAGAAATAAATAGATAAGTCAACTAACAAACTAAATAAATAAATTGATTTTGTATTACTTTATTTATTTATACTCTCATTATTTATAATTATTTTAAATGTTAAAATTCTGTGAATAATGATAATAAATGAATGAATGAATGAATAGATGGAGGAATAATTTGGTTCATAAAAAAAATTAATTTAGATTGATAACTAGTTAAATTGATAACATAATTTATTATTTAAGGAAGAATAAATTGGTTCATAAAATATATTAATTTACATTGATAACTAGTTAAATTAATAATATAATTTATTATTTACTAATTTATTTTATAATTTTAAATCTATTTAAGAAACCTCATGACAAACAGACAGTCTAACTAATTATCTATCTATCTATTTAAAAAATTTGAACCAATTTTACTTTGCTTTGCTTGATGGTCAATTTTTATGATTAACATTAAGCTTAACTATTTAAGTCTTCATGTGATTTTTTTTAAATTTAAGCTGAGTAGATATTCTATGCTATTTTTTTCTAACCAATAGTGTATTTTAAATTAATTTCATAAGATATTTTTATTATTTAGAATGCAAATAAAAGTTAAACTGGCTAATTCTTATTTTCATATTGCCATGGTTAAAGTAGTAATCATAATCTTTCTACTTATCAAGTTGCCATAGCACTCTCTCTTTCTCTTCTTGAATGTCTTCTTGCTCTTTTTTCTCAATATTTTTTTATGAAGACTGTGAGGGAATTAGTAATTTTGAATTTAATTGCTATTAGCTGATTTATTTCTAAATTTTATCAAATTTCAATTGCCTGCTTTAATTATTTTTTTTCTTTTTATCATATAGCATACTTTGGCAGTACTTCTTTTTCTGTTACTTTTCATCGGAACTGTCACTGTCAAACTAACCTAAAGTAGGCATATTATTATTCAACAAGCTCTCTTTTCTATTACCTACAAGGACTTTAGAATTATTTTAATCTTTACTTTTTTTACGGCCAGGATACATCTCAGAGCTTTGAGTTATTGCTAAGCTCCCTTTTTTTTTTTTAGCACTGCAAGAGTTGCCATTTTGATCTTGGTCAACATAGTTGTTTAAAAATAATTTAGACTAAGATTAAATTTTTAAAGATTTCTTTCGATTTTATTCAGCTATTGAAAACATTTATGGGTTCAAAATCTCTACCTGATTGTTTTGGATTTAATCATCTTTATTACTCGAATTACTTTTTCTGCTTTAATTCTTTCCATTTTTTTGCATATCTGATTTTGATTCTATGTTACTATTTTTACTTTATACAAGATTTTTTTTAACTTATTGCTCACTTGAACTAATTTCGCATGAAGATTCTTCTTCTATATCATTATTTTCGTTAAAACTTTTTTCTTCTTCTCCCTCTTCAGGTTCTGGTTCCACACCATCATCTTCATCTTCATCACCGTCATCATCATCTTCATCATCCAATTCTCTCATAAATTTATATTAAGAATTACCACTTCCAAGCTAAATATCCTAATATTCGGCTGTTTTAGCTTAAGTCAACCCTATATTTTTTAAGGCATTTTTTTTTTAAATTGCATGTCTCTTAATCTACTTTCTATCTTATTTCATGATATTTAAGATTCTAACTTTTTCCATTACATTTTGTTTACTCAGATGAACAAGAGGACAGTTTCCTTGCAGATGCTTATAGCTTGAGCAGGCTGAGCATCTAATATTCATCTCCTCATAATTTTCATATAGCAAGATATTGTCTTTCATCTAATAAAATGTTTGCACATCTTTTTCATTCTCGTTTACTACTGCCAAAAAATTATCTCTGCTTATTTTTGCTAATTTTGTGAATCCTCTTGAACGAGCTGACGCTGTTCTTACCATGCCTGTAAAGAAATTAATCTACCCTATAATTTAGCCTTAACCTAAAAAGCAAATAGTTTTTTAATCTTTTTTACTTGATCCTACCTACTGATAAATCTCTACTTGACCTTCTATGATAACCAACAAAGCAGCATCTTTGAAATCATTTTCTTCAAAAATGATTTGGTTTGGATAATACACAATTTCTTCACACATGATTGAAAGATTTGCTAAAGTTTAAACAGAGAAATTCCTATGTAAGAAATCAATCCTAGATAATATTTATTAAAAGTACTCTTTCTACAAAAGATTGCGGAGCTCTGTAGAAATTTTTGAAAGCACACTTTTAGCTTCATCAGTCTGCTTTTAGTAGTTCTTTTGGTAGTAATACTCCAAATAGATATTTACTCTGCCTTACAGGTTGATAGATATATTCTTTTCTCTCATATATTCGTTTATTATGTTTAGATCATTTTACTTGTTTTCTTCACTAGCATCTATTTCTTCTAATATTGCTCCAGTTGCGTTGAGCAAATAACCTATTATTATTGTTGTAAAAAGCATTATAAAAGATGTAAAAGACACCTGTAATATTGTCTTAGCCTCATTTGATCCTGTTGTCATTAGAGTTAAAGCCCAGTACATGGATAAAATATAGACTTTCCACCACGTTCCATCAGCTGCCACACTTTCCGTGTACCATGTTGTTTCTTCTCCTAGCCAATTAATCTCAATTGTTGCTATGATAAACCAGCCACAAGCTATAGTATGAGCAAGAATAAATAACTTAATTATCAAGTTTGATAATTTAATTAAGTAGTATCTTCTCAGCATCATGCAAAGTCTTTTTTAAAATTCCTCAATATCCTGATTTAAAATTAAAACCTTTGCGAAGCAAATAATTTATGTAATAGTTCTCGTGGTAAGCATCTTTTCTGTTTAATCTTGGAGCAGTAGAATAATAATTACTAAGAAAGAAATAAAGTCACAGATAAACTTTTTAGGAAAGTAACTAAAAAAAATGTCCTTTCTGTTCGTTAGTATGTTCGAATCTTTATATATTGTTGTATTAAGTCTAATCAGGATTTCAAATGTCCATATGATCAAGGTAGCTTTATAAAACGTTAAGTCTTGCTGAGTGAGCATATTTTAGAAAACAATCATTATAGACAGTAATAAAAAGAATAATGCATTGTATACAATTAATACAAATTTTATGAGCATGTTTATTCTACTTTAAGCACTTATTACAGGAATTTTACTCAACAAAAAAGAATCAAATATATTCATTATTAGCTTCACGAATATGAGAGTTTACTGCAACATGGTTATTTTCTGCTAGTTTTCAAAGTAGCCATCGCTTTTATCATTCAAAGTAGTATGCACACTCCTCTTTTCAAGGTAAATTTTCTTACCTACATTCGTGAAATTTTAATAAAAATTAATCATTCTCTTCTTTATTTTTTGTATCAATTGTTATTTTTTTAGAGTTTAACCATCTTTATAGCTAAAATGCTTAGTTCCTCTCCTAACGTCTTTCTAATTGGTAAAATGTATCTACTTATGAGAGCTTCCATTTGGTTTCAGGCTGTCCTCTCTTTCGATTATTTACTTTCTTTCATGAGAATGTGAAAATAAAGATTAACTTTTAACAAAATTATTTTAGTACTACTCCTACTTAATGTAATCTTTCATAAATTTCCTTTCTAAGTATGAAGATTGTATCATCAATGATTATAAATCATTTTAACCAGATGATTATGGAGTAGTTTCGCTCGCATTTTTATCTTCGCTGTATTAAAACTCTGCTGTATCCTTAAATTTTGTTTCGTTGTTAACCTAAGAGTCTTAATTTTGTTATGTTTCTAATTTATTTGTATCTATTATCGCATCATTTTCTGTATCATATGACTAAGTGTATCTCAAATCATTTTTATTTAGCTGCTAAACCTCTTCATTTTATATGAATTTCATGCGATCAGTTAGAATATTTACTTGAGCTTCTCTTTAGTTTTCCATCTATCAATTTACTTCAGTTTTGTAAATACTAAGCTAATTTTAATTTTAATTTTACTGTAGATTTTGTTTCTACTTATTTATTATTTCCAGCCAAAGTCAACTCTAGTTTATTTATTTACTTGCCTAAATGTGTAAAATATGTTTTGGAAGCAGATTATAATCTATAGTCTACACTGATTTATTACTTTTCAGGTGTTTATTTATTTATATGTTTTTTTGTTTGTTTGTTTGTTTGTTTCTCAATTATGGTTTGTAATAGGAATAAATAAAAATTCGATTCGATCATTTAAATAAAAAATATAAGGTCATTTCTTTTTACTATATTAGCTGTCACTAAAATAATAGGATGGATAGCAACTGCCTTTTAAATAGATAAAAATGCTACTAAATTCATTTATCTTTGAATTCTTCATTAAAATTTGTTCTTACTTACTTATTTATTTATTTATATATTTAAAACTGATTAAATAGCCATTTAGCTAATCCTACTTGGTATTATAGGCTTAATAAAAATAAATTAATTTTCATCCTTTTTTGTTAACTAAATATTTCATTTATTATTAGGTAACTAAGTGTATATATCTATGTATGCATCTATTTATCTATGTATGTATGTGAGTTTTTAAATGAGTGATAATTTAATTAAAACACTTTTTACCAACAAATATGAAATTATTTTCAATTTAAAGGATTAATTTTAAAATATATTTTAAAGCCTTAAGAAAAAAAAATAAAAGTCTTTTTTAAAATTTTAGCGACATTATTCATAAAAATAGAATAAAATTAAAAAATATTATTATATATGAAACATTAAAACATAAATAATATTATGAAAACAAGCTTAAATTTTCCCAATAAATTATCATATTTAGATTAAACTAAGAAAAATGACTTCATATGAGGAAAACCAAATAAATAAATAGAGAATGTAATGGATTGATCTAGAAAAATATGGAACCTTTGTAAAAAAAGAAATATAATTTGCTTTAAATTATTATACGAACTTTGAATTTTATTAAATTTCATTAAATCAGTTTGAATTCCGTAAAAATGAGTTTGATATGTCTATAGTTTTGGACTATTTATGTATTAGTTTATTAGTTAGTTAAACCAGAGAAAGAGAAGAATCATAAAAAATATTTTAAATTTTTTTGAATCAAGAATTGAACATACAAAATAGAACTTCATTTATTTTTAAATAAAATTTTCTAAAAATCTAATTAATTAACCAGTCAGTTTTAAATGGTTTATGAAAATTAAAGAAGAAAATAAAAATTATATTTCAAGAATGAATAGTGAGTTAATTTTTAAAATTTGATCAGTGAATTAAAAAAATTCAGAAATCAATTAGATATTAACAGTTCTATGTAAATGTGACTAATAAATATAATTAGATGGTCTCAACAATAAATTAGATTAAATATTAAACTCCTTAGTGTATATTAAATTTCAATTCACTTTTTTAGGATTTACTTAATACCATAACCAAATAAAATAAATAGAGGTCTGTCTAAAATATGTATGATAATACAAAAAAATATTTAGATTTTTTTAACGCTCATTTTAATTTTTCAAGATATGAAGCTTTTTTTATGGTTTCTGCTTTTATAGTTCGCTAAATATAAATAAAGTTCTATTTTTTTATTTTTTTGTTTATTTTTGTAGAGAAAATAAAATCAAGACTATTTTCTATTCCTTCATGTCATGTTTTATAAACATTAAAATAAATTACTTTATTTCAAGCTATTAGTAGAATATTTAAAATCTCCTATAAGTATAATATTATCAATAATATTTCTCTCTTAATTGAGGTGTTAAGTTGATATTTTTGAGTTATATTTTTATTTATTTATTTATTATACATTTTTATCACTTATAAAGTTTTATTATTTTATTAAATTTAAATAGACATAGATAGTGATCTTCTTAAAATTTATCTTTTTATTTGCTTTTTTTTTGCAAATTAGCTAGATAGGTCATTAGAAGAAAGATTAGTCCATTTTTCAGCTGAATTTATTTATAATATTGGTTGCCGAAATAACTGAAGAACAAGCTTAAAAAGGAATTTATAAGAAATAAATTGATTTTGGTATGAAAATCAAGTCTAAATTTGTTTTTTTCATATAATTATATCCTAATTTTTTTAAGAAAATATTGGCATGATGTATTTATTACATCATCAATAATTTTTTTCTTAATATTTTATAAAAAAATATATGAAATATTTAAATTAAAATTTTCATTAAGAGTATTTATTTATAAAATAAAGCAAAAAAAGATGTAGTTTATAATCAATAAGAAAAGAAATGACATATTTTAGCATAAATAATTATTGAATTTTATGAAACAAAATATTATATATTAACTTCTAGATCTAGTTTCACCATATATTAATTTTTTGAGGGTATTAAAATGTAAGAATTCATTTAATTAATGGATTCGATATAAAATAATTTATTTATTTATTTTATTTGCTTAGGTCTAAGTAAATTGCAAGATGTTTTCAAAACAATTTAACAACCTTTATTTGTCATTCAATAATCCATCTGTTATTCTTGGACTTTATATGTGTGTGTAAGATAATGAGTTTTAAAACTAAACAGGTAAAACAAATATTTTAGATTCAAAGCAAATTGAGTGAGGAGATTATTCAATCTTCTCAAAAAATAAAATAAATCTGTTAAATAATTTAGAATGCATTAATTTTATATTTCCTCTATAAAAAAACTGATCTTTATTTTTTATTATTAGAAAGATTCAATGATAATATCAATTAAAAATTTTCTTTTATTTATTTATTAATTAATAAATAAATTTCTCTTTTATATCTAAGAAAGAAATAACCTTACAAAAATAAGATGGATTTAACCATATATAAATATTTAATAGTAGAGAATAAACTACACCTTAAAGAGCAATAGATAAATAAATAAATATTCCATATTTAGGGATGTAAAATTTAATATCTTCATTTGTTCTCATAAAAAAGGTTTGTCTGTTGTTAAAATTCACAAATAAAAAGTTTATAAAAATCTAAAAAAAGATAACATTTTAAATAGCTTCAAACAATTTTTTAGCTTTATAAACAAATAAATTAACAAATAAAAAATATTTATTTTTAGAATTGTTTTGGAGATTATTAGATATATATTATTGTGAAATTTAATTTTATTTATTTATTTATTTGTTACTTTCATTTTAATTACTTAATATTTACTAAGCTACCTATATTTTAAAGCATCTAAATCTTTTAGACCAAAAACGATGCTCCTCTACTACCCTTACTTCTTCTACTCTGCATGCCTTTTATAAGAGCACCAGCTTAAAATTGTTTAAGTTCTTTTTTCTTTTGATAGTATTTGTACTAATGAATTTTAATGAATGCATTTCCATGGTTAAAGTAAAAGTCATAATTCTTTTGCTTATCAAAGCTCCAATAAAAAGTATCCATAATCGATTAGTATTTCCTGATATTCTTATCTATCTTACCTCCGTGCGTAGAACTATTATTAAGGATATTATTGTAGCTACTATTTAGCTCATCATAGACAGTATTTTAAGTTTGTAGATAATTTTCTTTTATTTAATCAAACATTAACATTTCTTCTCCATTTTAACTTTATGGACTTCTGTCTGGTGAATTAGATTAATTTTCCTATTCTTATATGTCCTTGATTTCTTATAGTTTCATTTTCATTTCTAATCTGGTTTATTTTTAAGCATTTTAAGTATAAACTGGACTAAAATGTTTATTTATCTATTTTTTTTTGTTGATAGCTTCTTCTGGTAATATTTAGTTTGCTTAAATCTTAATTTACTATTAATTTTCATCAGTTTTATCAGTTTTTTTGTTTAAATTTATTAAGTCTGATTGCTTATGAATTTATTCTAGTCTTTCATTTTAGGTGTTAAATTAGGATATTTGGTTATTTTACAACAATCTCCTGTTCACATTTCCATCTTACTACTCTGCTTGAGATTAAGATGAAGATGAGAAAGGTAGTTATGTATTATTATCTTCTTAATTTTCTTTATTTTTATTTTTATTAATTAATTGATAGTTAGAATTTCTGTCCTCTTCTTCGTCTTCCTGCTCTGGTATTTTTTTTAATTGCTATTAGCTCTTTAATGAATTCTAATTTTGCAATTTTGCTTCTGATGATGAACTCAAGTCATCACCATCCTCTTCAACTTCTTCATTTTCTAGAGTTTAGGTATAAAAATTTGAGTCTTATAATGCAGTCTGCAATAACTACAAATTCTTTTCAACAGTTTCTTAAAGTTTTTTTAAAGTGTTGTGTTTTTTGTTAACTTTTCTCTAATTTAGATTTACTCCTCTTCTTTATTAGATTTGATTTGAAACTTTTGCACTTTGTATTGCAAATTCCTTATTAAAATGAACAAGTGAACAAGAGCCTTGTAAATGACCAAAACTTTGGCAAGCAGAACATTTGATATTCATTTCTCTGTAATTTTCATACAACAAAATATTATCCTTCATTTGATAGAAAGTCTGGATATCCTATTCGTTATCCTTAACAACTTCCATAAAGTTATCACGCGTTATCCTAGCTATTTTAGTAAACCCAACTGACCTCGCACTAGCTGAACGAGCCATTCCTGTAAAGAAGTTGATTTACCCTAAAATATTTCCTTCTTTTAGTTAAGTGATCACCTTTATTTCGTGAGAATTAGCTACTTGAGAATATATCTCAACACTGCCTTCTATAATGATTAAAAGTGCTGCATTACTGTAATCATTTTCTTCAAAAATTGTTTAATTAGGAAAATAAGCAATTTCTTCACATTTTATTGCTATATTTTGTAATGATTAGGCTGTGTAGTTATATTTAAGAAAATCAATTTTAGAAAGTATTTAATAAAAATATTCCTTTTAAAGATTGCTTCTTAATTCACTAGATATTTTAGATAGTACATTCTTAGTATCTTCCTGTTGCTTCTGGTAATTCTTTTGGTAAAAATAATCTAAATACACATTTACCTTTAGTTGTAAGTTAGAAGAAATTTTCTTATTTCTCATGTAATCGTTAATAATATTTAAATCTGTTTTTTTATTTTCTTCACTAGCATCCATTTCTGATAGAATTTAGCCAGTCACAGTAATCATATAACCAGCAATTATAGTCGTAAAGAGCATAATAAATGTTGCAAAAAATATTTGAAGGACTGTTGTACCTGTACTTTAGCTAGTAGTCATCATCATAAGTGACCAGTTCATAGCCATTAAATATAATCTCCACCAAGATGGATCCTACAAAATTCCCTAGTTTTACCAAGTAACAGACTCTCCCAAATAGCGCTATTCAAATTTTCCAATTAAATACCAGATCAAAGCAATCATATGCCCAATGATAAAAAACTTGACTATTAAATTAATTAGCTTGATTAAATAATATCTTCTAACCATAGTGCAGAGCTGCTATTAAAATACTTCTAAATCTTTTTGCAAATTAAATAGCTTAACAAAGCAAATAATCTAAAATAATATGTAAACACTCCAACCATCGCCTAAATCTTAAGAGATGTATGCTCCTAATATAAGCAATATGAGCAAAATGAAGGAAATAGAGTCCCAAATTATGTATTTTTTAAAATAAATTGCTACTATTTGCTTTCGATTTGTTATGACATTTGAGTCCTTATGTGTAGAAGTGTTCAATTTGAGTAGGACTTCAAAAATCCATATCCCAAGAGTTATTTTATAGAGAGTAGTTTATGAACCAGGTATAACATCAGGAAATACAAGAATAATGGAAAGAAGTAAGAAAAACAAGAAATTATAGAGAATCACTAAAAAGTTAAGGATTAGAGAAAGATAGGTTTGCTATCTAATAACTGGAATTTTACTAATAAAACTTTGGGAATAAATTGTAATTAATTTCTTTTACAGTTTATTAAAAATCCATGAAAAAGGTAATTAAGATTTTTTATCAAAATAACAATCAGATTTATCATTAATTGTTCTATGAACGCTCAATTTTTCGTAAAACTATAATTTCCCTTTGTTAGTATAATTTTAGAAAAAACGCATAACCCTTTTTCTCATCTTTTGCATGAACAAATGTTCTTAATTAGGCTTATCAAAAACAGACTCTCTTTTTGTCATTTTGTATCTATTTGGTCCTTTAGAGAAGGCGAAAATAGTTTGATCTTCCCCCATAGATGTTGAGATATCTTTGCTCACATCGGATTACCTAGGCATATACATATAATTCTTGCTCTGCCTTTTTTTTAGTTTCTCACCCCAAGCATCAATGCCTCTATCTGACATACTTCCTTTATTTGACTAATATTATTTAATTCCTGTATTGTCTATGTTTATCATCTTCTCTTAGCTTATCCTCTTTTCTGAACAAATCTTATTCAGACTTGTAGCTTCATTATTATAACCTTCACTGTTAAACTACTCCTAATCACCTTTTTTGAGAGGCACTACTTATAAATTTGTAAGGCTTTCTATCTGCTTTCCATCCTTCCATGAAGGCTACTTTTATGTTTAACCATAATGCTAATGCTCCAGATCTTCTACAATAATGTTCTAGCTCTCTTTGTTACCTTGATCAATAGAAGGCGTGAGTAATTTGCTCATTTTATAGAACTTATTTATTTAAGTATTACTCTACCTTTGAATTAGTACTTAATTAATTAAATAATTTGCTTATTTGATATTAAATATCTCTCTAACTTTTTAAATTAAATAATTATATAATTTAATCAATATTATGTTAAGTAAGATCTTTTTATGGCAAAATTATTATTTTTATTATAGATAGATAGATACTTGAAGAACGAACTAAGCGAAATAGCATTTAAATTTTTGATTATTTATCAAGCATTCTTTGAACGATGATAAAACATTTCAAAGTAATAAATTTTCATAATATGCAATAAAAAATTCAAATCAATTAATTTGTGAAAATGCAAATGTTTTAGAGAGAAATAAAAAATCTGAAATTTCACCTACATTTATTGTTTGTTTGTTTCATTTGAAATTTAAATTAAAAAAAATTAAATCTTTTTAAATAAAAGAAAATTTTGAACAAAATCCACTTTTTTGTGTGTTATTAGATGTGTGTTTTATATGCTATTACCTTAAAATTTTTGAAATTAATTTCGTTCATGCTTTGGCTAATTTTGGTTGTTTGAAAGTGTTTAAATTAATAAATATTTTTTTCAATTCTATAACCCCAACTAAATAATTGCTGTAATTAAAATCAGCCAGCTTATTTTAGTGCATTTTGTTCTATAAAAAAAAACAACCTCAACACAAATAAATAATTTGATATAAATAGTTAAAAGAATAAATTAATATTTATTTTCGAGAAAAGAGTAATCAAAGGTATTTAAAACTATCTGAAATCATTTCGTAATGATTCTTCTTCTTAAAGAAATTCAAAAGCAAAAAAATTAATTAAATTTGTGGATTCAAAAATTTTGCTTATAACTTTAATCCAAAAAAATTAAAACTTTTGAATAGTGTCAATTCAAATAATATCGACCTAAAATTTTTATCTAAATTATAAAATTTGAACTATAAAAAATTAAGAACGAATAAATGAATGAATAGCAAGCTTTTAAAATATTGTTTTTTTTAATCATAACTTGTAATAATTTTTTCAGTTTCAGTCGAATAAATGTGATATTTCGTTTGATTTTATATTCAAATATCCTATTTTTATTGCATTAAGAAATTTAGAAAATATTTAACATAAATTAATTTTTATTTTTAATAAAACAAAAATATTATATAGACAAAATAAATACAACTGGCAATATTTGATTTTGTCTTCAATAAGAATTTTATAAAAAAAATATTTAATTTAATTATAATTTATTAGAGTAATTCATAGATATTCATTAATTTCAGGCAGAAGTATTTCAACTAAGAACTAATATTTTTATCTAAAGTTTATATTTTATAAAAAAAGAGAAAAGTAATTCAAGAAGCATCAAAATAATACTTTTATTTTAATTAAATGAGTTTTTGTAAATTTTTACAGTTATTTTACTTTTTTTAATTAAAATTATCAATAAGAAATTTTAATTTTTGTATTTGCAGAAGTTCTATTTTAATTTTTAAATTTTGAAATTTGATAAAAAGTCTTCTATTTTATAAATGAACTATTTATTGTTCTAATTTAAAATATTTAAGGATATTTTACAAAATTTATTGAAATTATTATATGAAAAATATAAAAAATAAATTTTAGTGTTTTATATAAAAGTAAAATTCTTCTTTTTACTTAATTTCTTATAATTAATTAAGATCAGTTTATATGTATTGTTGTGAAACTTTAGTTGATCTTGATTAAAATAAGTAGTTTTTTTAATAGTTTATTGATATTATCCGAGTATTTTGCTTATTATTTTGGTGTTAATAAAATAAAGAAGTAATAAATAAATATTATATAAAAAATATATAAATAAATAAATAAAAATATTTTTGTTGAACTCAAAAATGAAATAAAATATTTAAAATAAAACTAAATTATATTTTTGAAGTGAGTAATAAATTGTTTTTTATTACATTGATATTCCATATACTTCAAATATATTTATAAAATATTGCATAAACTTAATATCTCTATTGAATTTAAGTAAAATTTCAATTTAATAGCAAAAGAAGCTTTTTGAATTTCTTCAGAAAGATTTTAAGACTTCTTATGCAGCTCTTTCTCCTGCTCTTACTGCTCCTTCCATGTAACCATTCCATACAGTTGATGTTTCAGTGGCTGCCCAAAAAATGTTATTGATGGGTTGCTTCCAAAATTTACCATGCAACTTCCATCCATCAACTCCAAAAACTCCTACTGGACATCCTTGCTAATATTTTTCATCAGTGAAATTGTCATCACTAAATAGAAGGAAGTTTTCTCTTATCTCTTTTTCACCAAAGAACTAGCCTAAGTGATATAGAATAAATTCTTATCTCAAATCTTCAGATAGATCTCTGTATCCTTTCTAATGAGGATAAATGAGGAAAGAAAGTAATATGCCATTTTATTCATTAGATACGTCATAAATTAAATTTGGCTATATTTCAGGAGAAAGAACTGCACCAGTCTTACCTTGATCTCTCCAGAAAGGTGTTTTAAAAACACAAAAGATTTTTATTAGCTAGCCATGTTGCATTGCTTTCATCATTTTCACCTTTTCTTAAGGAATGTTTGTGATTTAAATTGTCTTCGAAATAGCTTGAGGAGGAACAGCTATGATAACTCTTTTGCATGTTCTTGTATTTCCTTTTTCGAAAGTTACTATTATGTTTTCTGGATTACTGTTGTCAATTTTAGTTACAGGAGAAGACAAGTGAATATATTAGTTAAGCTACTTTTGTACTGCTAAGGGAACCTAGGAGGAACCACCAACAATTCTATCTTACTAAGCACCTCCTCTTGTATTCATAAGCAAATCAAGATTTCCAGCAGTCTTTATGTAAAATAAAGTGTGAAGCACAGAAAGATCCATAAGATCTACTCCAAAAATAGTATCAGTGGCACAAAGAAATGTTTTATATGCAGGATTATCTTCACCCTTGAACTCTCTCATTGCCCACTCTCTTAGAGTCATTCTGTCAAACTATTTAGCATTTGGAGAAGAGTGTGGATCCTCTAAATTGATTTTCTTTGCATGATAATCAAGTTTGAATTATGAAATACCAAACTAAAGTAGATTATACAAAGATATGCTAGGAATGGTTCCTTTGTAAGTTTTTTTTATCATTCTAAGCTTCTTATCACAAAGGAACTTGAAATAGACAATATACAATGCTATACTTCCAATTAGTATGTTAGAAACCATAAACCAAGTTTAAGTAAAAAGAGAGTACAGATTAGCAATCACAAGCAGAATAAAAAGATATTCTGAGTAATTGTCTTAACCTTTGAAATAAATTATATTATTTCCAACATCGAATTACTCTGTTGTTTTTAAATTGTATTCTTTCACTAAATCATACATCCTAGTTTAAGTAGGTCCAATCCAAGAAGCTCCCTTATCCAATTTGTATCCCTACTTCTCATAAGTGTAAACTCTCCCACCTACTCTATCAAGAGCTTCGTATAATTCAACTTTTTTAGTCTTATCTTCTTCTACTATTTTCTTCAAAGCAAGCAGACCTGAAAGACCAGCGCCAATAATTATAACATCTGTTTAAGTACCTTAATTAGACATTTTTTCCTAATCAAATATCTTTGTTTCTAATTATTAGATTTTTATAAAATATAGATTAATAATCAAATTATCTTATCAAAAAAGAAAAGATTTGTATTTTAAAGTTCTCTTCTAATCTAATGATCAATTATAAATCGTCAGTCCGTCAATTGAAAAGATGAAATCTGATAATACAAAATGATATAAATGATGTGATATTTGTTATTTATTTTATTAAAAACGTATTTAATTTCATTAAGTTTTAATTTCTATTCATAATTTTTAGTATTCTTGTAAATCAAACAGTAAACAATTGAAAAGTACTTGTTCGCATTATCCTCATCACTTTTCATTAAAATAAAATTTTATGAATATTCGGTTAAAGGTAATCCTTTTGCATAAAAAAAATATATATTTAATATATATTATGAATATATTAAATATATTATAAAAATATTAAATTTATAAATAATATATTCATAATAAATTTAATATATTACAACATATTAAAATATATATTAAATATATTAAAAAAACATTAAAAATAAATGTTAGAAAAATATATATTTTAAAAATATATTTAATATATTTAATATATATTTTAATATATTGTAATATATTAAATTTATTATGAATATATTATTTATATATTTAATATATTTCTAATATATGTAATATATTCATAATATATATTAAATATATATTTTTTTTATGCAAAAGGCTTACATTTAACCGAATATTCAAAGTAGATTTTGTTTCAATCAATTCTGATTTTTTAAAATATTTATGTTAATTTCTTCATTAATAAATTATTATGTTAAAAATTTTAAGAAAGTTTATATATTTTCTGTTATTTGTATTTTTTAAAGAAGATAAATAAATTAATAACTAAAAAGTTCAAATTAAAAAAATATAGAAAATTAACTGACATACTCTCCTTAAATAAATAAAATTGATTTAAATTTACTTAATCTACTCAATATTTAATTTTGTTAAATTACTTTTAAATAGCAAAAAAAAGATGATTGAAATTCTACTTTTTCTTATTACATTTATCATATTCTACTTTTTGGATCTAATTATCAAATATTTCTAAATAAAACTAAATATTATTTACAAGCAATTCTTAATTTACCTTTTAAAATTAAGTTTAGAGTTTTAAATAAAATTTTAAAAATATTTTAACAATTCTTTTATTGTGTTGGATAGTATTTTAAGTATGAATGACTGTTAGGAAAATTATTACTTTTAAATTAATCCTTCATTTATTTTTACATATTAAAAGAATTTTAATATCAAACAATATTAATTAACTTGTATAAAAAGAATTTATTTTAAAATTGTTCTCAATTATTTTTCAGTTAATCCACATTAAATTAGATTATTTGAGATTTTATGTAGAAATATTAAATTATGAATTACTTAATTTGCTTTATTATGTTGAAATATTTACATTTTATTTATATAAAATAAAACTTTAAATAGATATTTTTATCACATTGTTAAAGTTTGTTTTGAAAAATAAATCATTTCATTGGTGTTTCTTCTTGTAAGTGTTAGATATTTTAGAAGCGTAAGGATTATCTCCTATTAAAAAGGTTTTTTTCTAAAAGATATTTTTAAGTATTTCGATATCATTTGCTTAAGACCACTTAAGAAATCCAAATCTCTTTTTTCCTCCATATCTGTATTTGAAAATAGGAACTTAAGTGAATTAGTGAATGAAGTAGTTGTAACCTCCCATGTTTAGTGTTTCTGTATGAACTAACTCATTTCCAAATCCTGCGTGTTTAAAAAAATCTAAAACAACTGTTCTTCCATTCGAATCAAGATAAACATGCTTTAATGTTTTGTTGATTTTCCACTACATAACCAAAAATGTGGTTCCAAATATAATTCCTAGAAGAAGGCTGCTGTCTTTTTCGCTTTCATCTTCTTAGGTAAAGTAAGAGTAGATGTTATAAGTCATGAGACCTCCTAAAACAGCAGAGAAAGCTCTAAAAAATGTCCCTTCCTTACTTTAGTAAACAATCAGCATTTAATCTTTCTTAAAAAACTACGTCTCGTTTAGAAAGACCTAGTCAGATTTTTATGAAAATGATCTTTTTACTGTTTAAAATGTGGAGTTTTAATTTTTTATATTCAACAAATTAAATCCGTATTTAGCAATCTTCGAAAACATTTTATTTACTTCGATATATTAAACTAAAAAGAGATTGAAGGATCAATCAATATAAATAATTTTGATATTTTGCGTGCTTTGAAATCAAGAAAATTTTAAAGTAACTAAAATTTTATACTGAGATGATTTTTAATTTGTTATAAGAATATTCTAAGCAAGCAAACTTATAAACAAACAAACAAATAATCAAACTATACATGAATTTTTTAAGTATTTATTTATTTATTTAAAAATAATAAATCTTAAACAGACACATTTAATAAAGGAGACATCATAAGAAACTTACATATTATATGTAGATTTTTAATTTCTTTATTAAATATAGAGTTTTTAATAAAATCTTTCAATAATTCAAACAAAATAATCATTACTATTTATTAAGATCAAATCTAAATTTTTTGATTTTCAAAATAATAAATTTTGATAATTTTAAAAACAATACAAAAAAAATTTTTAAAAACAAACTTCTCATTATTTAATAAAATTTTAAATCAATAGATTGCCTTCTTTTAAGGTTCTCCCTCCTAATTTAATAATAATTTTTTATATTTTATTACTATGTTCTAAAAAATAAAGTATTCTTACGATTGGTTTACTTCAAATTTTATTTTAGCTATAAAATGAAAATATACTGTAAAATAGTTTCCATCATTTTAAAAACTTTTAGGGTTTTATTTGTGATAATATCAAATTAAATTACTCTAAAATACAGCAAATAAACATCTTAATTATTATAATTAAAGAATAGATATATGTAAGAAATTAGAAGTATGATTTTAGCTAGTAGCAAGCTAATAATTTTATATTTAAAATAAATATTTTAATTAAAATCATTAGTTAGCTTTTAAATTGTCATATTTACAAATTTATTTTACTTTTTTAGAAAAAATAATATTTTTATTCTTATGAATTTTTTTCATATTTAATATTGAATTTAGTGATTGATTTATTTATTAATATTTATTTAGAAAGCTAAATTGTTATGTTAATTAAGCATTTTAAAATACATAAATAAACATTTAAATATCTAAATGAATAATTGCATCTTTAAGGTAAGTTAAGAAGTTTACTTTTTGTATGAAATAATACCGAAAATACAAATCAAACTTACTATGTACTTTGTAAAAATTTTAAATTAAATTAAGCTATTTTTGAGTTCTCTCTTTTTTAAAATTATTTCATTTTCTCTCATGATAATTTTTTAAAATTAATTTTATAGATCATCAAAAAATGAGAATTTTATTAAGGTGAGGAGTAAATGCAGAGTTAATTTGTTGATAATTAAAGAACTTAGTCATCAAGATGTTTGTCTATTAGGTTAAATTAATTAATTATGGACGATGCTTGATTATTTAATTATCAGTTATGTAAAACGACAGAGAGAAAATTGATCGCGAAAATCAAATACCTAAATTGCAAGAAATCAAACAAACAAACACTATGCTGATTATAGGGGCAATATTTAAAATTAATAATGCAAATAGACTATACTGATACCTTTTAAAGAGTTTTATGTACTCTAATAAATTATATTCAACCTAAATAAAAAAAATTAGTCTAACTATAATTAATTTAAAAAGCTAAAGACCACTAAATAACAAGATTAAAGAAGTAAGATAGATAGATAAATAAGTAAATGCCTCCTAACAACTCACCTCATCTTTCTCCTAAAGCCTTAAATTACGTAAGTAATGGCTCAGGTAAACCAATATTTTTTCTATCATTCTTATTATTCTTTACGATAAAAGCAGTTCATAATTGGATTCGCAAGTAATTGAGCTAATTCTTTTTAATTTTATGAATAGGAAGGGATTCTTATATAGGATTTAATTGTGGAGGACTTCTTGATGCTCCTTCTAAACCTGCAAATTACAGCATAGGTAAAATTTTTATAGAATTGAATTAGTAATAAAGAATTTAAATATAAAAAGGTTCTTTCAGAACTAAAACAGAATCTAGAAGTGTCAACAACTTTTTACCTGCTAAGCATGTGCATTATAGGTCTGATGGATCAGGGAGAGATAAGTACATTATGTAAATAAATATTTTGAATCAAAGTTAAATTTGCAAAATGAATGCATTTATTATTAATAATTTTAATCAAATAGAGTGAACGAGGGTGGACTAATTGGTGAAATGAAGAGGTATAACTATATAAATGACTTAAGAAGCTATCAAAAAAGAAGAAAAATTGAAAAAAATGACTATTTCTACTAAACTCAATTCTTCCCTTCTCTGTCTTAATCTATCAAGAAAGAGCAAATTCATTAGAGCCAAATTTTTAATTCTTAGAGACTCTCATAACCTAGGTAGTTTACAGATCCTTACGAGAATGAGAAAAAGAAAATAACTCTTCCTGGCTTAAGAAGAATATATTGAAATTCAAAAAGATTTTTTAAATAAAGTGGTAGGTAGTGAATTTGAACAAACCAACATAAAATAATTTAATAATAATGGAATTCAAATCTTCAATCAGAATTGAATGAAACCATAAACAAAAAAACAAATAAACAAACATGGATTGCTTTCTTATACTTAAAAATTAACTATATATATATTAATATTTATAAATCTAAATATATCTTATTTGCTAGGATATGTGTGCATTTATTTATTTACACTTCTTTTTAATTAATTGAATTATAGTCTATCTAAATAACTTAACACCTCCTCCACTAGAATCATAATTATATGCAATAAAAACTTTCAATGGTCAAAAAGTATTTAGGATACCGATTAATTATATTTTTAAAACCTCAAAATATACTTTTTTTTTATTGATTGATTGGTTCACATAATACTTATCAAGAAGATTGATTTATTGTCGTTCCATAAAAATATTTGTGGTAAAAAAGATAATTAGTTACTTTCATCCATAAACATAGTTAATTAGTTAGTTAGTTAGTTATTAAACAAAATATTAAAATAAGTAATAAGCAATTAGTCTATAAATAAATAACAAGTTTTTACTTCAGAGATTTTATTATTAATTAGTGTTTTCATATTATATATTTATTCATATTAACTATTCTATTTCTTTAAGATTTACATCCTTCCAATATGTTTCATTTAAATTAACATTTTATCTAATAATTTATTTATATATTTAATCAATGATAAAATAATAGAAAATACTTTTTTATTTCAAATAACTTTTGATACTATTATGCCAATTTTTTAATTTTTATTTTTATATTCTTAATGAAGATGTGCTAATCTACTATTTTTGCTATTTGGTTTAAGACAGACAAATAATGTTATATTATTAACTACATTTGTATAATGAGGTTTTATTAAATTCATTTATTATTATTATTTTTTGTTATCATAATAAATTTTCAACTTTTACCTTTTTTATTTTATTATTTATTTATATTCAATTTTATGTTATTTTATTAAATTTACTTTTATCATAGATATTTGTTTATTTATTTTCTCAGGTTTAAAAAATAAATTACTCCAAATAAAATGTTTTCTTTTTAGAACTGAATGTAAGACATTTATTGTAAGTAAAAAGTAAACAAAAGGAATAAATTTAATAATACTAAAATGAGCAAATAAATTAAATTTTATCAAGAAATTTCATTTCTTATATATATTTCACCTTGAAATAAAATATATAAAATAAATAAATGATTAATATACTTTAAGTTTGTTTTTTAAATAATAGTTTAATTTGATTTATTCTATTTAAAATGTTTAATTTTAATATTTTATGTTGATCATTGTTTGATTTTTTATTTTTATGTTTATTAAGTCATTTTTAAGCTTTCAATTTGTTTTTTTTTATAAAAGTCCATTATTAGAAATATGCTTGAAAAAATATTAATTAATCAGCTTAATTAATTTACAAACATTTTCTTATTGAAATATTTTTCATAATTATTATTAAAAAATAAAGAAATAAATAATTGAGTAATTCAGCAAATTATTATCAGTCAGTTTCAAAGAATTATTTATTTTGTTGTTTGATTATTATTGAAATGCAAAAACTAATTAACTAAATTTAATTTTGACTCATTGTTTAGTTTGATCTTACTAACTTGCTCTATCATTAAAATATTTACCAAATAATGTTGGAGAGGTATTCATTAGAATAAGATTTTGGGGTGCATTATTACTAATAAAGTTGTTTTGTTATTAATTTACAAATTAAATATTCTTCTACTTAGCCTTATATTATTCTCTTATACTCTTTAAATCTTGCTTTTGTTGAATTTAATTTTATTATAACAGCTACTACTATTATTATTATAACTATTATTGTTAGTTTTATATTTATTACATATGCTATTATTGCTATTGTTATTACAAGAGTTATTGTTAGAGAATTTGTTGCTGTTACTGCTAAATGAAATTCTGATGACTGGTATTACTATTTTAATTATTTTCATGGAGTGAAATTCCTCTGTTTAATTGCTGATTATTTGGTTGAGAATTCTGCTAAAAAACTTATAATTAAGAGAAGTTTTCACCAAGATTATCAAAAGACTTATTTGAATACCTGCCAAAATAATCTCTTTCATTTAAACTAGAGTTACTATTTTAAGATAGTTAAAGTGCTTGCTATTACTATTATTATGCCTATCCAACAATCTAAGTAAATAACATTCTACCATTACTATAGCTATTATTGTTACTGCTGTTATTCATGCTGATGTTATTTTAATTATTATTATTATTTTTAGCAACCAGAAATTCAGGAGAGGCTGCATCTTCAAATGTCTCCTTACTAAAATTAGTAATTAGTTAAATCTAGTCCAGGTCTGATTTATTTTTTTTATTGACAGGAGTAGCTGATTTTTATTATTATTACTATTATTGGCAGGATTGAAGTTGGTTTTGTTGCTATTATTACTGAAGAGCAAAATCATTTTAATTAAGAACAGAGTAAGGTGACTGAGAAGTGTAAATCAGATCAACACTTTTCTGTTCAAACCTGTTAATTTTATTTCTTACACTGCCGATTTCTTCTACATTTAATCCAGCATTTTGATAATTTTAAGTTTATTGGGCATTTAACAAATTTACATAATTTCCATTATTTAAATTATTGTTAATATTGTTATTAGTATTATTATTGTTAATCACATTATCATTATTGTTGGTGTTAATATTGATAGAAGAATTTTAAACTTACTGAAGTTAAAGTAGTTGCTCATTTGATTTTATTGGTTGAAAGTGATAATTATTTTGCTGATTATAACCTATCCTTGGGCTATTTCTAGCAGTGACAGATTAGATATGTTATTCAAAAGAAGGGCCATCTATATTTATTTACAATGGAGTTTTAGATCTTGATTGAAAATCATTTTGTTAATTATTTTGATTGTTTTAGAATTATTTTTAATATTACATGAATTGATTTTACATGCTAGAAAAATTATTAACATTCTAATAAAGCTATTAATTATTATCTGATAATATTTCATCATCATTTGAAATTGCCTAATCATCATTTTATTGATTCATCATTTTATTTTCAAATTAATCTTTGAATTTAGAGAAATGTTATGATTTTACTTCATTCTAATTTTTGAAGGTTAATTCATAGTGATTTGGAATAATAGCAGAATGAGTGTGTTATAGTTGTTAAGACTGCTATTGTTAATGTATTTGCTGCTTCTAAATTAAATTATTTTACAAACTTAAATTATGAAGCGAGTGACCAAATTATTGCTAAATATTATTACTGTTTCTCAAAGGTCTCTAGGAAGATTAAATTTATAAAATATTTGGAATTTTTGCTTAGTTATTAACATTATTTGAATTCTTGGAATCTATTTAATTGTTTGTCAGATCGTTATTGATTACATAATTTGCCTGAGAATCTGTTATATTTCCTGATACTTAATTATTACCCTATGCCATTTTAATGTAATCATATCCGTAAGCTTACATGTTACCTTCTAATAAAAGTTATCTTATTTGCATGTTTCTGATTTATTATTAAAACTCTTTTTAGTCCTAATATTCTTCGTTTTATCTGAAATATATGTGATTTTATGTTATGTTTTATTCACTTTCAGCTGAAATGACACTCTATTGGTCAATTATTTAGGTGTAGGATCCTCTAGATTAATCTTAATTATTTTTATCTTCTCCAATATCAGCCACATTATTTTCCTGTATTCCAAGTTCTGAAAGCTTTTCTTGTAGATTTTAAAGTTTTTCTTTTACTGTTTGTCTAAAATATGAAAAAAATCAATAAAATAAAAAATAAATAAATAAATAAATGATAAAAATAAATTACTCCATTTAAATTAAGTGAGTATATTCTTCTTTTTGGTTTTAATACTCCTTAATAGACTCTAAATATAGTTGTCTTTATTCGTTTTTTTCATCTAACAAGTTTGATAAATTTTCATGAGGACTTATTACAAAAATATAATCTGCATCTTCTATTTAAAATGAAATTTAAGAATATTGATCCTATAGAGAGTATCTTCTCTTTTATTATATTTTCTCAATTTCTTCTTTTTGTAGCTCTTTTCGAACATTTTTAATATTTTCTATTTTATTTCTTTGCTTTTAATTTATTGTAAAAAATTTTTATAATTCTTTCTGGTAATCATTGATTCTCTCATAGTAAGAATCTATTTTTTTAATCTTATTTTCATGTTATTTCTGTAATATTTTATACTCTGCTCTTTTAATAATCAAAGATTTCTTTTTCTTTTTTATCTATTGAGCAACAACATTAATTTATTATTAAATTATATTTTCTTCCTCGTTAGTTATTTTCATGAATTCTTAATATTAAAGCTATTCTTTTTCTATTATTTTTAGCTTCTCTATTAAAACTAGTTATTTTAATTAAAAATATTTAAATTATTTAATTGTAAATTAGAAATTCTTCTTTTAATGTTTTCAAAAAAAAGTAAATTTATTTTAAATAAATTTAAATTCAAAAAAAATATTTGCATTAAATTATCATTTTAAAAGATTAACTTATAATTTGCAATTTACTTATTAAAAATTTAAAACCTTCAAAAAATCTAATATTATTTTAAATTAATTTAAATTCAAACAAGTATTTGCATTAAATTTCCATTTTAAAAGATTAACTTATAATTTGCAATTAATTTACTTATTAAAAATTTAAAACCTTCAAAAAATCTAATATAATTTTAAATAAATTTAATTAAAACAAATATTTGCATTAAATTATCAATTTAAAAGATTAACTCATCATTTGCAATTTATTTATTAATAAATAATTAAAACCTTGAAAAGTCTAATATAATTTTAAATAGATATAAATTCAAGCAAATTATGAGCATTAAATTATCATTTTAAAATTATCCTTTGCAATTTAATTATTAAAATTTATTGTATAGAAAAAATCTAATAATTTAGATTAAAATTAAATTCAAAGTAAATATTTTTGATAAATTGTTGCTTTAAAAGAATAGATTTTTTTATTTTTTACAATTTTTTGTTGAAAATTTAAAATTTTATTAGGTAAATTGTTTGAAAAATTAAGAAAAAATAGAATGTTTATGTAAGAAATGAATAAATTGATAATTATATATATTTACTTACAATCATTTTTGACTTTCAAAGCAATCCTTTCATCTTCTACTTATCTTCTAGACTGATTTATATTCTAAAGGGCTAATTAGACTCTTTGCTCATCATAAGAGATTTTATTTTTTAAATCATTGATTACCTATTAAAGCTTTTATATTTCAAGCTGACTTTGTTGAGCCATTAAAATCTAATCATTGTTAATAGCTTATAGTTAATTTGTTCCTTATTATGACTATATCTGCTAAAAAGCTTACTATTCCATATTTTTATTAAATTGAGACTTTAAATTACTTTGGTTTTATTGCAATACAGTTAATTATTGCATAATTTCAGATGGCTACTTTTATAATACTTGTTAGGAATTTTGTTATAGAATTGGCTGCTAATTATTTAATTGTTAATATTGGTTTTACTAAGAAACTTATTGTTACTATGGAATTTGTTAATTTTGTAAAGGTGTGCTATTCGAAATATGAGCTTAGCTATTGCTTGGAATGTTTGTATTAGAGGGTTACTGTTTTTATTACTTTTGCTATTTTGAGTTATTCTAAAACATTTTAAACATTCTATTGGTATTGGCTTAATTAACTTTTTAAGAATGAAATTGAGAAACAGGAACCTAAGACAATTGTTGTTGATATAATTGGAAGTGCCCTTAATTAGTCTACTCTGGAGCATGACTGAATCCTCTTTCTTCTATTTTAAAAATTTAAATTTTATGTATGCGAAATAAATAGATTCAAATTTAATTGATTTCATAAAATTAATTAAAAATTGGTCTGTTTTGTATGTAGTATTCTTTCTTATTTCTCATAAATCTTTCTTTATCTTATTTATTATCAAAATTTTAAAAATACATTGATAATTTCTTATGGTATTTTTATTAGTATTTTAAAATTCTCCCTAAATTTATTTATTAATTAATTGACTTCAATTTAAAATTTTTTTTTTTTACTGATATTCGCTTAGTTTAGCTGTCTGAATGGAGGATATAAGTCTCTTCGTTTAGTGGACTCCAAATCATCAAATGACTTCTTTTTGTAGTGACCTTAAATATCAATCAATTATTCTATATCTTCATCAGTTTGTTCTAGCATTCTTTAATATTCCTTATCTTTCCATAGTTAAAAGTTAATAATAGATTGATTGATTGATTGATTATTGCAAAATTTTTTAATCAAAAATGAAATATTTTTACAATAAACAAAATTTTAACTATTTACCTGGGTTGTTTTATTTAGATGAATTTGTTTGCATTGTATTGTCTGTATTCATTCTTTTTTTCCCTTCATCTTATTGCTGTATTTGCTTGATTCTACTGCTAAAATGCTTTGGGCTTATATTATTTGGATTATTATTTTATTGCTGTTTAAACTAAGACTAATTTTGTTGCTCATTTAGCTACTTTTAAATTGCATGGTTGATATTCTAATTACCATTTTTTATCTAATGCCTAAACTAAACTTTATAGTAAACATAGCCAATAACTGCGTTATCTTAGCTTACAATTTGCTTTTTGATTGTCTGCTATGATTGAACAGTTAATACATCTAATGCAGCTTATCCAATCTATTCAAAATATTAAACAATTAGTTAACATTGTATAAACTTCTCATCTAATTTAATCTAATATTTAATCTTATTACCAAAATTTTATTTTAAAACTAGCTCGGTGACTGCTAAGGAGGAAGCTGATTTACATGATAAAGTTTCATAAACAATTTATTCATTTATTGTAAATTGCAGCAATCAAATTCAAAAAACTTTTATAAAAGAAAAAAAAGGCAGGTTAATTATTTTTAAAAGATGAAGTTTTTAAAGAATAAAAGATAATTTATGAATTTACTTCATTGAATATTGCATTGTATGGATCTCGATACTAGTTAGTGGCATTAAACTTAATCTGGTTACCTAGTTAAAGTGAGAAAGAGGGCTAAAAAGACTTGATATTAATATTAGATGATATTTCTGTCCTCAAAACCTCTACTTAAATGGATTCGATATCAAATATGTTCTGCAACTGAATGGCTTAATTCTGCTGTGACTTAAATTCATCTTTAATCCCATTTAACTTCTTCTGTAAAAATAGATTTCCATGGTCAGCAGATGTCATTTCCTGCTTTTTGTTATTTTCCTTTACAGAAATTCTCTATATTAATATATTGCTGCTTAATCTCTCGCTTTTAATGTGACTAACTTACTTGCTTGCTTGCTTTAATTTATCAAATCCTAACTCCAAAAAAATCAGATTTAATAAATTGCTTTTCACAAACGCTATCAAAAATCATTTAATGCACCCAATTAGTATTTTTATTTACTGTTTATTATTTTTGTTTTCATAATAATCTTTGTCATCGCTTCACTCATAGCCTTTTGTATAAAGCCAATTAAACTACTCTTCAACTCACAAATCCCAATAAAATTTTGAAAAAATTTAGTCATTTACATAAACTTTTGTTAAACCAAAGCCATACAAAATAAATAAATAAATTGATAGAGTATTATTGTAAATTTCTAATAAAAAATAAATTCATTAAAATACATATTTATTTATTTATACATTTAATAAGTTTTCGATATCTAAAGTGAAATTTAATGTTTATTATAAAATATATTTCAAAAAATTATAATCTCACCTAATTTTTGAAACTGTTTTCAGATTAATATTTGATTTAAAATAAAAGCAACAATCAAACAAATTGGAAAGATATTTTATATAAATTCTTCAATCAATCATTGAAAAAAGTTAAAATTTGAAACTCGTTTATTATATTAATTAAGTTATTATTACATTTTTAATACTAAAAAAGATTAATAAAGATATATATTGATAGATTTATTGCCTATTTTCTAAAGTCCTAACACTAATACTTTCTTTAGTGCTTATTAATAATAATTTTTGTTTCAAAACTTATTTAGCCATTTTTTATTTGTGTGGACTATTTTTATAAGTTTTGAAAGAAATTTACATTTTATAATGGAGCAATAATTTTTGTTAAAAAAATTTATCGAAACAAATTAAGCTAAAAAAATATTTTGATTTGAAGTGAATTTAATAAAATACAAATATACTGACTGTTATAATATGAAAACTAGATAATAATTGATTCATTTAATAACCTTAAACTTGTAAAAATAAATATTACATAAATTTAAATTATTGTATTAAGATTTTGATAATTAAATTTTATAATGAAGCAATAAATTTTCTTAAAAAATTTATCATAACAAATGAAAACTAAAATATTTTGATTTGAAATAAATTTTAATTAAATTTAATAAAATACAAAGATATTTAATAATATGAAGACTTTTTAATAATTGATTGATTTTAAAAACCAGAAACTTGTAAAAATATTACTTAAATTTTAATTATTGTGTTAAATTTTGACAATTAAATTTAAAATATAGCAATAATTTTTGTTAAAAATTTATGAAAACAAATTAGACTAAAATATTTTGATTTGAAGTAAATTTAATAAAATAAATACAAAGATAGTTTATAATATGAAAACTACATAATAATTTATTGATTCATTTTAATAACCCGAAACTTGTAAAAATATTGCTTAAATTTAAATTATTGTATTAAGATTTTGACAATAAATCATCAAGTGTTTTCTTTTAAAATAAAAATAGATTAATTAATGAATAAAATATATTGAATAAATAAATTACTTTAATTGTTTTTATTTTTTCTATAGTGACCTTTTGAGTATTTTCTTATTCCCTGATTAAATAAAATTAAAATTCATGATATATTTATTTACTTATTTCTAATTATTTTCAAATTTACTCTTTTGTGATATCAAACATAGCTTGAATAGAAAGAAGCTTTTAGTTCAAAGTGAAGCTACTCATTTTTTATTATTTGGCTTTTCCTACTAAAGAAATTTAGTGAGTATATTCAAATTCTTCATTATCAATTTGAATTGCATTTTCTTCAAAATTTCTAATTAACTCTTTAACAACAAGAGCTATTTTATTTTTAAGTTAAATATAAATATCGTTTCCACACTTGCATTTTAGAATCGAAGCAGCATCTGCATTTTCTTCAAGAATACCTAAAAACAAGAAAGTTTGATCACACTTCTTACAATCTACCAATACACGAGGAATAGATGTTAAAAATTGATTTCTTTTACTCTTCAAGTTAAGTACATTTTCAGCATTTAGTTCATTATTTCTAAATTAATTTTAGATTAAAAGTTAATATTATAATAAATTAATCTTGTTTTTTTTACTAACTAACATGCTAGACAGAGTAGTGAACTTCAAGAATACTTGCAATTTCTTAAAGATTAATACCCTCGATTACTTCTAACATTCTCTTTATTGGTTCAAAAAGTTAAAATCTCTTATAGTATTATAAGTCTATTTCCAAACTTTTACTTTAAGTGATAAATTCTTAAGGACTATAAGCCTTATCTACTAATCTGCTCTGTTAAATTAAATAATAAATTAATAAAGTATTTCATAAAAATAAAAATATCTTTTAGTCTCTAAGCAATTTTTTAAACAAAATTTCTTCTTAAAGGTTTATTTATTGTTATAAAAAATTTTTCCATTATAATTTTAGCTTTTTTTGAAGAAATATTTTTAAAATTAGCATCATAAAAATGTTCAATTTTATTGTGTTTTTAATGTTAAATTTAAATAAAAAGCTTTATTTATTTTTATTTTTTTCAAGAATAGCAAAATAATAATTTTTAATAAAATATTATCTAAATGTTTTATTTGAATTTAGTAATAAATTGTCCTCTCTTGCATTTACAATAACCACCACTTTTCTCTTTAAATATTAACCATGCATGAATCAACGAAAAATAATTTCTAAAAAATATATTTATTATAGAGAAAAACTCTATAAAGGATACTTATTTTTTATATCTAATCTTCATTTAGATTTAACAATCTTAGAGACCAAAAATATTATTTATTTTATTTTTTGAATTAAAATTAACTAAGAAAGCTTACAGATTATTCATTTTTGCAGATGATATAACTGATAATTTGATTGACGTATGTTTAAGGGTCAATACCTTTTTCTTAAATGGATCTTTGAGCAACAGCTACGTGAGGAAGGTTCTTTTCACCATATTAATCTACTCTTTTAGTCAAACGCTTAGTGATATAATAGTTGCTGTTTTTAATGTTCTTTTAATTTATGTCATCATCTATTTATTAATTTAAAGATTAATTATAATAAATAGAATAAATTTCAAAATTTTTATTAAATTACTCAGCTAAATCAAATATTTCTTGATATCATCTAACATATTTTCACTGCTTTTGCTCTCTAATATAATTTCTAGGATTTTATTACCAGCATCTCTGGATAATTAACACCAATCTCTACGAACAACGTCAATACCTAATTATATTATTAAGCCGTATTTATTTTTAATTCTTTATATTATTTAATAAATTACCTTTAATTTCTTTTTCTAACTTTTCAGGAGCATTTGTATTTTTTACCTCTTCCCAGTTTGCAACCTTCAAAGTAGCATATTTTTTCTTTTTGAGTAAAAGCATATTTTTGAACACACCATCAATGTCTAATTAAAGTTTCTTATATTTGCTGTTGACTTTTATTTTTATGCTTAAGCCTGTTTTTACTGCTTCAAGGAACTCATTTGTGCCAGGTTTTATCATCAAAGAATCTGTGTCACCATAGATTACAGAATAGCCCATGTCTTCTACAATTTTCTTTGAATCAAATAGAATATGTCTACCTATAATATCAATAATTTGTATAAATTTTTATGTTCAAATACTGTATAAAATACCTTTAGCTGTAATGAAGGATGCAAGTGGCATAGCATAGAAACGAGAAGAGCTGAAACCCAAGCAACCATACATAGAATTAGCAACAAGCTTGAAAGCTTTCTATTTAATATCTAAAGTTTCGATAACTTATGGATCTTTTTAGCCTTTGATTTGATTCTTTACAACTTTTCTTTGTTCTACCAAATATTATAAAATTGATGGAAGAGGAGCAATTCCTTTAATAACTTCTATGGTAGGAAGAACATCATGAGTTTGAACAATTTATTCATTTTCATTGTCTTCCTCGTCTTCATCTTACATTTTATTCTCTTTAGTATTTTAATTTTTAGAGTATTAAATAGCAGCCTTTTTATTTCCCAAGAAGGGAGCCATTTGCATTTCAAGAGGTATAGGATCTCTCACGCAAGTAGTAAAGCAAACATTGAATTCCTATATAATTGAAGGATAAAGAGAGTTGAAATCCAACAGTACGATGTACTCATTATACAAACCTTTTTCAGGTTCAAATACTTAACCACCCTTGTATTTATTTTCTTTCTTTTTAGGATTTTTATTTCCTTGAGCTTAATCCTCATCTTCTTCATATTACTTTCTAATCTAAGCATTTTTGTGTTTCTTTTTATATGATTCTGGTAGATTTTTAAAATTATCAGGATAAACGTAATTCAGCTTTAATTAATTATATTTAATAAATTATTAATAATGTAATTTTTAGTTAGTTCAATAATTACTTAATTAAACTTATGAAGGAGAAGCATTTCGTTTCTTTCTGCTCTTTAGTTTTATAGGGAACCCATCCAAATGTTACCACAAATTGAAGTAAGTTACTTAGTAAGAGGAACAATTTGTAAATGGTACATGATCCTAAGTGCATAATCAATATCCTAATATGTGTCATCTACCAAACTGTTAAGCAATTTATAAGTAGCGAATTTCTATTAATAAGCCTTTGCATCTATTCTGGGACTAATTTGAATATAAAAAATTTTTATTTTAACTTGATTTCAATCTTTAATTTAAATTATATCCTAGACCATGCTTTTTAATTAATCAAAGCATGACTCATTTATTTAACATTATTTCAAATATTTATTAATATTTCCATTATAATTTTAAAATTATTTTTTAGATTTTATTATTAAATTTTTTTAATGATTTTGAGAATTTCATTAATAATTTTAATTAAGCTTTCGATTAAATTGTATTCAAATTTTATTTTGTTTGAAGTTTACTCTTTGAATCATTTTAAAAAGTAAATAGTTTTTTATAAATTTAATTGTATTTTTACATTTCTATTTTAAAGAGCTTTTAAGCCAAGGCTTCAAGAGTGTACTCAACACAGTTAACGAATTCTTGAGAACTCAATAAAGTGTCTACTAAAAGACGACCTTTCATTGCCATTTTAGTTTTAAAAGTAGAAGAACCATATTTTGGAATGTCAGACGAGCCAATATTTATAAGCTTGGAAAGAAGATTCCATTTTCTGATTCCCTTTTCACGGATTCTTGTGAGAATAATTTCAAAAACAGTAGAGTATAGATCATGTGCCACAACAATATCAGGATCAATCTCATTAAAATGAACTAAAAACTACTCTAATAGGTTCAGTTCATTTAAGCAAAACTTAGTTGTTTCAGGAAGAGTACCCTTTTTAGTGATACTATCTTACTTTTTAGTGGGATCTATGTGAGTTATGAAGGAAATACTCTTAAACTAGTTGAGTTCATCTTTGTTTGAATTATCAATATTTATACCTTCGTGGTATTTCATGTTTAGATTAAAGATTTCCTTTTTATATTCCTTTTTCTTTTAACTGAGTACAATTTGCTAGCTAGTTTTAAGTGAGATACAAACAACGCTCAAGGGAGGAGTTGGCAATTATTTTTGTAATACTTATATATTTGATTAATTAGTATAATCTACTCTAAATTCTAATTTTCTATTTGTTATGCATGAAGTAGTATCCTTCACATTTTAAAAGCGTACCCAACTTGGTCCAGTAATTTTCTTTGTAATGAGGAATGTCTCTAAAGCACTGTAAGTAGAACCAACACAATAAGAAAAATATTATCCCTTTGTATCTGGACTAATCACTTCATATTCATAAGACATTACAACTTAATACCATCTACTTTTACCTCTTGGTATAGGCAATTCAAAAGCGTAGTTCTTATCAACAAAAGCACCTAAAAATTCTACATTTTTACGTGATGTTTGCTCCTTCTTTAAAAGTTCTGCAATTTCATTTTTAATTTGCTTAATTATAAAAAAATTTATTAAATTTTTCAAAGAGAAAGTTCAAGTTTTTCATTCATTTTCTAAAAGATTTAATTTTCAAAAAGAAATTTCATTGTATTTAATTGAATAATTATTATCTATGAAATAGACTCTATTTATTTGCTAAATTAATTGCTATTTGACCAACATTTATATTGAACCTTTATTAAATTTTTCATATGACTTTAAATTTTATTATTTTATTTATCCCTTTTATTTATTTTTACAATTTAATTCTAAGGAATACTTTTAAAATTAAAAAATTTCTATCACAATAAAGAAATTAGACTACATTAATAAATAAATAAGGAAAGATTAAAAATCATTTCTAATTATTTGTTTAGTTTATAGGTTTAAAATAATGAATGAATTTTTAATTGATACCTGCTCAGTAACTGTGTCAGAAGAAGGATAGAAGAAGAGATTTCTGATAATAGTATCAATTTGAATAACACAAGTATCAAAAGCATTTGTTTGCTTGTTTTAAACTTTGGCAAATGCATATATTTTATCAGGTTTAACTTAGGCATCATAAAAGTAATCATACAAATAAGCATCAACAGAACCTATTTATTTTTAAAATTAATTTACAACATATAAATCTATTATAAAACAAAATTAATTCCAAATTTACCATCTTCATTCTTATAGTCATTGATCTTTTTCACTTAAGAAATAGAGAGGTTAGTCAAATTAATTTCTGTATTGCTGACTTTGCTTTATTTTAGGCTCTCGTTTGCCAAATTAGCTTTTTGTGCTAAACTTTTTAATTTCTAAAATTCAGAAATGCTGTCTACTGTATTACTGTCATCAGAAAAGTCTCTGTTGATTGCATTTAAAATATTCTAATCTACTTTCCCTTTGCTGCTATTTGCTGTCTTTGAAGAGGCACAATCTTCTCTTAAAATACTTTTTGCTTCTTAACTAATACGCTTCTTTTCCTCTTCCTCCCTTTTTTCTTATTCTAGTTAAGTTAATTACTAAAAAATCTATTTAACAAAATTCTACCTAAGAGTTCTTGTTCTTCCTAAAGTAGCTGAGCTTCTTCTTACTCTATTTTTTTTTTCCTCTCAGTTAGCTTCATAATTTCTTCAATATCAATATCTGGAATCTACTTGCTAATTGCCTTTTTCTTATTATTGGTAACAGCTGTGGTGTTTGTATAATTTAAAATTGTATTCTTAGTCTTCTTCTTTTTATTTAACTCCTCTTCCTCTTCAATCTCTTGGTCGAACTCATCTTCTATTTCTCTATATTTCTTTTTATCTAAATATTTAAATTGTAAAATAAATTGCTCTTGTTTGCTTTCTCTGAAATCTAAGATTTCTGTCATTAAAATTATTACATTTTTTATCCTCTATTAATAATAAAAAATAGATAAGATATATCATTTGTTTAATTAATTAATTAACCTTATGTGTCATCTATAAAATCATCTTCTTCTATCTATTCATCATCCTCATATGCCTCAATATCCATGTCATCATCAAAGCGATTGTTCTTTGAGTGCTATTTCTAATTACATTTGATAAAAAAATTGATTGATATCCTAAAAAAGAACTCGATTAATTACGAGCTTGTTTTGCTTTTTGACTTCTTTATTGAGTCTCTCTAATCTTGTTAATTTGTCACTCATTTGTAAGTAAGAAATTATCTATTAATAACTAATATATCAATTAATTGCTATTACTACTTTGTTATCTAAATTATTTTAATTTAACAATATCTTGATCAAAGCAAATCTTTTAATTAATTAATGCAAACAAAATTTCTGCCAATTTATGGCTCATTATATTTTTTAACTATATCAAATAATTAAAATAGTTGCCGGATACCAAACTGTAAATTTTTGAAATTTTAGCGCTAAAAATCATTGGTGATATAAATCTTTAAACTAATAACAAATATTAGCGCTTGAAGTCAAAACATTTAAAGTTTCCTCATTATTAATTATTTAGAACAACAAAATAAAATAATTTAAATATAAATAATATTTTAATTAAAATAAAGTTTTAATTACTTCAAAAATTCTAATTTAAATCAAATTAAAAATTTATTTAGTTTTTCATAATAATTTTAATTTTAGTACAAAAACAAATTTATAAATAAAGAAAGAAATAAATAAATAAAAAATACAATAATTAATTCTATTAAGTTTATTACTAAACTATATTAATATTTTTTAATACATTAAAACAAAATTAAGCTCACTCAGATTTATCCTAGTTTGATTTATTCTCTGAATCATCACTTTCACTACTGCATTATTAATGTTCTATTTAATCTCTATTCCCAATTTCTTCTGCTTAATACATAATTTAATCTTTTAACTATTGATCTTTATCACCATCAGTTTAATTATTTTGTACTTCTTATTATAGTTTCTTAAATTCATTATATTCTTCTTCAGTTAATTTCTTCAAAAGAATACGATAAGGTCTAATATTTAATTGGGGCTTATCATCTTCTTCTACAATGTAATAATCAGGTTTATCTTTTGGACTTTTAACTTTTTCTGGATTGACTCTGCATTAAAATACCATCTTAAAGGCTTATCCACCAATCTCAAACGGTGTTGAATATGATCCTGCTATGTCTGCATTATCAGTTAAATAAACACAATTACTACTCTTATCTATGATTTTTCCAGTAATTCTACATGTAGCACCAGCATATTTGTGATGAGAGCCTGACTTAAATCCATCCTTTTTTATACCTTTTATAGCATGGATATTAGTACCGTGATAAAGCGGAATCCATTACTTTTTCTCATCATAATCTTTTCTGTTTCCAAAATTTCCTAACCAATCTCTATCATTATATTTAAAAATATTTAAACCAAAACCTTTCCATCCTACTGGAAGGTTATAACGAAATTTTTAATATTAATTGTTATGATGGAACTTAATGAAACCTCTGTAAGCTAATTTTTTAACATTCCACTCACTATTAAAAGGTTGATAAATATCCTCTGGTGTTAGAGTAGCCATATCTAGCAGGTTTTGCATTTCTAAGTTAGCACCTTTATAATTGCATTCATTTCTTAAATACTCCATAGCTTACATTTTATTTTTAGTACAAGCATTTTCATCTTTAAATTTATATTCAGCCTCTATAGAACCTTTATTTAAAGCAACAATAACTATTTATTTTGCTTCGCATCCATGAGCTTTGGCAAGATTTTCTTTTAATTATTTAATAAACTCTTCCTTCTGATCGCTTAAAATTGAATTGTCAAAGTTAATTTTTTCATTATCCTATATTTTTAGTTTCATATATGAGGTATTCGAAGTTTGACCTATTTGAAGCTAACTTTATTTATATTATTGAGTAACATCTTGTTCTATCTTTTAATCAGACACAAATACTTTTACTCCTTGTTGCTAATAAACTTATTTCATAGCAATCAAAGGTATCAAAGAAGAAAGTTTTTTATTTTATTCAGAGTGCTGATTTGTTAACTGTGGTTACTACTGTTATTAATTATTATTTTAGTTTAAATTAACAGCTTGATTTTATTCTTAATCAGCTTAACTGAATGATGTAACTTAAGTAGTAATTGTTCTTGATAATGGTGTTTGCTCAGCTGTTAATTTAATATTATCAAAATCTTAAAAGAGTGAATTTAAATTTTGTTCAATTTCTTCTGTCTTCTGATTTTTCTCTTCAATCTCCTCTTTTTTCATTTCTACTTTGCAAACTGCATGCTTTACTAAAAACTCAACATCATCAGCCTTAATATTTTCGTTATCTAAATCTGGATTCAATTCGTTTAAATCTTTCTTCAGTTCTTCATACTAAGGAAGTTCAGCCACGTCTGAGATTACAATTGGTTGATTAACATTTTGTTAAGTCTAAGGAGAAATAGGAGAATTAGGTATTTCATTATTTTATTGATTATTTTTAAAAAAAAGCAGTTTAATAACTTCTTCTGCTTTTTATTTTCTTTTTTCTTTTTTCTTTTGATGCTCTTCAAATTATTTTTTGAAAGAGCATTTATAATCAATACGATTCTCTTTATAAAAAACTTCATACCAGCTCGGGTCTTTGACAGAGCTGAACATAGATTCATTCTCTTCAGGAATTTCCAAGATTTCTTCATGATCTTAAAAATTATTTTTAAATTCCTCCCTATCTGAAATAATGCCTTTTTTTTCTCTTAAAGTTTCACCAAATTCACTTAATTCAATGAGAACGCCAGTTCCTTATTTATCATTAAAATTCCCAAGAAATCCTACTCTTGTGTCTCGAGTCAACCAAATAACTAGACCCTTTCCAAAAAACATATCTTTGTAAAATTAGCCAGCGTATATATTTTATCTTTAGTAGTTATACAAATAACCAGAACCTTACTGCTTACCATCAACAAACTCTCCTTCGTATCTAAGAATATTTAAATTTGGATTATTTATTAATTTATTGTGAATTTTGTTCAATAAAATAAAAATAATGTAATTAGATTTGTGATTTTTTGTTGAGTTGAAAATTCCACAAAAAGCAAATTAATTCGCAATTTCAAAAAATACTCTTTTAAGAAATTTGTTTTTCTTTATCTGCAAGATAAATAAATAAATAAATAATTTTAATCAATTTTAATCAAATGTTTAATTTTAATTTGAAATGAAAAATTATAATTTACCTGGTTCCATTCTCATACAATGCAATTCCAACTCCATGTTACTTGTTATTTAGCCACTGCCCAATATATTTTACTACATTAGAGTAAATCTAAAATCCATTTAAAAATCTAGATATTTTGTTTTAATCATTTGTTGCAGGAAATGTATTACTTTAAAAATAATCTGAATTTTAGTGTTGCAGATTAAATTACAATTAATCTTAGTCTATACTGTTGAGACTTAGTAAACTAGATAAGCTACCTTGTTTTTTCTCTTTTTCTATTAGCTACGGGTCTGATAAGAGATTTTTTGTAGTTTCGTCTTTTATGAAGCCAGTGTAATCAAATCCTTAGTAAACAATATTGTCTTGCTATTTTGAAATTTGTTCCATACTCTAGGAGTAGTCTCTTTAATTTATGCCAAAATAGTTAATACAACTCTGTTAGTATATTTTATCATAATTAATATCCAAAAACCACCCAAAGTCTAAGTAGCTCTTCATAGAATAACCGAAAAATCCAGGCTGAACATTATATCTATTAGAGTAGAATTTTTCTTTCAATTAATAAAGTTGTTTTATTCTCTCAGGAGGAGAGTTGAGTAGATATTCACAGAGAGCAGCTGTAAACCCTGAGCACTAAGCATAATCATTGATTTTCCAAACTTCATCTTATCTATAATTAGAGTTTGAAGGAATTGTGTTCTAACCTTAAAAAGAATGATCAAACTCACTATTTAGTCTCTTTTCTTTGTCGCTTATTAAAAAGCTGATATTATAGTGATGCATATGAGATTTGCATTTTTAAATTGAATCTAAAAACTATGCTGCTTAAGGTGATTCAATAATTAAAAGTAACTATTTTTTGTGTTTGAACCCTTTTAAAAATCTTTTCCATGCTTTGATTATGTGATGGATAGTTATAACATAAACTTTTTCTTTTATTTAAAAACCCATGCAAGGTACTCCTTTAGTTATTACGCCGCTAAAGTAAATTACAAACCCATCAGCCTCATTTTCTGAGTTTTACATAAAAAAATTATTTATAACTTCTAATGGCTTGCTTTCATTTTAGACATCTAAATAATATTAAGAAGTAGAGATAGAAACATTTTCATTCTAAGAAATTCTGCTAGAAATTTCACAATAACCAAACACTTTTGATATTTTTTAAACATTTTGCTTCACTCTGTTTGATTTTTTACTGCGGGTTTGAATCATTTATCTGTATTCTACAGAATTTGTGTCAATCGTAATAAATTCAATATTATTAATGTCTTCAATAATTTATGTAGTCATAAAGTCTGAATTAAGACACAAATATTTCACTTTTTTGAGCCTACGCCTCTTTCCTAATGGCTGAAGCATAGATACCATTCTTGACATTCTAAAATCATCAAAAAGTGCATTTTCTACATTTCTTTATGGTTCAATCATTTTTGAATTAAATATATTTCTTCTATTTTTAATTTAAACTGATTAAATTATATTTTTTTTTTAGATTTTTTCTTTTTAAAGTGAGTCCAAACAAACAAATTCCTAAAAATACTATCAAAAGAATAAACAAACAATGATAATCTTACATGCAAATTTAAATAACAAAAATAACCTAAATCATTTATAATACGTATTAATTAATTCTTCATTTTTTAAAAATACGTATTTTTATTTTTATATAAATATCCAATTATCAAATTGTGCGTGCTAGATGAATAACTTAAACAGATGGCTATTAGAAAAGGGTATATAATTATATAAATTTTAAAAACTAATAAACAATTTAATCATTAATTTTGCATGAGATATTAATATTGAAGAATAATATCGAAATTTAAAAACTCATAAACAAGCAAGCAAGTAGGTTTTGTACTATTTAGATATCAGTTTTTATTATTAACAATTATACAATGTGATTCATTCATAATGTTCTTATGAATAATATTTTCTATCCATAGAGGATTTATTTCAATAACATGTTTAAATTTTAATTTTTAAGCATATTTTTTCATCTTCCTATTTTATATTTTACTTGGTAAATGCTTTGAAAATCAATTAATTATTGAGCATTAGCTATTTTTTCTTATAAATCAGAAATCTTTTCTTTGATTTTATTATTTGAAAGTGTCAAGTAATACTTTTTCTCTAATAAATAGATATCAAGAAATTTAATATTTTTTATTACAGAATTAATTTACTTGGTAACTTATTTTATTATAAATTTTGTATTTTTAGTAGTTTTAGTATGTAAATATATGAATATATCTTAATTAATATCACAAAAAAATATATTGCATTTTCAATATTTTAAATAATTTAAAAACATAAAATATTGTTGTGAGTGACACCTTTTTTATTTTTTATTTCCTTCAATTTTTAATTTTAAAATGGCTTTAAAGTAAACTTTAAAATATATTTATTACAAAATAGTTAATATATATTTATAATTAGAATTAAATACATAAAAAAATTTAAGGATAATTTAAAAATAAATAAAAACAAATTAATTTATTTATGGATAATAATATTTTATATTATGATATAAGCTATAAATAAATAAATTAAGAGATCGCCACTAATTAAATTTTATATTTTTGAAATTAAATTTATTTATTAAATATAAAAACATGTAAAATATTTTTTTAATTATTAATTTACATTAAAATAATTATGTTTAGAAGATCAATTTATTTTTAAAATTGAAGAAAATAAAAAAAACTAATATGTTAAATATAAACCTATTCTGTAATCTCTTTATCTAAATGAAGTATAAATACTAGTTGATACACCATAAATGCTTTAATATAAACTATGAATTATATCTCACTTTTTTCCAATTTATTTTGGGAATTATTTTATATTTAATGTAGAAAAAATTTTTATAAATTTTTGAAAAATTAGAAATTTTAAGGTGTTTGTTACTAATTAAAGGATAATACTTAATAGAAGATTACATAATACAGAAAGCCTAAATATTAGTATAATGTAATTTGAATATTTATTTGAATCTGATAAATTTTAATTAAGTCATAGCAATAGATTAAAAATAAGAAATGCTTGCTTATATTTTATCTAATTCTAAAATAAAATATTTTATCAATCAAAATTAATTTGAAAATATTTTTTTTGATAAATTGTTTTACATTTCATATAAAATTAATTGGATTTTAAAGGAAACAAGTAATAAAATAAGTAAATAAGCAAACAAAAAAAATTATTATTTATTTATTTAGATAGAAATTTAAAGTTGTTAGAAAGAATTTCTTTGTTAGAAGACATTTATTTATTTTTTAATTTATTAGTCGATCAAGTATTTGAAAATGGAAATAAAAAATAAAATATCTTTTTTCAGAAAATAAAAATTAGAAGAAGGGAGAAGAACTTAAAAGAAAAAATTTGGTTTGGCTTAAATATCAAAAGAAACAATTAATTAAATCGTATAATAATAGATTAAGATATTCATCAAAAAAGGTTGATTGATAGATAGATAGATTATTGAATTAATTAAAAAGAAACTTACTTACAATCTATAAAAATGTTTAAATTTACTTAGAAAAGCTTAGCATTTGGAGCTAACAAAGCAAATAATATTTTAAGGGGAATTCAAAATTAAAGATTTGCCACTAAGAAAGTTGTTCCTAGCAATCTTGATTAATATGATGTCATTATTATTGGCTCTAACATGGGAGCAGTACTTGCTCGTCACATAAATGAAATTACAAATGGTAGAAATACTGTTTTCGTGGCCAGTAGCAGCTCAATTAGAGAACAACATCATTTGAGAGTTGCTTACGAATTAGGAAGCTGTAAAAAGGAAAATTTCATTCTCGATACAAAATCAATTATTACTCCTTTTATACCTCACTCTGATGGTGTTAGAGTCAAAGAAATACATCCTGAATCTAATACTGTAGTACTAGAGAATGATCGCACTATTTAATACAAAAGATTAGTTATTTCAACAGGTAAACAGCTACTTTCTTTGATGGATATTTTCTTTTTAAGTTATTTTATCCAAATATATAACTATTTTATTAATAATAGAATAACTATAAGTTTAGATAAAGGAATTAGATTTATTGCCATGATTATTTTTTTATTATTAAGAAATAATAACTTTTTTTAATGTATTATAGGATTACAGAATAATTTTGAAGCAATTCCCGGTCTTAAAGATGCTGTTTATGATTAAGATCATCCTGGTACTGTTTTTAATTTTATATTTAAATGATAAACTTCATAGCATTGAAAAAAATATCATAAACTTTAAACAAAAAAACGATCAAAAATTTTGTTAATAAAGCGTATCTTTTTAATTAAATCAGCATTCTCACCTTATGATGTGACTGGAAAATAAGCTAGTGTTAAAGATCCTTATTATTGGTATAACTTCTATGGTAATTATTTAAATAAAAATAATAAAATGAATTTATTTTTGTTAATTTACAATTAAAATAGGTGGAAAATGCATCTTCTACATTCCTAAATTCCCTATTAGAGGAGAAAGTAAGCATATTTCTAATTAATTGATAAGTTTATTTTAACAAATTTTCATTAAAACAAAATAAAGTCCAAGAATATAACTTCTTAGTTGCTTATGACCAATGGGTAGAGAACCAAAAGAATAGTAATTTATCTAATAAATTAATTAATATTTTGATTAAAGTTTTATTTACTTTAAAATAAATCATAAATAGTGAGCTAGAAAATTGATATTGAATTCACAATTGTAAATGCAAACGATTCATTCTCTTAGTACAGCAAATAAGCTGATGAATATTTTAAAGAAGAACTTAAAAAGAGAGGAATTAAGGTTTTGTACAATACTTAAATTGAAAATATTGATAAGCCTAAGAGATAAGTGACTGTTGTTGGAAAAAATGGAGGAAAAACTGTTGAAAAATATGATAATTTATATTCAATTATTCCCACTAAGGGTCATGAATTTTTGTAATAAGCTAATCTCTGTAACGAATAGGGACTACTCAGCGTTGATAGCCACACTCTCTAACACAAGAAGTAATATTTTTAAAATGGATTATCATCACAATTAAAGAAGCTAAAACGTTTAAAAAAATTATTTATTTAACATCTACAATTTTTGATAGAAATTAAATACAAAATTATCAAAAATATATATTTAATAAATATAATTAATTATCCATCAAATAGATATAAGAACATCTTTGGTTTTGGTGATATTATTGATGTCCCTACAACAAGAAGTTTCTTTGGAACATAAGAATAACTAAATGTAGTGAGACAGAATGTAATTCGTAGTTTACATGGATAAAGCTTAACTGCATAGTACTTTGGTTAATCTAAGACTCCTTTATACATTGGTAAGAATAAACTTACTTTTGTATCTTAAAATTATGATAAACCTTCGAAATTCAGTATGCTTGATAAAGAAGGAAGACACCTTTGCTATTTGAGAAACTTTATTTATAGTCATTTCTATTAGTATATTAACACTGCATATTACAAGTTTGCTATCTGGGGCAAACCATACTTTTTATGGCCTAAGACTTACCACTCCAGCTCCAAAGGAGTTTAAAATGTCTCAGAAACTCATACAGAACACAGTGAAAAAAAGGATGTTAAATAATCTAATAAAACTGGTTAATAATTTGTATACAAACCTTAAGCATAATTTGCTTGTCTTGATGTAATTTCTCCAGAAATTCAAGCTCAATACTTTGTTGTTAAGGACCCTTCTAAAAGTGTTTAGAATATTTTTAAGAATGAACTGAATGAATAGTAAAAGTAAGCAAAAGAATAAGAAGATAGAGTTAAAAAAGCTGAATAAGAATAAAAGAAAAAGGAGTAATAATTGAAGAGAGAGAAGGAAGAAAAGGAGTAGAAAGAAAGAGAAGAAGAATATAGAAAGAAGAAAGAATAGGAAGAACTTGAAAGAAAGAGACAAGAAGAAGAATAAGAAAAGAAGAGATAATTAGAACTTTAAAGATAGAAAGAAGAATAAGAAAGATAGAAAAAAATAGAATAAGAGAGACTTCAATAGGAAGAACAAGAAAAATTAAAAAAACAAGAGTAAGAAAGATTGAGATAATAGCAATTACAAGAAGAAGAAGCTCTTAAGAAATAATAACAACTTGAAAAGGAAAAGCAAGAAGAGTTAGAGAAATAATAAAAGCAATAAGAAGAAGCAGAAGTTGATGCTAAATAAGAAGATGAATAACCATAATAACCAGCTTCAAATCCTTCTAGTGAAAGTGAAAGTCCTAAAAAGAGAAAGGGCAGACCTAAAAAAGAGAAAAAAGAGTGAATGAGTGAGTAAGCAAGTAAGTGATTGAATGACTCATAATGAAATATGATAATTAATTTTTAAAATAATTTATATATTTATTTTTTTATAAAGTTATTTACTTTCTTATCCATAAATTTAATTAATTTCTTATCTATCAATCTATCAATAATAATAAAAATAATATTTTTTTCTTCTTCTTTCAAATTAATATTTTCATTCCATAAAATGAATGTTTAAATACTTTTTAGAGGAACTTAAAAAGCTTTTACATTCAATTATGGATGTTTTCAAAAATGTATCAAAAAATTTTTATATTCTTAAAATTAATTTGAGAAAAAGCATTAAATAATATCAAAAATTTGTTAAAATTTGATATAAACAGGATGATAAAAAAAATTAAAATATAAATTGAACAAAACAATGTTAAAATCATAAAAATTAAATGAAATATCTCCATCTATAACAACACAGTTAGTTATATTTTAAATTCAGGAAATTTGCTTTAGTTTAAAAAAGCTGGTAATAATTCATTTTAAAATAATTTAATTAATTTAAAAATATTTAAATATCTCTATTTATTTATATATTTATATGCTTATTTGCTAACTTCTAATTATTTGTTTTTTTGATTGTTTAATTATTAAAAATATAAATTTGCTTATTTCCATATCAACATTTCAATATAATAAATTTTTCTTGTTTATAAAATGGTAGAAGATTGATTTGCAGCTTTGCAGGTTAAAAAGCAAGATAAAGAATTTATTTTGGAATAAATTCTATTTTATATTATTTTTTTATTTTAGAAGAATTTTTGCTAATTAAAAATAAATTTGATTTTCATATATTTTTTTGTTTATTCATATGGTTTGTTTTATATTTCAAACACTCATAAAAAAATTAGTTTAAAGATATTCGTTGAGATTTTATAAAATTAGCGATTTTAGTTGAATGAATAATAAGGAAGTTATTTAGAATGAAAAGAAGTAAAACAAGGTTTTATTCGATCTTAAAGAATGCGATGAGCTATTCTAAAAAGATAAATCTTTAAAGTAGATAGGTTTATTTATTTTAGTGCAAAACTTTTTGATATACATCTATAACATTTCCTAACATATTTATTTTATTATTTAGGCAAGCAAAAGATATAGTGAATATTTAAAACTAAATTAAATAAATGAAAGACAATGAACTAAATTTCTATAAAAATTTAAGATTAGATAATAAATCTAAAGAGAAAATATTTGGCATTAAGCCTGATAGTCTTAATTCGAAAATAAATTAAAACGTAGAAGATGAATAAAGTAATATACCAAATAATGGTAACAACAGTAGAACAGATGTAAATGGAAAAGTTATAGTTTAAGATCCTTTATAGGGCAATTTAATCATGACAATATAAGAATACAATAATATCTATTTAAAAGATCCTATGAATTTTTGATAAAAAAAATGTTTACTAACAAGTTTATATAAAATGATTTAGTGGTGTCTGCCTGACCATTCTAATTCAAAATTCGGTTTATAATCTTATATATCAAATAAGTTGTTCAAATTAAGTAATTAATTATTCTATAAAAGAATACAAAATAATAGAAAAATGCAAATACTTTTATAATATTATAATTTTATAAATGATTACTTAATATAAATTAAAATTTATGTGAATTAATAAATACTTTAATGAATAAACCCATTCCATTTATATAAATCATTCTCTGTTTATTATTATTTTTTCTTAAATTTTTTAAATAGTCAGTCAATCAATAACTTTTTATTGAAATATTTAATGAAAAATATTTTAATCTAAATTAATGAGATTAATTATAATATTTTTAAAAGTAATTTTTACAAGTCTTTTTTATGAAAATACTAATATGTTTTAAGTAGAATTTTAAGAGAAAATTAAGAGGATGATCTTATAGATATTAATTAGACCATTTCAAACAACAACACATGGTATAAGTTCAATAATTTTTTACCATAGCAGCTTAGATAAATTGAAAACGATAGATAGATAGATATTTAAAACTCAAAATTAAGGCTTTTTTTTATTTTTGTTTGAATTTTTGCCTTTATATTCTTTTTATACCATAAATAATATAATAGATAACATAAAAGAACTGAATAAAATTTAATAGAAAATAAATGAATATTGAATAAATGAAGTTAAATAAATATCATAAAATGCAACTTCTAAACCACAAATCAAGATTTAAAGTTGAAGTAAGTAAGTAAGTAACATGAATTAATTGTTTTTGTTTGTTTGTTTGTTTGTTTGTTTGTTTTAGAGGTTAACTTAATGTGAGCTAACTTGAAGAAAATGCTGAAGTGTCTTAAAAATTAAAATCTTGAGGGTAGAGTGAGAAAATTTAGAATGAAAGGAAAGGTTTTTTGATATTATATTATTCAAGGTTCTAATTAAAAATGAATGAAGACTATGAGACTTAAAAGAGAAAAGAAAGCTAAAAAGAAGAAAAAGAGAGAAACTATGAATTGAGGAATGAATGAATATATTAGTTTAATTAATTTGATTCAATCTTTATCTAGGAAGTAGCCACTTTAGTTAGCTATTTAGTTAATCAGTTAGTTAGTTAGATAGATAGATATTAAGCTTCCAAATAAGAGTCATCTCTTTATTATCTAATATTAAACTTCCTAGCTACTTTTATCACTTTGTTTCGTAATTCTTAATAATTTTGTAATGCTTTTATTTTAGAATTGAACTAACCAACAAATTATCATTTCTTTATTGCTTGCTCTTCTTATATTTTAAAAATA